TAATGATATTTATTACCATATTATGTAAGACAAGTGACTGAACGGAGATAAATTAAAATATTCTTGATCGTAACTTTAATTTGTTATTCAAAATTCCAGTTTTATTAAGGGTCTGTTCAAATTTATTGAGGTGAGCTGAACTGTAAAATGGATATTTTATGAGAGAAGGAAATTAGGAGCTGAACTGATTAGAGCTATATACTGAACCAAACTGAACTAATTAGAGTTGAACTGAACTAAACTGAAATTAAGCTGAAGTGAACAGACACTAATATGCAATATAAATCTTTTAGAATTTAGGCTTTTCGGAGAGAGTTATATTTAATACGAAATCTACTCATATACATCTATTGAGAATATATACACACTTGTACGATCAAATCAAGACAAACAAGAAAGATTGTCAATTTACTAGGACGCACTATAATTGCTAATTAATCAAATATTGCACGATAATATATCCATCTCGAGTAATTTGTCACTTAATTAAGAGATAAAGCTATTGAGTATTCATCTTCTAATAAAATATCGTACCAATTTAGAAAACCTAATTCTCCCTCAATGACCCTTGAGAATTTCTATCAATTTGTCAAGGACATTGATGATATTAGGGACCATTAGTTGTTGGTATAATTGGAGCTTCATTTGAAGAACTCCACATATTCAAGCAATAGGAACAATTTTATTTATTCATCTTGGACATATATGTATGATAAACACACTATTTTTGTAAACAATAGTGACTAGCAAATTAATGTTAGCAACAAATCTAGCAAAAGTACAAGTACGACTAAATATTATAACTATTATAAGGTTTTGGTCCCCCGTAAACCTAGCCTTATTACGATGGATTAGGGCTCCAAGTGGTGGAATATAAAGAACTTTGTTATCGGTCCCTAACTTTCATGATTTTCAACTAGAAGAAATCAATATACGTAAAGAAATTAGAGAAAATACTTTTTCCATTTCATATTAATCATATTTTATACGTAATTTAATTTATAATATTAATACATTATACAATGTTTTGATTAGTTTCAATAATTACATCATAACAATAAGATGATTCTTGTTAGTTTTAGATTAGCATATTATAATATACGCGTATAGCCATATAATAATACAGATCGGAGTACTATTTAGGAATAGAGAGAGTACGTATCATAATTCGAGAAGACAAACAAAAGAGACATTATCAAGGATTTTTGGAATATATGGTAGCAACGTTTGTCTATGTCTCCTTATCTCGCTAAAAGACATGTGACAATATCACTGTTCTTTCAAATTCAAGCTCAAGAAATACAACCTCTATCCCATTTGCCTATGTCGGGAAGAGAAGGCCCCTTAGCTTGTTTTAAATTTTTATTTTTATTTTCTAAGTTTGTGATGTTTATTTGTTACTCCACATTATATAATTATATATTAATTTAATTTATTGGAAAAAGATGAAGAAATTTGTTTTTTTCCTGATTTTAGTGAGGGACCATTGTATTTAATTTGTGATATAAAATATGAAACTTCGTAAGATTTTCCCACGCAATAATATCAATAACTAGAATATTGAAGTAAATTAAGTAATGAGAATAGTAAACTAAGTTGGAAAAGTAAAACTATACGAGTAACTAATATTTTTATATCATGACTTCATTTATTGTAAGATTCATTATGAGATCAATGCAATAATGGATAGGATTCAACTTAGATCAATGAATTTGAAGAGGGAAAATGTTTTTATGTTAAAAGAAATATGAGTAATAAAAAGGGTTATAATAACACGTACACATAATATTATATATTACAGTAAAAATTTGAATGAATTGAACATAATACGTTATGTGAAACGCGATTCTTTACAAAGAATTTGCTCCTTCAAATTTGTCTATGGTTGGTTGGTTCATCATATAGTTAGAAATGTTCTATATAAAAAAGCAAATTCATAATTTTTTTTTTTTTTTTTGTCTCCTCTTCCCAATTATTTGACTATTTGTATGCTTCCATTCCTTTTACCTTTGGTTTCTCATACTCTCAAGTTTCAAAGCAAACAAAACGATTCAATCTTATTCTTAACCGAAAACTCATGTACATTAATCCAAGTTTAAAATATACATTAAAACAAGAAATAAACTTGTCAAGTTCAACTGCAATTTGTTTGAAAAAATAATATAATTGTGCTTCCATTAAAGATTTTAACTTAGTATTTAAACTAATAAAATGTATTTATTTAAATGGGGGATAAATTACACAAGTTTCATTCAATTCCATGGTTCCATATTCCAATCCATCCTTCTTAAAAAAATATAAATAAATAAATAAAAATTCATTTTATTCAAAAATATCTTTTTCAAATTGAGCACTTCTTTATAATTCAAATGAGAATTTAAACATGTATGTTGGGGTCAAGCATCGACCTCAATTCATACATAAATAATCGTAGTACATATCAATTTGATGATGATTTATATTGAAAGAAAAAGGGGGGCAACTCGATTATTTAATGCATACTCGTTTTAAAATATGAGTCTATATTAGAAACAAAAGGAGGAGAAAGGATTATACTGCCTTACATACTAATAACTACCATACACACTAGACCAAGGTTTGGAATTTTTAATGCTAGAATCTATTTGTTTAACAATTTTAAAATTTTGTACGTAGAAAAATTATAAAAGACCGGTAGTTTTAATTTTTTTTTTTTTTGGGTGTTTAGAAAGCCATAAGAGTGGGGTGAAAATTAATATTAAGATCTTCTAGAACTGGGAGGAAGACTCTAATCACTTGAGTTATCCTTCACTTTTAGATTGATAGTTTAAATTAACATCAAAACAATTATAATACTCCATAATATGTTCTTTCTTATTCTATTCAAAAAACAAAACCTTTTGCATGCACCCGATTTACAATAATTTTATTATATATCGAATATTTTACGAAAAGTGACCCTTTTTTCTTATAAAAGTGATCTTTTTTTTTACAAAAGGGACCCATATTTTCACAAAAGTGACCCTTTTTTTTCCACAAAAGTGACACTTTTTTTTTTACAAAAGTGACTTTTTTTATTATTATAAAAGTGACCTATATTTTCACAAAAGTTACCCTTTTTTTTACACAAAAGTGACCTTTTTTTTCCCCACAAAAACAGAGTATCAAAATCAAAAAGTTATCCTTTTCTTCTACAATTAGCAAGTATTTTCCTCCATTTTCTCTCTCCTTTAATGGCGAAATCAATTATAGTTTGCCCTTACCACCTTCTTCCCAACAATACAATTCAATACAATTATCCTCCATCATAGGAGTATTCACTTTCCTCAAAATTCAACCATTTTTCTTCTACAATTAGCAACTACATACAGTACTTCTCCCTCTACTTTCCTCCATTTTCTCTCTCCTTCAATTCTTTAATGGCGAAATCGATGAAGCATGAGAACAACAACAACCCCTTCGACCTCCTCAACGAAGAACTCCTCTTCATAATCCTCGATCATCTCTCCATTGACGACCACCTCGCTGTTAAATCATTTTCTCTCTCCTCAAAATCATTTTTCTCGGTGATGAAGTTGCCCAGCCTAGCCCGATTTACACTAATTTAGTGTAAACCGGGTGTTATTAAGAGTTTGTGTTCAAAATAATGTGTTCTTTCTTATTTTAATGGTAAAGATTTTTTGTCAAGGTTTATACAGTTTTGATTGCATATAGTAATTCTCATGGTATTTGGACTATTAAATATAGCAAGAATAGTCTAATTACATTATAGTTGATTTGCATTATATTATTCTCCATTAATATACAACGTAATGAATTATGTATGAAAGGAATATATAAATACAATACATAAACTCCCAATTAAAAGGCATAATTAGATGATGAATGGCTAGAATTAGACGAAACATATCTTAAAAAACTAGGAGAAGATAAGGATTCCTTTGTTTGGATGCTTCCCTTAATTTGCTTGATATATCATCATAGTGGACCATCTCTTAAGTTTTGTATGAAGTATAAACCCCATCTTTTTCCTCACAAAAAAGGGAAGAATTTTATGACATAAGCAACTAAAAACCTACTCAAGAATAATTGTTATAAATATATGCATTAATAGTATATAGTATACGGTGTACTTTTGTGCCGTGACTTATGATATGAGACCAATCACGAAATATTAAAGGCAATTTCGTCGAATTTTAATTTAATTATATATAGCAAAGAATTGAAAAAGAATAATATTTTTGCCCCACCTCATCCATGTTCATCTCTTTTTGGTTGGTTGGTTGGAAAGGATTGGTAGAGGTTCCTACAATAGCTAGACTTGACTAGGAATTGAGGGTCAGTACGTTTAAAATAAAAGGAAGACAATATCAAAACTCTCAACTAGTTGAAGCGTTGTACGGGTTGAGCTTGTTTTTGTACGGAGGAGGATTGATTCAAACTTGATTGAGTGAGGTTATTTCGAGGTTGATCTCGATAAGAATAGATTGAACTGAATATACCTTAACCTAATTCATCAAGCCGAGCTGAGCTCAACTCAATTCAAAATGTTACCAAATGATTCAATTCAATTCATAAACTCGCGTTTCAAGCAATGAAATTATGTTATGGGGCAAAATGTTAAGCAATGCCCAATTGTTAGAGACACACCACGAGAACAGCAAGGAGTCTGTATACTTGAATGATATTACAAGGAATAATTTTGTTATTTTAGTTACAGGCTGTACCAAATAATGATATAATTATTGTCATTATACTGAAATTATAGGCCCAAACTGGAAAAAATGGTGAGACAATCTTCATGTTAAACTGTCATATCACAAATACATATCACACACAGAAAATTTACAATATTTTGTTTATTGAGGAACAAATAGAGAAACCCAGTTGCTACCATGAAATGTAAAACGGTATTTTGATATCGATGTTATAAAGACATACATCCGATAAAATTGGAATAATACGAATCAATACAATATATCATCAAAATTGCAATATTCTTCTATTGTTTAGGTCACAAGGGAAAAATAGAAGATAAAAAGGAAATTCTTATAGATGAATATTCTCTTTTTTCTTCGTCCCATAACAGGACCACTACATTAAGTTGCACCATACTGGTAGCAAAGAAAGGGAGAGTACATGGAGGGGATGAGAGGGAGAACACAGACATCTCTCAACCTCTCATTCCCTTTATCTGCAAAATTGTAAAATTTAGTACTCGGTAATATGGTACTTGTTTCTATCATCACGGTATTATGGTTCCTTCTCTATGTACAAAACCTGTCATTACATAACTACAAGAATACTGAAGAACTCTAAAATTACATACCAAATGATTTTTTACAGTGAAGAACCGCCTCATTAATTGAGCTCTCGGAATCACAAGACCGCCTCATGTCACCAGGGAAGGAACCTACACTAGTTCGAGGTGATGCTTGTGGTGAAAATGAACTGCTCTTATTCTTCACCCAGATTCCATCATCAGCTGCTCTAATTTTGGACTTTGATCTGCAGCATCTCAATTTTTCCAATAATGGGAACATAAAGTACAAATATTTTTCAAACATCTTCCTGGACAATAAGCTCCTACACCTTCTCAAGGAAGAACAACGGATCTTACGATCACCTGAAGCAGTGTTTGTGTTCTGAAATTCTGACAAAGGAGAAGCACATGGACTTGAATCACTATATGCTTTGTTCCTTGATGAGTTAACAAGAGGCATGAGGAGGCCATCACAGAAGAGCTCATCGGCATGTACAATGGCAGCCGTAGTTTGCTCCGAGAATGGAAGATTAAAATCAAAATCCTTGTCAAGTTTCTTAAACCTCTTTGAAGCCGGCATGTTTGGGTCCATCTCGATGAAAAAAGATTCATCGGATGAATCCATAGCAGCTCTGAAGGATTCACTGAGGCTTTCAAGGGAAGGTTTTAGGTTTATCAGCCAACTGTAGGAAAAGCTTTCAATAGAAAGAGGTTGGGATGATTCAACAATGGCCATACTGCAAAAAATAACTAAACACAGAAGACAGAATTATACTTGTAATATATATAAGCAGTTGCCTGACCTCTGCATTCTGAAATGCATCTAGGACATATATATATATACCCACACCAAACAATGAGAGCATATAATAAATTATGACAGTGTTATGACAAGAGACAACGATATTTAATGATTCGAAAAGGAAAAGGAAAAAGAAACAGAATATAGCAACCCCACATGTACCCACAAAGGCCACAATAGATGTAACCCTCCCAGCATCTCTAGTTTATTGTCACTTTTTCAATTTATATTCAGTTCTGTCACGTTTTCCTAACGAAGTCTACTCCACATGAAATTTAAATGAGTATAGGTGTTTAATACACCTTAAGAAAAAAATATGATGTAAATCTATCTAGGCCTATGTTCTCTTCACCTTTGAAAAAATGTTTAGTACTCGTAGTTGGAGGATCCCCAGTTGATTAACATTTCATTTTATCTCCTCTTACACCTTTATGCATTTATTTTTGTGTCACTTTATTATTTCACTTTTATAATTTAAAAAAATAAAAGAAAAACATTATATTGTGAGAGGAGATATATTTACATATTCATCTCAAAGATAAACTTGGATTTTCCCCTCATAGTTAAGTTCAATTATTACAATTTTAGTATAGGAAAAATACATTAAGTTAATAAATAAATAAATAAATAAATAAAATAAAATAAGATTGTTCCGCAAAAATGAGTTATAATTAGTAAAAATAATATATATTTAGCAAAAAATAACTTAAGTTCAACAAAAATGATTTAAGTTAGGCAAATAATATAAACTCAGTAGCTATCAAGTGAAGAGAATATGGCCTAAGTTTAGTGAACTTAGTGACTCCAAAGAGCAAATAATTAAGGAAATTATTAAGATAAGTTTGAATTGGTAAAGATCAGTGTTGACAAGTAAAAATCAATTTTAACCAGTAAAAAGATATTAAGTTCAATCACTTGTTTCACTTCAGCAAAAATAAGAAGAGAGCAGGGCCTTAGTATGAAGTAGTAAAAGTCTGAAGAACTTGAATTAAGTTCATGCACCATACAGCCACTTAAAGGTTTTAATTATAGCTTAATCTAGAAAAAGGCATAACAGTGATTAGGGATTATGAGAACAGGTTCATGCATGCTACAAATGATACTTTAAACACTTTTCTCATCCAGAAAAAATAATAATAAAGCATTTTATCTAGTCCTATGCTTTTAACTTTTCCTAAAGAGGTACATTCTGTTCCATTTTGAACAAAGAAGTTGATCTTGAGCCACCTGCCTTTGTTTTGTTATAATCATAACTTCAGGTACTCTAATAATATTTTTAATGGAGAGAATAATAGAGCAATTTTAAGAGAATGAGCTCATTATCTTACATTTGTAAAAACCCAACTGCTGCAGCAGAACTTGGAACTTGGACGGCTGCATACAATGTCCTGCAAGTAATGGTGTTTTAGGTAGAATATTTAAAAAGCAATCAAATGTAGGCTTAAAAATGAGCAGTAATCTTTCAAAATATTGAGCAGTAATCGAAATTTGCAGTGTTATCAACTAGATCACAAATTGATGAGGCTAAATTGAAAATGAATGGTCAAATTTTGATAATAATTAGGCCATTACAACAATCAACGTGAACAATATGTTGTAAGAACTAAATAACCCAATTTAGAAAGAAAACAACTAAATAAGTGGTTTAGGTAATCTAGCGGGCACATAAAATCCCTAAGCCATTTCTTATGCTCCCCACATTCTCCTATATTCCTCTAATACAGTTTTTATATTTTTAAGGACAAGATTGCATACTTGAACTTCCTCAGAACCTCACCTTCAATCTATACTAAATCATTGTCGTTAGTGTTGTCCTTGTGTACAGCCAAACACCGCATCCCCCTCCCGAGATAAAAGAAGGTACTAAAGGTCAGTACAAATAAGAGACGCAAAGAAGACATTAACATGAGTTGGCATTTTATCTGCAGGCGAGTCTTTAAAAATGTTTACACTTAACACTGTATAGACATATCTGAAAATGAAAGGCGGAAAATATCAAATACTCTTGGTAATCAGAGCTCAGAATTTCACATCCACAAGGCTGTTCTTCTTAAGATTTGATCCACAAGATAGATTTCCTTACGAGTGTAATCCCTACCCTTATGCTCTCAATTTACAAAGAAAGAAATAAAAGGAATACGTACAAGAGATAAAAGTGGAGCCAAAATATTTAGCTTCTATCTCAAAGCCAACCTAGAACAGCAAAATCAGAAGACAAGGGTCCCATACTTGTCTAGTAAAGAGGAGAACAGTAGCCAAGGTAATTAAGGACCAGAAAGAGAAAGTGATTCAAAATATATACATCTCATGATGCTCTTATATCAATAACATAACATAAAATTTACAGATTTAGAGTACATCAAAACATTCATACAATATCTTAAAAACTACACTTAATGACCTAGATGAAGTCATAGGTTGCAACCTAAATAAGGCCCAGATTAAAGCCATTTCTGCTGGAAAAGAGTTAAAGAAGATAAAGCACCCAGGTAACTTCTAAGTTCTTATCCTAGGTAAGACGGGTGAATTAAAAAGTTTAAGACAGGTAGGGAGCAAGTGAAAGAAAGACAGTAGTAACATGAATACATTTTGAGTTTACCAAGATATATACCTCTCAATAAATTCTCTTCATGGCTGTCAGAAAGGTATGTTTGTCACAAATGATTTTTCATGTCAGTGGTCCTCGATTTTCTTGAAACTCTCATAATAACATCATTTAAACTACTGCAGGCTGCAGCTCATGTTCTGAATATCACATTATTGTTTCTGTCGGCCTGTCGGGACACCATATAAGAAGTCAGCGGATCAACTATAACACTAAGATATTAGTCTGATTGCCACATGCTATTACTCAAATCCGGAACCAGTGTTGGACAGAGTTAAATTTCAAGTGTCAGATGCAGACACTTTTATGGAACTTTTACGTTCTTTTGGTCCAATAAGCATCACAATTCCGATTTCTTGTAAGACAAATCTTTGAGAGGAAATGAAGACTCCAAGCAACACAACTTAAACAGTAGAATCATCAGATTGGTAGACGCATTCTCGTTAGCCATTACTTTCACAGGAAGCTGTAATAAAAAACAACAGGACAGATATGTGATCAGAAGAGATCCCAGTAAATGCCTGTTTCACTGTAATTTCTTTGACTGTCAAAGAACTTGACACCAATCATGGGTTGAGGAAAAAATTACAACAGACAAATGACATTTTTTTTGGAACTTCAGAACCAAGGACAATGTAACAGAAAAAGTTAGCGACAGGGTATTGTTACAGGACACTTAAATCTAGTATCCACTGCGAGTAATGCAGACTAGCAAAAATTACTTAATTCGTTACATATTTTAGATCAAAGTAACATAAATTAAACAATACTATGATTGGAGCATTAGCTTTCCTGAGAAATACCTCCAAGCCATCTTGCCTAAAAAAAAAGAAAGGGAAGGAGAGAAAACATGAAAAGTGGATGATTCCCGCAAAATTACAAAAGGCGAGGACTTTGGTCAACTTTCTGAATTGCCTGTACCCTGTCTATCTATAACTCATTGCTTCTGCCTACAGCTTCTATAATCATAATCATATATTTCATATTACATAAGGGGTCTAGTCTGTGGAACAGATTTGCATGGATTTCATCGCAAAACTGCAACATTACAGAAATGTAGATCAAGCTTAATCTACATTGATCTCATACAGCTAGGCCTTTATTTGTAAGGAATGTTAATTTGCTATAGAAGACAAAATAATTGAAATTGGTGAATAAATGCTGATATCTAATTGGTAGCCTGTACATAAGTATGTGAAAGAAATTTGAGACCAAAACATGAAACATAAAAGAATCTTACATTCTTACCTACAACATTATTCTACCACATACAGTTGAAAGGATAGATCAAAATCTTATGCTCTGTTGAATTGATTATTTTCTTGGGAAATTCTCTTTGGTGAACTCCAACTTTTTCATTTTCTAAGTGGTAAACATTCTTAAATTTTATTATCAATGGTAAACCTAAATTATTGTTTACCATTGATAAGTGTTATTTCCTTAACTATAGTTAGTTTTTTATTTTTAAAATTATATTGAAAATATTAAAAAAAAAAAAAATTTAAAAAAAAACCAACGCCTCCTCCAACCCACTGCCCAGCCCCCTCCCCCAACCCAGCCCCTTGCCGGCGGCCGGAAACCGGCGAACTACCTCCACTAACTCCGGCGACCCCTACCTCCTCCCTCTCCTCTACCTATGACACCTCCACACTCCCCTAAAACCCAAACCCATTTCCCCGACATGAACCAACAACTCCCTCGAAAACCACTTTCCTCCCCACCGCCGGTGTCCAGACTCTCAACCCCGCACCGGCGAACCCAAACCGCCCCTCCCCCTACCATCTCCACCCTCTGAAACACCACGTCGAACCCCAAAATTAAAAGCCCCAAAATCGATTTTTAGGGCTTCGATTTTGGGGTTTTAAGGTTTCGCGTGGTATTTTTGGCCGGGCGGCGACGACGTGGGCCTAGGGGAGGGGACTTGGGCTGCCGGCGAAGGGGATTCGGGTCAGGCGTCGGTGGTGGCGAGGAGGCTAGGTGGGTGTTGTGGGGAGGTTGTTGGGCTAAGGTGGCTCATTAGTGGGGGGTTAGAGGTGGTGGTTTGGGAGATGTCGGGATGGGTCAGAGGTTTCGGGTCAGACGTCGTCGGCACCGGGGATTTGGTAGGGGTGCCGGCCGCCAGCCGCCGGCAGGGGAGGGGAGGCTTGGCAGTGGGTGGGGGAAGGGGTGGTTGATTTTTTTAATTTTAGTATAATTTTAAATTGTTAAAAATAATTAAAAACCTAACTATTGTTAAAAAAAAACCTAACTATAGTTAAATTTTTAATAAAATATAATAATTAATGTCATAAGTAATAAGTATAAAAAGTTAGAGTTTACCAAAGATAATTTATAAAACTTTGTTTACCACTTAGAAAATGAAAAAGTTGGAGTTTACCAAAGAGAATTTCCCTATTTTCTTTGATTTGTCTCCATTAGTTAATGAGTTCAAGATGGTTCCAAGGATAGTTTAGATCTAAATGGGCTTCACTATATTAAGTTACAAGAGATTTGATGGTCACCCCACATAGCAGTATTATAATTCAATTGGTCTTCGATAAAACAGTACAATGCACATGGTACAACCCATTGGACAAACTAAACAAACGTCTTAAATGACTAAACTAGCATCAATAATGGATACTCAGGTGATAGCCATAAAAGTGCCCACCTAAAACGAGGCATACTATTTATTAAGTCCCACCTTCCAAGCACAAACACAGTGAAAGACTAAACAGGTGAGACAACACCTTACTCATAAAGAGAACACACAATGTGATTGTATGGTACATATGGCACAGACATTGGGCACACAATAGTAATTCAACACTAGTCATGAATGCAATAAAATGCTCCATTAAATGCCATTATCTCTCGGAATCCTATGTTTAGTAGTTTAGTACCCAAAGGTATACCCTAATACTCCATCAAAGATTCAAAGGCACCAATAAAAAATGAGAGTCCAAGAAACTATTTCATTTTCTAGGGTCCCAAACCTATCTAATCTATGTAGATCACCTCAAACTCTAGCCAAGAAATTATAAGAAAAACCAAACCCTTATATCACACATCTATGCCAGCCTGGGAATTGCTCATTTGCAGCTACAATAGCATCATACATTCATACCAAATCTTTAACAGCAAAACCTATGAACAAAACTACATACATATACTATTATCACCACCTCAATTTTCTTTTTCTCTCTCTCTCTCTCACACACACACACACCCACAAGACTAAAGACTAACTTATCAAAACAAAGAAAATAAGAAATTCAATTGATCACCGTCTCATTTAATAGACTTAAAAGGATCAATATTCCTCAACAATAAAGATGGAAGAATAAGGTTACCTTTAAGTTCAAAACACTTCTAAACCGTTCAATGTCGAAATGTATGAGCTTAAAGTGGTGAATTCCAACCTAAATCCACACCCAAACAAGCAGCCCCCCTCCCACACCCTCCTTAATTCGGCCGCAGATAAGAGCTTGTTCAATTTCATGACAATACTACATCAACCATCTCATACTCCTATTTTAAGATCAACAGTTTCTCAATTTAAATGAAAAAAAAGAAGCAACAATTATAGCACTACACCCTAACAAATGACTTATCCTCTCAATTGGAAAAGAAGACAATTGGCAAGAGTGGCAAATCGCACCCCCAATACTCATTGAGTGAATACAATTACAAAACATTTGTACCAAAACAAGCTTTAGAAGAATGTAAACCAATAAAATTGTTGTAATCAATCAGTAATTACAACAAAACAAGTCATCAAGTAAACCCTAAAATGAAAAATTGAAAAGGGGAAACCCTAAATTACTAATTCCATCAAATTATAATCACAAAACTTGAGCAATTTCAATAATGCAAGTCAAATAAGCATGATTAAAACCCAATCGACAACATCGGAGGCTCAATTGTATAGAAACCCTAAATTATAGATCAACTTTTATATAAAAATAAATAAATAATTGATTCGAAGGATTAGAAAAACTCACGATACTCTGAAGACGTTAAGAGGAATGATCGAAGAGATGGATGAATTTGAATCGCCATTGAATTGCAGGTGAGATTGTTATGTTGCAGAAATTTTGGGCGAAAATGTATGAGAAGGGAGATAGACAATAATTCGCGCCAAAAACAGTAATGCGCGGTTGCAAACCATCCTGCACCCGCCGTTGGATATTAAATTCACCAACGAACTCTTCTGTCTAAGTTGTTGGCTTGGATTCTCAAATTTTAGTATACAGAGTTAAAAAGTTTGTTTGTGAATTTGTCTCAATTATTCCGGAACAGAGGGAGTACAAGCTAGCTGAAGAAGTGCTCAAAAGTGTTCGTAAAAGTAGACGACTATACACAACAATAATTATTATTCACTATATATATTTTTTCAGAGCCTTTTTGGTGCAGCAGGCCACACGGTGTGACCTGCTGCCAAATCAGCAAAAATAACATACTCAGACGCGCGCATAATAGGGTTACTGGTTTTGTCAGGGTTACTTATATTTTTTTTTCGAGGTTACTTGTATTTTTTTTTTCGGGGTTACTTGTATTGATTACTTATCCAGTGGTTACTTGTATTTTTCAGGGGTTACTTGTATGAATTACTTATTTTAGGGGTTACTTATTCAAGGGTTACTTGTATGAGTTACTTATTCAGTGGTTACTTGTATGAGTTACTTATTCAAGGATTACTTATAGGCCCCATACTACACCAGTATCACCATACAAGTAACCCCTAGTCAAAACCAATAACACCCCACAAGTAACGCCTGACCAAACTAGTAACACCCTACAAGTAACCCATAACCAAACCAGTAACACCCTACAATGGAGGAGAGAGAAACCATTAATTCAGCCAAAGGAAACAATCAACACAATTCCTTCCAAACTATCATTAGGTCCATCGAAAACAAAATTCAACAAATAAAAAATAAGTAATCCATACAAGTAATCAATACAAGTAACCCCGAAAAAAAAAATACAAGTAACCCTTGAATTAACTCATACAAGTAACCCCTAAAATAAGTAATCCATACAAGTAACCTCTGAAAAAAATACAAGTAATCCCTAAAAAATACAAGTAATCACTGGATAAGTAATCAATACAAGTAACCTCGAAAAAAAAAAAACAAGTAACCCCTGAAAAATACAAGTAACCCTGACAAAACCAGTAACTCGTTATGCGCGCGTATGAGCCCGTTATTTATACTGATTTGGCAGCAAGCCACACCATGTGGCCAGCCACATACAAAAATCTATGAACTAATTCGGATTTGAGGATCAGTAGTCGATCAATATTATTTATATTTTAGATTTAAGGATAATTATTATATTTTTTTTGTAAAAGCGTACAATTTTCATATAATTTCATAGATACATATACAGTTAAAACTTCCAAATAATTTTATATCAATAGATATAATTAACATGCGGGATTTTGCTTTGCTACTCGAATGCTACTAGAACATATGTCGATCGGTCAATAAAGGTGATTCAAAGCCGGTGGATTTCATATATTTTTTTATCCTTAACTTAATGTAGACTGTTGACCTTACATCGTCTATTTAATCCATGTCTTATAATACAAAACATATTCTTGTGATATCATCTATACATCATACCTAATTTAGTTAATTAACCTCAATAATCTAATTAATCCTCCATTGTCATAGTCAGATAGTCTACTATATACTACTTGTATAGTGTAAGAGTATTACGTACGGAGTAATAATCAATATGATTCCACATAATTAATTTATAATTTTTGGTCGTTTTCTCTCTTCTTATAATTAGATTAGATGCGGATAAGACATAAGTATATGATTGAAATACATTTTGTCAACTTATGACCCACACAAACAACCTAACTATGGAAATTTTTCTTACTATAATTGCATGACAATGCATAATTCACCTATAAATCTATATAATAAATAAATAAATAAAGGCTTAGCTACTTCATTTCATATAACTATATAAGTACTTGCGTTCCCACTTCCCATTGCCAAAATGTGAAAAGTATTTTACTCCTTAGTCATTCATGGTTGAGGTAAATGTATACTTCGTGATTTCGTATTACACTTGATTTTTATATATAAAATTAAACTCTCAGAATTAAATTTCTTACTCTGTATTATCTTAGATTTTGAATAATTGAATTCTTTACTATTAAGAAATTTGAGATTTAGCAATTTTATCAATTTTTCAAACACAGCATAAAAATTGATATTGTGACATTCACAACATGTTGCACCATGATCGACATTAAACAACTACATCATTGTCATCTCACAAACACATAAATAAATAGATAATTGTGATCATTGTTAATTAAAACTATTACTTCAAATTAATTGAAAGATGAACAAACATGCACTTCACATTCTAAAATGCAGTATACCTAAAAATGTATCAATTATACATTTTAATTAATCGATATTCATTAAAATTAACATTATAGCATATATACAACACATAGAGAGTATATGTATATATAGTTATACACATTTCACTTTGCTTCACTTTTGAGATTATTACCAAATTCAAATTATGCGTAGTGTTAGTTTTTTCACGAATTGACATCTAAACCATAGGCTTTAATAACGTTGAATCTTGAACAAATTCACAATCATTACATAGACTTTTTAAGCTTTATTTCTCCTACCATGCAACAATAGTTTTGCATGGGCTGTTAAATAGCCTAAGTGTGAATACACCATTGACAAGAGGCTGAAAACTATTTGAATTCAAGAAATAATAACCAAGTATAAACCATAAAAGAGACGTGCCTCAAACTTAATTTCAAACACCTATAAATCACCCATAATATATTCATTGAATTTACTCAAAATATTTTGCAAAACTATAGCAACTTCAACACGTGCCATAATCTCAAAGCTCCAAAGTTCAATTTTTAGATTTAGGACCGACCATATCCAGTTTTTAATCTATTTTATTTTATTTTTGAACTTTTTAGGGTTTTAGCTCACCCACTTTGTCCACGTGTCCAAAACCCAATTTCCCTCTTACTCATTTTTTGACAACTATATAAACCAAAGTTTCACAATGAAAATAAGTTCGTCATTTCATATAACAATGGCACCTAATACTAATAAGTTTCATATTTGTTCATATACTAAAACATTATGTTATATTGCATCAATTTTAGTATTTGGATTTTTTGGTTCAGTGACTAGCCAAATTAGGCCTGGTTCAAACTTGGTAGCTAAGGAAAACAAAGCATGGATCTCTGAGAATGGAACTTTTGCATTTGGGTTCACTCCTATGTATACAAATGATCAATTGCAGCTTGGTATTTGGTATAATCAAGTTCCTGGAGAAAGAATTTTGGTTTGGTCTGCTAATAGGTAAGCTCCAATCCACCACATTGTACTATTTTTCGCATGTCCAACTTTTTTTACACACTAGTTGTAAATCATATATCATCTACACATCTGTTTATAACTATCGGCATTGTAGAACTATATGAATTTTGGTCATGACTTTCGAGTAAATTGTATTATCGATATAATCAATAGACTCATACTTGTGTCATTTCTCGTACTAAATATGCTTGATATAAGCTTTAGAAACTTTGTGTTACATTTTATAGTTGTTTTTGTAAAATTTTATGTAGAGGAGGATTACACGATTTTAGGATTGATCTGGATTACTTTCCAATGATACACAAGCGTAACATAAGTCGTATATATGTATACAAATTTTTTTGTATGTATACATAAGTTTAACATAAGTCGTATATATATATGTATACAAATATTTTTATACGAGTAGATCCATGATAAAGAGTTTAAGACTAGCTACTTTCCAATGATTATATATACTTGTATTTGTTTATGTCATTTTTTCTCTGTTCCTCTTAAGTATTAAGTGTTATTGGTCAAAGATTGCACCATTAAACAAATTATTTTTACAGTTTTTCTAGATGAGTTCATAAATTTGATGTATTTTAGCCAAAAGAAAAAGAATTTTGATGAACATACTAACTAGTTAAATAAATTTAGTCAATGAAACATAAATCAAGATTAAAACCTAGATCATTACTTTTTTTTTTTTTTCCTTAGTCATTTTACATCATCCTATTGCAGGGGATGATCATCACATGTACATTTTCCCTACTAATATGTCCTGAAACATCCCAATGATTTCCTTCTAGAGACAATCTCGCCACCAAAAACGCGGTGCTGAGCTTCGACAACACCGGAAACCTCGTCCTCCGTGACGGCCGAGCCACCTTATGGTCATCCAACACTTCAAGGGCAGGAGTTGAAGCAGCTGTAATGTCAGAAAGTGGCAACTTTATCCTGTATGATAAAGTTGAGGAACCTGTGTTTCAGACTTTTTCTTATCCTTCTGATACTTTATTACCTGGTCAACCTTTGAATGTATCAATGGAGCTTACATCTTCTAAGAAGTCACCTTCTCATGGAGGTTACTACACCTTAAAAATGCTCCAACAACCAACTTCTCTTAGCCTAGCATTAAGTTATAACTTACCTGATGCACCTGATGACACACTGTCGAATTATTCGTATTGGGCCGGCCCTGATATATCGAATTCCACGGGTGATGTAGTGGCAATGCTAGATGAGAAGGGGAGTTTTGGGGTGGTGTATGGTCCAGGGTCAGCTAATGGTGCAGTGTACGTGTACAAAAATGACCGCGACAGTGATGGATTATTGTACAATAAGTCGTTGACACCGTCTACACGTGCAACGTCTCTAAGGCGGTTAGTGTTAGAGGTAAACGGGAATTTGAGGTTGTATAGGTGGGATAACGACGTTAATGGGTCACGCCAGTGGGTGTCCGAATGGGCAGCCGTGACTAGCTCGTGTGACATAGCTGGAATATGTGGGAATGGTGTGTGCGTCCTAGATAGGACTAAGGCGAATTCGTCTTGCTCTTGCTTGCCTGGGACTGTAAGGGTAGGGGAGGATGATGATAGGTGTTTTGAGAACTCTACATTGACCGGAAAATGCAATGGGAAACACGAAAACCTTACTAAAGAGTTCAAGATAATCGCGGTCCAACAAACAAACTATCACTTCTCAGAGGAATCTGTGATAGCTAACTATAGTGACATCCCTAAAGTTTCAAAGTGTGGAGATGCTTGCTTAGATAATTGTGAGTGTGTTGCTTCAGTGTATGGGTTGAATGAGGAAAAGCCTTATTGTTGGGTGTTAAGAAGGTTGGATTACGGAGGATTTCAAGACCCGAGTTCAACTCTTTTTGTTAAGGTCTTAGGGAATGAATCGGATTGGGATGGATCGTCGAGAAAAGAAGGTGACTCAAGAGGGGATGATAGAAGTGCTCATGAGAAGGCTTTGGTCATTCCCATTGTATTGAGTATGGGGGTGTTAATAGGGTTGTTATGTCTTTTGTTGTACTATAATGTTCATAGGAAGAGATTATTGACGCGAGCAATGGAGAGCTCGTTGATCTTCTCGGGTGCTCCTATTAGTTTCAGCTACCGAGATTTGCAGCATTGCACTTCTAACTTTTCCCAGCTATTAGGAAGAGGTATGGCTTCAAAACTCTCCTTGATTTGAAGTAACCATAAAAACAGAGGAAAAAACAGAGGACTCTGTTTTCCTCTGTTTTGTATTTTATTAACCATTTCTAATGTTATGATGTTAATGATTGGATTAATGTTATAAAGCATTTTTAAGGTTATGATTTTAACGATCGGATTATGATATTATTTGTGACAGGTGGGTTTGGAACTGTATACAAAGGAAGCCTAGGAGATGGGACTTACATTGCAGTGAAGAAGCTTGACAAAATTTTGCCCCATGGAGAGCGCGAATTTATCACTGAAGTCAATACAATTGGCTCAATGCATCACATGAACTTGGTCCGTCTTTGTGGCTATTGCTCCGAGGGTTCACGCAGGTATATAATATTTTGTGACACGACACGCTTATGTGGTGCTACTTATACTCTTGAGAAGCTCCTCGTTTATGTAGATAGTTATAGGTTTTTAACGTATGTTGAGTATAATTGAAATCAATCCAAAGCCATATTTGAACTCAATTAGTAAGCACGAATTGCTAGCTCTATTTGTATATTGACTTTGATTGAACTTATGTGGTTATATGTAGGTTGTTGGTTTATGAATTCATGAAAAATGGATCATTGGACAAATGGATCTTTGCTCCAAACTATAATCGAGACAAAGTACTCGATTGGCCTACACGTTATAATGTAGCCTTAGGCACGGCTCAAGGGATAGCTTACTTCCACGAACAATGTAGGAACCGAATAATTCATTGTGACATCAAGCCAGAAAACATCTTATTAGATGAAAACTTCTGCCCTAAAGTTTCAGATTTTGGATTAGCTAAACTGATGGGAAGAGAACACTCACATGTTGTTACCATGGTTCGAGGTACACGAGGATACTTGGCTCCTGAATGGATTAGTAATCGCCCCATAACCGTTAAGGCAGATGTTTATAGCTATGGAATGCTATTATTAGAAATTATTGGAGGAAGGAGGAACCTTGACATGTCTTATGATGCAGAAGATTTCTTTTACCCTGGATGGGCTTTTACGGTATGCTATTTAGCACTTCATCTTTATTTCTTTGTTCAATATTTGTTTTTACATAGCTACTCAAAGTCAAGTTTGTAAATAACAATCGCTATTTTCAGGAGATGGTAAATGAACAAGCGATCAAAGTCGTGGATAAGCGACTAGGAGTAGCCGTCGATGAGGAAGAAGTTACAAGGGCTCTCAAGATAGCATTTTGGTGTGTGCAAGATGAAGTATCAGTGAGACCTTCAATGGGAGAAGTTGTAAAAATGTTTGAAGGCACAATGGAAGTCAATATGCCTCCAATGCCACAAAACATTTTGGAGTTGATTGAAGAAGGTTTAGATAATGTATACAAAGCTATGAAAAGAGAAAATGATGATCATACAAGTACTTTTACAATTAACACAAACCCGTCATCTCGTGCTACATGTAGTTATTCCACTGTGTCACCTCGATGATAAAAGCCAATTTTGTTGTATTAATTAATTAAGTCAATTTTAGGATTTTTTAAAGTAACATTGTTCCCATAAAATGTAGTACGGAGTAATTGTTAATTTTTCTACAAAATATTTCTTGTTCAATATTTTTTCTCCCACTATGTCGTTACATTAATGAAAGTATTTTTTTTCAACTCCCTTTAAGAATTTCATCAAAAGAGAAAATGATGATCATATAAGTACCTTTACCATTAACACAAACCCGTCATCTCATGCTACATGTAGTTATTCCACTGTCTCACCTCGTTAATAAATGCCATTTTTTTTTTGTATTAATTCATTTTTAGGAATTTTTTTTAATGTAACATTGTTCCTCTATAAAAATGTAGTAATTGTTGGGTTTTCTACAAAATCTTTCGTCTTTGATATATATATTTTTTTACAGTATGTCTTTACATCAATGAAAGTATTTTAAATTCCAACCAAACTAATCTTTAAAAATATAATAAAATAAGTTTATTGAAATTCACATTTCCAAACCACAAATATAGTTCATCAAATCTGGAAACTCATGAAGAGAGAGTGAGATATAGCTCAAGTGGTTAAAGTCCCAAGAGATCTCGCGATCAATTTTCATCATCCGCCCCTCGTGAGTTACTCTAGAAACACACACCAAAAAAAAAATAAAAATACAGGGGCAATGTATAAATTGCAAAATTCAATTATTTACATTAAGAATTCGTGGCTTTACAGATTTCAGACACCTTCTCTTGCTCTCTCTCTCCTGAATATTTCAACTGCAAGATCAGCTGGATTCAAAGTGCATTCAACTTCATCCATTTTAATCTTAATATATGCTGAAGGTACTATTCTTCCCCAATTTCTTAATTCCCAATTTATAAACCCTAGATCTTCTCTTACGGCAACCTTCAATCTTAATTCCGTGTGAATACTCTCTTAGTTTCCAGTTCAATACATTGTTTAAATTCTGCTGCATCTAGTTTAATTAGGAATTTGAGCGCTGGTTCTTGATTTTGTCATGTTTTGGTTGGATTTTAGGCTCCCATTCGTTATCTGGCGTGCTTATCAATTTCAACAGTGAAGAATTGGATTGAATAAAGTGAAAATTCTGCTTTTTTAGGTTTAATTTTAGGTAAATTTTATTTGGTATACTGAAGAGCAAATTCTGGGATAAGATGAGTTCTATAAGTGAATCAAAGTCACCCCATAAAATGTAGATAGTCTTACCCTAGAATTTTGCTCTGGAACGAAGTTACCGAAGCTTTATCTAGAAAAGTATTGATCATAAGTACTTCTGATTAAGGAATCTGAGTCTTTTGTTGTATTTAGGGTTTCTTTTTTCAAGTTGGGATTCTGCACATTGAGTCTTCAACACCCCATCCTACCCAAAATGGATATTGATATATTGGGTATGATTTACGGCATCGTGTACGAAAAAAGTATTGAACGTTTGATTTAATGAAATAGAATGATAATAATTTTGACTGCTGTGAAGAATTTTCGAGTGTCCTAGTGTTTGATTGTATGTAAAAATCCAAGGGAGGGATGTGTTTAGCTTGGAATTGATGAGGAGCTGGAGTAATTGAGAATGGCAGTGGTCACCTGGGACAAGTGATATTGTGTTCTTTCTTTCAGAAAAGCCAAATTGGTTGTCATACCAGAACAAGCCTTCTCTTTTATGAATACCAATATTTTGTAACTTGTAGCCTTTTGTGTTTCTTGAACATCTTTGTGACCTGAGTTACCCGCTATCAAGTGTCTACTTCCAAGTTCACATTCAAGTGACTTTTGGAGGTAAAGTATTGATGCATTTTGTCCTCTGATATGAATATATGTTTTAATTCTTTAAAAGTGATAATTTTATTTGGAATCATACTGCCATTTTCTTATGTGCAGTGAGCTGATTGTAATTTACTTTTTGTGTATGTATTTTAGGAGAAGATGGAAAATATGCGTTATGCTGAGGAGCTAGTAAGAGAATTTCTTGTATTCAGAGGTTTCACTAGTACACTACAAGCTTTTGAGATGGAACTAAATATGGATGTTGGGAAAGGTTTTCAAGTGGACAAGATACTTGACTTGATTTTCTCAAAATATATACCTAAGTTTGAGCCTGAGAAATTGGTTGGCCTCCTTAGTTTCTTTAAGCAGTGTATTTCTTCCTCCGAGACAGTGTTTTATGCTACACTGTCCAAACTGGAGGCCTCTATTCTCCGCTATTATATAGTACATGCTGTTCGTTCAGGAAGGAATGACAAGGTCAAGGAGTTTTTTGATATGCTGGGTGATGACTTGCAGCAAAAAGGAGACGACTGGACTCCATGGTTTGGTGTGTTATCTTTTTTCATTAAGTTATTCTTAACCAACCTTTTTTTTTTCCAGATATTACCTTGTTCGAATACTGTCTGACCTTTGCTTCATATGCAGCTATGCCCTACCTAAAGAATCCTGCTTTAGATCCTCAGTTTCGCATTTATTTCTCAAAGGAGTGGTTGGATGCTTTGCATCTTTCACTAAGGAATTTTCTGAGCCAGATGTTTAGTGGAACTCATATCCTATGTTTTTTTTCCTATCATTTCATGACTAATACTGTCTTGTTAATATGGAAGTGACTAATACTGATGTTAGCTTGATGACTTGTGACTACTGCCTCATTGCCCTGCTCTTACATACAATTTGGCTCGGCTTTGAAACTGTTATTGCTGAGGTATTTGACATGTGGTTGAAACTCGACTCAATGTGAACATTCAGAAAATGAACACACTAAATACACCCCTGTGTCAATTAACTTTTATCCTGGGAACGATCCCTGTTACCTTTTTGTTGACTTCTGGTGCTCTAGATATGTTTATTTTTTTAAAAAAATAACAAAAAATTGAAAGAAGATATTTGAATTTTTTTTTAACAATGGTCTCAGCAAGTGTATATCATGGAACTGAATATTATGAATCGAGAAGCTCTGCTCTCTGCCCTCGGCTTGGATTGTTTTTTTTTTTATTTTTTTTTATTTTTAAATGAAGAACTCTTATCAATATGTGTGTTCTTTTAATTACCAATTAAACTATACTTTAGTGACATAAAGTAGTATACTTGGTGTTTCCTTGACCTCTTCACGCATTCCTGCTTTAATGAAGATAAGCACTGAGAAGAGCACTATCAACCGTCTCAGAAAAGACATTAAGCAGCTAAATTTGAAGTTATCACAACTTCAGGCTGTCCTGGAAGAAAGGGAGGCTCAACTACATCAGCTTAGATGGTAGTCTATTGCATTATTGCTGTTTTTATACAATTATTATATTTATACCCAATACCTCCAAAACGGAAGCTGTTCCTTAGATTCAAGTTGCTGCTTGTTTGTTGTTTGTTTGTACACTAGGAATTGTAGCTTTCTAGTTTCCTTATATGTTATTAAGTTGTAGCTGAAGTATGGAGTTAGAGTTCATAAATTACAAAAGGATAAAGTCAGTTCAACCACAGTGAAATTGGCATTCATCTTTATCTGGATATCTGAGTATTGAACAGGAATACTTTGAAATGAATGGTCAAGTGATGTAGACAACATTTTTTGCCTCACTATACTCCTACTACAATAGAATTGTTAGGAGATGATGATCTCAACTCCCTTGTTGTGTAGCTTATGGGCTCTTTCCATAGGTGTTTGTCTCCCTCCCAACACTAAAAAAAGAGAAAAAAAAATTCTTGACTTTGTTGTTTTTCTCGCACAGTGGTACTGTGTTAATGGGACAAGAAGATAACTCTGTGAAAAGTGCTTCTGTGGTTTCTGAAGAGGCAAGTCTATCCACTACATCTAAAAGTGAGCTTGAAACTGGATTCCAGAGCCATGAAGTGGTTGGATGTTCGGATTTGTCCAACACGACTGCCTACAATGCTGATCATGCCCCAAGTTCTTCTGGAAATCCACCAGTTAGCAGTGATCATAATGGAATCCGTGTTTCCAAATATGGATTATATAGTGGTAATATTATCTTATCTTTGATACCTGATTATATATTCATTGGATTTACATATTGTGCAAAACAATTTTTTTTTTTTTTTTGAATGTAAAAGTAAACTAATGAGTTGACCTATAGCAGAATTCTTATTGGAAATTCCTAAAACCCGGTAACACATGGAATTTGGAAAAAAAAAAATAATGTTATTTCTATGGTTGAGCTTATGAGCTCTATATTTTTGTAACAGGAAACTAACTACACAGCAAGCCAATTTAGTTGAGCATTTGATCCTTATATGAAATTGTGAATCGAATAAGGCTTAAAAGTGGCATTTGATTTTTTATTTTTTATTTTTTATTTTTTATGCATTACTTCCCTCCTTTTTACTTTCATCATTTGGATTATCATGCTTATCTATGCATAACTTTGACCGTGAATATATTTGATCATATTTTAGTAAAATTATAAAAAGTTGATATTTTGAAATTATATATTGAGACAAGTTTGAAAAGATCTCATATGACTATAATCTTCCTTATGTATATGTCACAAAATATAGTTAAAAGACAATGTGTTAATAATTTTAAAGTCCTCCCTCCAAAAAAAAAAAAAAAAAAAAAATTCAAATCTAATATATAATTTCAGAGTCGTTTTCATGACAAGCCTCCAAATCCCCAATCCTCAAATCTCATGCATTTGAGTTTATTTTTTTATTTTTTTATTTTTTTTTTATTAAAGTAAAAAATAACTACTTATCCCACAACTAATTTTTTTTAATCATCCAAAAAAAAAAAAAACTACCCATCCAATACCTTCTTTCTGTTTTTCTTTTTGTTTTTTTTCAAGGAACTACTACTAACATTTAACTTTTTTTCTTATTTTATTTTTATTTTTATTTTTATTTTTTTTGGATACGTAGTATAATATATGACAAGCATTAGCACGAGTATACAGTTCATTCATCAACTATTCACTATAGCACTCAAAACCCCCAACATTTCACCTTTTTTAAACAATATGTACCAACATTTCACTTTGTTTTATGAGTTTTTTTTGATACATAGTATAATATATGTCATGCATTAGCATGAATATATAGTTCTTTTATCAATAATTCACTAAAGTACTCTAAATCCCCAACCCTTCAATTATATGCAATTTTTTTAGGGACTACCCTCTAAATAATTTTTACTACTCTGATCATCAAAAAAAAAAAAAAATGTCCAACACGTTTTTGCGCAACTGACCTCACCGAATAACTATTTGCAACAGATTAAAGTATATAACTCCTAGACCAAGACACTAACCCATATGAAACTAACTGAGTAACCCCTATAACACTAAACGAGTAACCTCTATAACTTTGACAAAGTAAACCCCATAATAGCTAGCTACATTGCGTGGCCACCGACATAAAAGAGTAAGACCCTGTTTCTTGAGCTTCTAAGCAAAGCAGGGAAAATTATATGCAGAGCAGGTGTCAGAATGACAAAACAAGTGGCAGCACATTATTAATACGATTATTAATACTCACTAGCGCAAAGTTGAGCAGGGTTCAACAGAGTCGACTAGTCCAAAACCAACCATTACAGCCCAAGTATAAGTTACAACATCAAGATCAACTTTCCATATTTTAAATATATTTTTTTTATATATATCCCGTGCATTTTGCACGGGTACACTCTAGTGTTGCAAGTATTAAAGAACGGTGGAAGAATCCTTTTGCATTTGATATTTGGGCCCACACTGTCCCAAGATTAAGATAAAATAATATTCACTGCATAGAGGAATGATTGGCTTACTCATCTAAGTGCATAATAAATTATTAGTTATGAACTATGGAGTCCTGGTGACTATGAAATTGGAGAGAAAGAGAAGTACTAAGTATTAAATTTTTACTACTGCCCTCAAGTAAGAATCTCAGTGAGGAGAGTAGGGAAAAAAGGTCCATTATTTTCTTCCCAAAAAGCAGTGACTTCAAGGCTCTTGATCTTATAGGTAGTTAGTAATATTTGTGTTTGCACCTTTTGGTTTTGTTTTCTGCTTTTATGATTGCTTCCGGATAAACTAGTAGGAGTATGACTTCTAGTTTTTTGAATGGGTAGTAGAGCTTGATGTATTAGTTTCTTCCTCCACCCCCTCCTCCCTAAGCAGGGTTTGTCATATAAATTATATAAGTTTTGATCCCATGTCAAGGATCCTGATACCAATTGCTCCTTGGGTTTTTAAAAAGGGAAAAAATAGCTATCTAGTTAAGGAGTAACGAGATTGTAGATGTTGCCAACTGAGCATCAGTTGCTGACTTTCTGATTTTGTGACATGAAAAAATGCCTTTGTTATTAATCATGTATATTGCATGACTTGCATGTGCTTTTAGGCTATCTAAAGATTTTTCTTTCTCAATTACGTCTTGTTGATTGTGTTATGACAGAAAAGTCGGCTGTGGTCCTAGGTGAGGAAGAATTTTCAGAAGTAAAAGTGCAGTTTCAGGTAGAGCTTCATGTTTAAGTTATTTTTGGGAAATTTGCTATATGATGCACCAACTTTCACATGTCAGCAAACACTGGCACCTACTTCATCAGCTCCAATGAATATTAAGTTTAGTCATGAACTCATGATAATGCAGATAATCAACTATATGTTACTCTTCACTTTTTCGGAGGATGAAGATGCCATCTAACTTTGTTTTTTATTATCTTAATTTCATCATTGTTCTCTTAGCTCATATAAAATTCTGATGGCATTTGTTATAAGGAAACATTTCTGGGGCATACAAGTCCCATAAGTAGGTCCCGCTTTTCAGCATCTGGGGATAATATTGCAAGTGCTTCTACAGATGGGACAGTCAGGTATCTACTGTAGCTGTTCACGTTTAATGTTGAGCTCTTTCTTGCTTTTTGAAGAGAAGGGTGATAATTTTAAATGCATAATGCCAATTTCACTTAATTGTCTGAGCAGAGGTATTTTAAATTGTTTTCAATCTTTTAATGTGGGCTTGCAATATAAAGTTTAATAAGCTGCCTAATGATGTCTGGCTAATTACATGCTTACGTCATTGTATTATTTGGATGGAGCACCCTTCTTTCTTTGAAAGGGGAATTTTTATTTTAATTCATGGGAGCAAGATATGTATGGAGATGGGAGAGTATTTACTTGTATATTTATTTATTTATTTGTTGTTCCTTTAAATAGAATTAAGGACCATGGTACTTTGGTAGTCACCTTCTTTAAAAGAACAGAGATTGGAGGGGCTTAATATTATATCTTTAATGGGGAATCAGTGAAATTTAATCAATTGTTTTATTATTCTGCTCTCTATGATTCCTGAAGTGGAATACTGACGTTAGGTTTGGTGTGTTGGTGATAAAGGATTTGGACGTATGACTCATCCACGCCAGGATCTAGAAACGCCACCATATATTGTGGAGCGGAAATTCTGTCTCTTGACTGGGATTGTAAGTCTGATCGCTTGGTATGCTGCTTCTCTTCTATCCCTTTTAGGGGTGTGTGGGTGTACATTGCATTACTTTTCTCTAATCGACATTCAATGAAAAGTTTGCTTTCTTCAATTGATATTACCCTTTAATTATATCTCTTTTTGGCTTGACAAAAGCTTCTGATAGGCACTGCTGAGGGAGGCATCAAGGCATGGAATGTGGATGCAAAAAGAGTCGTTTGTGATCTCAGCACTGGTCAAACATTTCGAAGGTTGTTTCTGGACTAAGAACTTTTTTAAGTCCTTGTTGATTCATTGTGCTGATTGCTGTGCCTACATAACAGGGTACTAGATATAAAATGCAGCCCTTTGGAACCCATTTTTGTTTCTGCAGCTGCATCTGAAGGGTATACATCTGCTTTTATTTTTTCCTATTCATTTTTAGTACAATGATCCTTATTTGATTTTTTGTTCATCTTTCATTCTAGTTCATTTATGTTCCTTGAAAAGGAGGACAGCTTCTCGTTATAAAACTTTTACTCAGTCAAACTAAGGCATATTGTTCTTTTAGTTTTTGAAAATCGAGGATAGCTATTAAATATGAGCATTATTTTCTTATTTATTTGTCCAAACTCTTTATGGCCGAAAGAATCTAGATTCGGGAATCATAGATTGGTTGTGCTTCTCTATGTTTCTGAACTTTCTGTTCATTTATTATAACTCGAGGGTGACATGCAATAGTCATTTGTTATTTTCTTTTTCATGAATAGGGATGAAACAACACATGCTAACACCATGGGATATGCTTCACTAACTGTTTGGAACATGAAGACGTGGAAGCCTGTGGTATGTTGTTGTTTTCCAAATATTATTATTTTAATAATAAAGATCGATCTTTTGATGACATTTTACTCTGTGAAGACAGTCCTTCCGCTTGGTGAAGAGCCCCCAGCGATAACCTCTATGTGCTTCAATCACAATGGAAAGATTTTAGCTGCTGCTGCTGTTGATGGGATGATTCACATGTTTGGTATCCTTACACGTTTGCATGTCTCCTTTGGTGTGGTGATATATGTATATTTTGTTGGTTGCTCTGCATTACATATCAAAGTGAGAGTATCTGGATACTTAGTTTGTAGGATCATATCCTGCCAAGCCCTGCATTATCCATCCCATGGAGATTCAAAATTCTACATCGTGGACCTCTTATCTGTTCTCAAAGTAGAGAGATTGTTTTAATAGCCTTTTTTTTATTACCCCATTATAAAAATTCCAGATGCATGATTATGCTACTCAGGTTCTTGAATGCATGGAAATGTATTGATATTAATTTCAGGCGATACTCATATCTGTAGCCAGACATCTGAGTATTCTGAGTCCTTGACTAACATAAGACATGTCTGCGGGTCTGCAAATTACTGGATGGCCAGCTCACGATTGTTCCATCAGCTCCATTCTTTTCGGACATGATGAGACAAGTATATTTACTTTGGGATCGGATGGAAAAGTAAGTAGTTTAATCTTTTGTGCAACTTCAGCAATAATTTGGACTGTTGCTGAAAAGGAATCGGATATTTTATGGGTTCAGGTATTTGAATGGAGCTTACAAAATCAAGGTCGAGTTGTCTGGTCAGCAGATTGCAGCAGGTATTAGCATTCCTGTATAAAAAATATTGATGCCACGTGAATTTTTACACCATTTTGGCTAGTTGCATGTATCATTTTGTGTATAGATGCCTTTTTTGACGCAATGACCTATGGCAAGGTGTTTATCATATGACTTCTTCATTCTTTGCTTTTCTTGCCGTGTGCTGCATCATTATAGAACCGGCCTGGATCAGGTTAAGCTGTAGAGGTACCTAATGTATCAATGTTACCTAACATTGTTAAATTAATTTTGCAAATAGACTAGATACTTCAGATTACTACAGCTCCCACTCATGGTGAGGTGGATTTTTGTTCCTTGTCTTAATGTCTTTGCTAATCTGAAACTTGTTTTTTAACTGTTGTTGTATGGATCTTCTTGCCAACTGTATATTTGACTTGTACTATGTGTTGTTATGAAGTACTTGTCTTAAAAATATATATATATATATATAGACATCAAGAGATGCTGAAAATGAATAATTAGAATCACAAGTTTTCTCATTCTGTAGGTTCTGCAATCCTGATACCTCGAAACACTGCCGTCATGAAATGGCGCTGGACTGTACTGGAAAGAGACTGCTAGTGACCTCTGATTTAGTACGATCACCCATGTATCAGGTACAGTTCACCTCTGTTGCTGAACTAATATATCAATCTAGTACGTCTATTTCCATAATAAATTCATCAATGTCACTGGCCTAAATTTTTTTCCTTAACTAAGAATGCAAAATCTTTTTTTGATTCTAGACCACATATTACTAAAGAAGTAAAGATGATACTGGGCTGGCATTTTTTTCCTTTACATCTTATAGTTTGTTTTCTGTTTTCTAGGTTGGAAGTCTTGCAAACGGATCAAAAACTCTACCACACAGTGCTGCTGTGACAACTGTCGATTGGCATCCGACCCTACCTATATATCTTACTGGTTCTGGTGATAATTCAGTTCGTGTTACATCCATTTTGTAAGAAATCATATTTATGCCTAATTGGGCAATAGTACAGGTTCTTATCTGTTCTCTAGTTACAGCCTAAAAGGTATGGAATTTGGCTTGGAAAATCTTATTTTTCTTGTTATAACTAGATGCATGTTTGTAGGAACCTTTTTTTTTTCTTTACTCCACAAAGATGAATTTCCAGAACTTTTAGTGTACTGTTTTTAAATCTTGAAATCATTCAAGTAGTAAAATTAGAGGGAGACCCAGTCAATTTATCTTCGTGATAAACAAAAATCGTTTATCTAGTGGCATTTTCGTAAATAAATCAACAAAACATCTTAATTAGCACGACATTTTCGTAAATAAATCAACATTTGTGGGACCCGCATTTAATAAAAGTTGTTGACTTATTTGCAGAAATGTCACTAGATATATACGGTATTTTTTTTATTTATTATCTCTTTTTAGAAAAGAAGTACTTTTTTGTTTATCATGAAGATAAACTTGTATTTTCATGGGGGAGACCCACTTTATCACCCATCCACTGTCATTCAACTATGCCTTTTAAACCAGATTTTAATTGTTACTTTCTCACCTAGATACATTCCATGATAGTGTGAGAATGAATTTGTTGTGCTTATGTTTAAAAAGTGGCAGCGAAGAAAAATCATTTTAGAAAGATGGGTGCTGCAAAGATGCATATATTGAGATAGATACGTGGGAACTTTTTAAGGATAGAATTAGGAATGACATAATTCATTAATTTGGAGGGTAGTTGGAGTTACCGATATTGAGGATAAGGAAGAATCAGTTGTGTTGGTTTGGGCTTTTGAGGTGATGACCAGGAGATACACCAGTAATTAATGTGAAAAGTTTAGATCACGGAGATTTTAGAAGAAGCCAACGAAGGCCAAAGATGACTTGGATTGAGGGAGTTCGAGTTGATATAAAGAAATAGGTTTACATAAGTATATAACTACTTCATAGAAGTAAATGGAGGGAGATGATCTTTGTCAATGGCCTGCGTAGATAAAAGCTTCATGTTGCTAACCACATCCTTTTGCATATATTATGACATTGTATATTTAAAAAGTATGTCATTTGTATATTTGTACAACTGTTATTAATATATCCGGATAGAAACTAATGTCCAATGACGCGTTGATTTTATTTTTATTTACTGTATTTCTTTGGACGAAATATCAAATGTTTACACTTTAATGCTGTTAGAGTGTTGGGTGTGTTAACTTTTTTTTTTTTTTTTTTCTCGTGTCAATGTTAATATACTGTATAAACAGATGCTTTGAATTAAATGTCAGTAATGGGTAGGGGGGAAATCGCATGAAACTGCATTAGTGCAATCTCCACTTCCGGTGTGGATAGACTCAATTAGTCCATGATTTACAATATATAATAGATAAGTAGCCCCACTCTATTGTGACCTAGATTTGAATTAGTCTAAAGGCATCAAAAATCTGACTAGCCAAGATTTGAATTAGTCTAAAGCTATGTACAGATGTACTTCAACACCCTCATTAACCTCAAAAATTGTGTCGTGTGCTGTCTTGCCAGTGTTACGTTACTTACTTAGATACTTTATTTTTAACTAAAAACTTGACTTTTTTCAACGAAATAGCTAGGTTTGACACTTGGACACCCATATATGAGTAGACACTTAATCCTTTTCCAGGTAACGTAGGTATAATGGACCAAGGTTTGAATTAGTCTATAGCAATAAAACATGGTGGGAAACTGGGAATGACTATTCCTACTCGTTTCTTTAATTTTCAAGGGGTGTGGAATATTAAATACCAACTGTAACGTCTGTAAGTAGTGACTGCTTTGAAGCTCGGACTTTGATATTCTTCATCTTTAGAGTCGGGGAGGATGAAGCAAAGTCCAAAAGTTGGTCACTTGCATTTTTATGTGAAATAGCAGGAAAACTTCATAGTTTATGACTTTTAGGCAACCTTATGAACATGACTCGAATTTGGAGACTACTATTATCTTTAAGCTATTGCATGTAAGGATGTCAATTGGGTGGGTTGGAGGCGGAGGATGGTCTCTCCACACCCTTCCCCACCTAAAAATATCATACCCATCCCCGCTCCACCACTTGGATATTCATATCCACCCCATATCGGCTAATTGGACATATATACCATTTCTATTCATACAATATGACCATAATTCCCTTAATTCTACGAGTAAAGCTTGACTTCGACTTATATAACTTTTTTTTTTTTTTGGGGGGGGGGATGGGGCAAGTCTAGTGTAAACTCCATACCCGACCCATCACTCGGTACAATTTTTTATCCCCGTCATTCGCCAAACCTCTCTCCATCCTTGTGGTCTTCTATTTGATCAACCCCACTCACATCCCTATGCATCTTACTTATCATCATTCATCATTGTGATTAGAGTCAATGATTTCTCAGTATATATATTCTACGAACACAATTATTCTAGGGCTCAACAAGTTTCAAACCTGAAATTCCTCTCCTTGAAAAACATGTCAGGATTACATTTAATACGAGAAATTAAGTTTCTCTTGGTTTTTCTAGTTGGGATTTGCTTCACAAAAACCCCTTCCTTTAGCTTTGAAATTAACACCCATAAGTGCATAGAGAAGGAAGGAGAGGCCATTCGCAGCATTCACCCCACCTGTGCTAAACACTACAGTCAGTATTACCATGACTGCTGCAATTGGCCTGGTGTCTATTGCAGCAACCTCACTGGCCATGTTAACCAACTTTTGTTGAGTGAGTTCTTATCATACTGTGAAGATGGTCTTTTGCCTAAAAATATCACTGAACTTTTGCCTCTTCAAAGTCAAACTATCCATTTGGATCCTTCCTTGATTGCTCTTGAAGACTTGATCTACCTAGAGATCACCAACCTAGCAGGTTCTTATGAAGTTCATGCCAACCTAAGCTTTATTGGCTCCTTTCCTAAATTGAGACATCTTATTTTTGCAAGTTTTAATTTAAATAGAGGTATAGATATTCCTCATCAGGTTGGCAATCTTACAAAGTTGCATTATCTGGAAATATCTTATAGCAATATGCTTGCTAGAAGCCTTAACATGCTGTCACATCTTACTTCACTAAGGCACCTCATTTTTCTGAATGTTGATCTCAGTGAAGCTACGGATTGGATTCGTGTTGTCAATAACCTCCCTTCCTTAGAGCACTTGGAGTTGAGTGAATGCTATCCTCCTGATGCTATTCTTCACCCTCATTCTATTATTAATTCCTCCAAGTCACTTGCTTTCCTTGATCTCTCTTATAATTTTCTCAAACCTTCCTCGATATGGACTTGGATCTTCAACCATAGCTCTCTAGTTAGATTCTCCCTGTCTGAGACCCTATCAAGTGATAGTAAAATTCCAAGTAGATTTAGGGAAATGACTTCTCTTTCACATCTCGATCTCTCTAATAATTATCTCAAAGGTGACCTTCCTAGTTCTATCAAGGGTCTTTGCAGGCTTCAAAAATTGGATCTATCTGGAAATAATCTCAAGGAAGATCTTTCGAGCATCTTTCAATCTTTATCCTGTTCAAACAAGTCATTGATGTTCCTCTCATTGCAGAGTAACCACCTTACTGGTTCATTGCCAGATTTCACGAAGTTTCATTCCTTAACAGAGTTGAATCTGGCCTCGAACAGACTAAATGGTTTATTTCCTTCTACTTTTGAAAGACGTTCAAATCTTGTCACATTAAATCTTCAAGAAAATCAACTTACAGGATCTGTGCCTGATCTTTCCATATTTAGGTCACTGAGAGTGTTGCAACTTCAAAATAACCAATTAAATGGCACAATACATGCAGGTCTAGGACAACTTTCAAGGCTTGAGGAGCTGGATGTTTCCTCAAACTCATTGAAAGGTGAGATTAGTGTGAGTCACCTCTTGAATCTCTCTAGGTTGCATCACTTGGATATGTCCTTTAACTCATTGTCTTTTAATGTTGGCTCTGGTTGGGTGCCTCCATTTAGATTGGACACTATAGGACTTGCTTCTTGTAGGTTAGGATCTCGCTTCCCAGAATGGCTTCGAACTCAAACAAATTATGTAAGCTTGGATATGTCACATGCTGGGATATCGGATACCATTCCCTTTTGGTTTTGGAATCTTTCTTCAAGAGCTACATTCATCAGCCTATCTCATAACAGACTTCGTGGTGAGCTTATCAATCCATCAACTAAAAACAGCACGGCTTCCTCGTTCTCTGCCATTGATTTGAGCTCTAACCTCCTTGAGGGTTCTTTAACACTGTACTTTGGAGATTATGATTATCTTAATCTCTCTAGAAATAGTTTCTCTGGGCCAATATCTTTTATCTGCAAAAGTGCATGGATGTTAGGCCTTGACCTTTCACATAACCTCTTTTCTGGTAAGTTACCTGATTGTTGGTCTTTGTTTGGTTTTGATCTATCTGTCTTAGATCTGTCAAATAATAACTTGTCTGGGGAGCTTCCTAGTTCATTTGGTTCCTTAATCAGGTTAAACAGTTTGCATTTGAGAAATAACAAGTTCTCTGGGAAGATACCTTCGTTCTTTTGCAACTTTACCCGATTAGTTTATTTAGATCTTGGTGACAACCTATTTTCTGGAGAAATACCAAAGTGGATGGGGCATATGCTACCAAATTTGACAGTTCTTAGTCTTCGGAACAATTCCTTCTCTGGAAAAATACCTCTAGAACTTTGCCATTTATCTTCTATTCAAATTCTTGATCTGTCTACAAACAATATCTCTGGAGTGATTCCAAATTGTCTGTGCAGCTTTGCTGCAATGACACAGGAACTGAGACCCCCTGTAGATATTCAGGACATGAATGGTACTTTCTTATCCATCGGCCCATACAAAGACTACATCTCCCTTGTATTGAAAGGATTCATTTATGAGTATAAAAACCACCTGGAACTTGTAAAGAGCGTCGATCTTTCAAGTAACATGTTGGGAGGGATCATTCCTGCTGAAATTTCTTGTCTTACAGGATTGATTTCCTTGAACCTTTCAGGAAACAATCTCATTGGACCTATCACTGTAAAGGTTGGTCAGATGAAGTCTCTAGAGTCCTTGGACTTGTCTAATAACCATCTTTCTAGCCAGATTCCTTCAACTCTTACAAATTTGAACTTCTTGGGAACTTTGAGCTTGGCAAATAACAACTTGTCCGGGAGGATTCCTACAGGAACTCAAATTCAAACCTTTGATGCTTCAGCGTTTGCAGGAAATCCTAGACTTTGCGGGGACCCACTTCCGAAGAAGTGCATTGAAGAGGGAGCCAAAGCAGATGAGAACAATAATCACGAGCCCACAAACAACGATGAAGATATATTTTTGGGGTTGTATATCAGTATTGCTCTTGGGTTTATCTCTGGTTTTTGGATGGTCTGTGGTTTCTTGATATTCAAGAGATCTTGGAGATATGTGTATTTTCGCTTATGGATTCATTTGTATGACAGGCTCTATGTGATCACTTCTCTGAAACTTGCTTCTATTCGAAGATGTTTCCAAGCTTGATTTCTATGGTTCTCCATCTGTTCAGTCTGCTGAATACAAAAGTAGTTTTTAAAGAATGAACTCTTATAAATGTCAAGCTTGTAACATGCTCAAATCAGAAGACAGATCATAAAACTGGTGATTTTTTGCTAACGTTTTTCTTTGAGCAAGCACTTTTAGATAGTGTTTCTTGTAGAGTGCATGCTCTGATAGTCTGATGCCTAAGTGCAACCTGTTGATCTTATCTTATCCAAGTCTTAGCTGTGAATAACTCTGTATGCGTCGTGTGAGTATTAGTGAACTTGCTGATTCTTTGAAGCCTTCCTTTGTGTGATTAGTAGTGAACTAACTGTTTCTTTGAAGTCTTCCAATTTGTCGACGTGATAAAGCTGTTTGATTTCTTGAATCTGGTGGTGTTGAATTTTACCAGAGTTATGATTCGCTCGTAAAAGTGAATGCTCCTACTCTCCTAGTATACTATACGGGAGTAGAAGCTTGAATCTTCTGCTGAAAGTGGAATTAAATGACAGGTGCTTTTGTGTGGACGATTCAGACTTTCCAAAGTTTGTAATATTGGATTATTGTACTACTTAAATTTGGATTAGAAAGCGACTGTCCTACATTCCACCCTACCAAAGAGTCAAATTCGACTTGCGTAAGGCGTAGCAAGCTTGCAACCAGGGTCAACACTCTGGGGTCTTTGTAGCTTCATATTTCTTCGCTGCACAATACTGGACTGCTAACTAAAGTTGATTCTTTAGGGCATTGCCATCGTGGATCGTTTTTTTTTTTTCATTGTTTGCGCAAAAATTATTTTAAGTTCCACTATGTCTCGCTCTTTAATTTAGCCCACCAAAACGTAATATTCCCTTCATCTCATTAATAAGGGCTTGTTTTCCATAGTTTACAAATTTTAACAGAGTATAAATGAATTATAAAAAAACATGCATGCAGTCATTGAGAATAATCATAATAAGTACTTGTAATTATTTAAGGGAGACAATAATGAAAAAAAACCCTATTTGAACAATGTGAAGTATAGATGTACCAATTTTAAAGGGTAATTAAGGAAGTTTAGAATTTTTTTTTTTTTTTTTTTTTTTTTGAAATAAGAAAGTTTAGAACTAAAAGTACTTTTTATAAAATACTTGTAGAAGTATGTAGGTTTTTTTTTTGGTGTGGGAAATGTAGGTAATAATGTTAAACTTGTATTTTCTCATTTCTATGGAATGATATTAGACTATAAATTTTTTCTTAAAATAAAGAAGACTTTATTCTGATTTACTGAATTGAACTGAAATGATTAGATCTAAACTGAAGTGAATATTTTATGAGAGAAGGAAATCTGAAACGATGAACAGAACTGAAAGTTCTCAAAAAAAAAAAAAAAAAAAAAAAAACATATATATATAGGGGAAGGTTCTGGTGAGAATTTTTCTTATGTGAGAATTTTTTCTTATGTGAAAACACTATTTATGTTCTAAATTTTTACTTGTATGTTCTAAAATTTTAAATCTGATGTTCTAAACTTTTACTTAGGTGTTCTAAATTAAATCAATTGTTCTAATTTAGTACTCACATATTCTAAACCATAAATTAGTTAAGTTTGATGTCATAAATTTTAAATAACTTGTTCCAAAATTTTAAATTTTATGTTTTAAATTTTAAAACGTGTGTTCTAAAATTTATAATTATATGTTCCATATTTTAAAGTGTATGTTCTATTATTTTATATGTATGTTCTAAATTCCTTACTCACACTTTCTATATTTTATATTAGTTTGTTCTAAATTTTTATTCACATGTTCATAATCTTAAATCATATGTTCTAAGGGCCTGATCTCATTGACTGAACTCAGCTGAACTGAATTGAACTGAACTGAATTGAGCAGAATTGAACTGAGCTAAACTGAACTGAAATGAATATTTTATAAGAGAAGAAAATTAGGAACTAAGCTGAATTGAACTGAACTGAGCTGAACTGAATTGAATTTCAACGTAAGAGAACAAACCCTAAATTTTACTCATATGTTTAAAATTTTTAAAACAAATTTTATATAATTTTAATCACTTGTTCTAATTCTTAAATCAGATGTTCTAAACATATTACTCACACAAATGTTCTAAATTTTTATATATATATAAATGAAAATAAGCCAAAGAGAGTGCCTAAGACTATAAATTTTATAATTAGAAAAAAAAAAAAAAAATTTAAATATGTCGGTGTAGAGGCTTGGTTGCAATTTACAGTCACTCTTGTTCGGTGGGTGATGCTGCCGTTGTTGAAGGTGGTGGAGGAGGAACTCAAATCTCCTTCATCTCTCTTTTTCTCTCTCCTCACTTCCGCCATTGATCAATGGCGCAAAACCACCATTACAACCCAACCTCCAAGAAACCCTCAACCCCATTCTCTCTAACTCTAACCTCTTTCCTCTTCTTATCTCTCCTCTGCTTCGCCTCTCTCCTCCTCGCTTTCTCTCTCTTCCCCTTTTCATCTCTTTCTTCTCAAACCCCCCAATTTCACCCATCATCAGAACCCTGCGATTTCACTGATGGGAATTGGGCTTACGATCCTACTGTTAGATCTGTTCGATATGATCACACTTGCAAGGAGATTTTCAAGGGTTGGAATTGCATTTTGAATAATAAATCCAATGCTTTTGAGATTTCTAAGTGGAGATGGAAGCCCAGAAATTGTCATCTTCCCCCTTTTGATGCTCGAAGATTTCTTGAATTGTTTAGGGATACTAGTATAGGTACTTTCTTTCATTTTTATTGTAATTGATTTTTCTGGGTATTGTTTATTTCTCAGTAATTTTGATGGGTTTTGTTGGATTGGAATTGTTTGGTTTAATTTTGATTGCCTTTGTTGTGAATTTCATTGGCACGATTTATCAGTAAAATATTTTTATATCAATTCATGATCGTATTGTTATTTATTATCGCCCTACCAAATGGGCTATTGAGGAAGGTAGATAAGAATATGGGATTTTTTACTTATTTAAGGTACCTGGTTTTTGTTGGGCTATTTAGGTTTGAATTTGTTTTTTTTTTTTTTTTTTTTTTTCTGAAAATTTCAGTTCTTTTTAGATGATAAATAGTTGGATTGGGGCTGATTCATAGCTAATGGGAATCTTTAGTAGCATTTAAGTTATGGTGGCCGTACTAGATAGATTTTCATATTTTGAGTTTTAGGTTCAGAATTTTCCAATTTTGGAAAATTGTTAAGTTTTTGTTATTCATACCAACAAAGTTGAAGTATTAGTATAAAGTTAAGATAATCGAAATGAAGTTATTAGAGAGAAAACATCAGTAAAATGCATGTAAAAGACGTCCGTAATCACCCTGAAAGGGAGTATTAAATTTCGAGTCCTTGAAGGAGTTGAAGCTAGATATGTTTTAACTTTTAAGCATAGACTCTGAAGTTACTGACTTTATGAAGTTTTGGTGTGTGCAGGATTTATAGGTGATTCATTGAATAGAAATATGTTTGTGTCTCTGTTTTGCATGCTGAGGCAAGTATCAAGTGATGTGAAGAAGTGGCACCCAGCTAAAGCAGATCGAGGGTTTACTTTTCTTCAGTACAATCTTACTATTGCTTATCACCGTACTTATCTATTAGCACGTTACGGTAGGTAAGCCATGTCTTCTGTGTTATTGTACAAGTGCTATTGAATTATTTGCTTCTGCCACTGCTTGTTTTTAGAGTAAAATTGTTTAAAGTTCCACTGAACCTAATCAAATGTTTACCAAGATGATACATTTGGTTGATCAATTATACTATATGAATTTACCAAGATGTTTCAGTCTCTTTTGTGCAACCTTCTCTGTGCTTTATATGTACCAACAGGTGTGGATAGCAACTGTTTAGAAGAAAACAGAGTCACTTGATTATATGTAATAGAACAAACTTTGTACTCAAATTTCCTTCTACTTCTTATTACTTTTTTTATGGTGTAACATGGATTCAACAGTTTCTTATGCTCAGTGAATGAGATTAAAAATAAAAATGTGCTCTTGAATGCAGAAGATTATCAGCATATGTTCCTCAAATATTTACAAGTTGAAAAGAACTAGTCTAAAATTACCATCTTGATAAGCTATGTTTAAAATGGAGCTATTAGATATCATTTTTAACTTTCCACTTATAGAGGACCTTATGTTTCCTTTCCTTGAATAGGTGGTCACCTAATACCAAAGGTGGAGCTCTAGAATCTCTTGGATATAATGATGGGTACCGAGTTGATATTGATGTCCCCGATAGCAAATGGGCTGAAGCTCCTAGCTTCCATGATGTTGTCATCATTAATACTGGACACTGGTAATGTCTACAATCTATACTAGATCCAGCTTCATTTAAGTTACTGTAATGACTTACATTGGTTTTTTGCCCATGCTTATTTTACTTAAATTTTATGTTTTGGATGAAGCATTGAAGCAGATCATTTGTCTGCTTTTTTTTTACCTCCTTTAATGAACTGCATACAATGAAAGCGCATATCCTTTGCATCTTCTCCTTCCCAATAAAACTCTATTTACAACCCATGACCTATACTGTTTGCATTTTCACAAGCCAATATAAGAGACAAAGAAGCCTTATATGAACTGAGTTTTTGAAGCTACTTCATATCAATCTAGTAGAGCTATTGCAGTATGAAATTAAACAATAAATGCTTCTAACCTCGTACCTGGTTAAATACTTCGTATACTACTACTCCCAACATCTTATATAACCTGCACTCTGCCACCAATCACCATGGCGAGCTGATACACAATAAATGCATATTATCTACATCCTTTGTCAGTGGAATTTTTCGATTTTCACAATTTAGAACCTTCGTTCCATATTTTGAGTTATGACATACTAAACTTATCTCCATGAAGGAACATTATGATGCACCATGGCCATATAATCTGACCATAAGTATGTACTAACTACTAAGTACAATGTTGCGGAAATTTGTCAATTTTTTGTGCTTTTTATAGTGAGAAATAGGTCAACGTACTAGCATCTAGCCATCTAGGTTTTATTTTTATGGACTTTCTGGTTTAAAGGGGAGTTTTTAATTTGTTTTGCTTGGCTATATGCAAGTCAAGTAGTTTGAAAAGGAGGTGTGTGTACTTGTTTGTATTCTGTGTGTGTACTTGCTTCTATGTAGAGCTGTCAATTCGGGTAAACGGGTCGGGTAAGAGTGGGTCGGGTTAACTCAATTCGGGTCAATTCGGATTAATTCCATAACATATGCGGTCGGGTTTGGGTTGGGCCATGCTTGAGTCGGGTCACGTCGGGTCATACTTCTTGTCGGATTTAGGTCGGGTTACATTCGGGTCGGGTGAACAATAGGTCGGGTTTAATTCGGGTTTTCATGAGTTATAACGGGTTAGGGTAATTCTCGAGTTCGAGTCGGGTTCGATTTAAGTCAATAATTTGCGGGTTAGAATCAGGTCGGGTCATTTTCAAGTCGGGTCATTCTTGGGTTCAAGTCAGGTTCGGTTCGAGTCAATAATTTGCGGGTTATAATCAAGTTGGGTTATTCTCGGATTCAAGTCCGGTTATGTAAAAGTCAATAATTTGCAGGTTACGGTCAGAGATCGGGTTATTTCCAAGTCAGGTCATATTCGGGTTCAACTAACTATAAATAGATTGTTATCATTTTTTATCAAGCTAATTATTTCCTTTGACTATAATATATATGGCAATATACTAGGGAACTATAGTCTATAATTTAGGAAGATAATTATCTCCTTTAACCATACAACAAATATATATATTATATTTAACTCTTAAATTTGAGGATAATGCTCCTTTCTTTTGCTGGAGTAGACCGACTTGGTCTCCCAAGACAAAATGCTTTAATCAACAATAATAAGGTGGTCTAAATTGCATTTAAGGTGATTCGAAATCGGGTCTGGAATAATTTGGATTGAATTTAGGTTGGGTCAATAACAAGTCGCGTTAATTTCGAGTCGAGTTAGTAATAGAACAGGTTGCATTGTTGGGTCGGCTAAGTAATAGGTCTGGTAAAATTCGAATCGGGTCAATAACAAGTCGGGTTTAATTTTGGTCAGGTCAATAACAAATCGGGTTGATTTCGAGTCGGGTTTGCAATAGGTTAGGTTAATATCAAGTCGGGTTAGGAATGGGTCGGATTAAATTCAGGGCAGGTTAGTAACAAGTCGGGTTAAATTTGGGTTTTGACGGATTAACACAGGTTTGGGTAAATTTCGGTTCAAGTCGGGTTCGGTGCAAGTTAATTAAATTGGCCGTTGTAAATCGGTAAATCAGTGCAAGTTGTTAACCAGTAAATAGGCCGTTTAAAAGCAATATGATGGTTCCACCCACCCAATTGGACTCCAAGAGTATATTACGGACCATGATAAACATTTCGGCAATTTTTATTCCGGCGAAAATAAGTAAAAAATTTCCAAAATTGAAGGCTAATGTCCATGCTTTTTAAAAAATTTTGGAGGTTTCGGGACCTAGTGTTGCAAAGTCTTGAGATTTTAGGTAATACATCTAGGGGTCATATAATTCCTATGAAACCATATATGATCATTATATGTTGTTATAGATGTTCGTGGTAGGGTTGAGTTAATAAAATCGGTGCAAGTATTAACCAGTAAATTGGTTGTTTAAATGAAAATTAGATGGTTATACCCACCCAATTGGATTTCCGGAGGGTAGTAGGGACCATGGTAAACATTTCGAAAATTTTTATTTCTCGGCGAATAAAAGTAAAAAAATTTCAAAATTGAAGGCTAAGATCCACGCTTTTTCAGAAATTTTAGAGGTTTCGAGGCCCGGAGTCGAAAAGCCTTGAAATTTTAGGGGATACATCTCGAGTTCATATAATGCCGTTTGGAACCATATATGATCATTATATATTGTCATAAATGTTAGTGGTAGGCTTGATTTAATGAAATCGGTGCAAGTTGTAAACCGGTAAATTGGCCGTTTAAAGGGAAATTGGATGGTTACACCCACCCAATTAGACTCCTAAAGGGTATTAGGGACCATGGTAAACATTAAGGCAATTTTTATTTCCGGGCGAGAAAAAGTCAAAAAATTCCAAAATTAAAGACTAATATCCACGCTTTTTGAGAAATTTTGGAGGTTTCAGGACCCGGTGTCTTAAAGCCTTGAAATTTAAGGAGATACATTTTGGTGTAATATAATGCCGTTTGGAATCATTTATGATCATTATATGTTGTCATAAATGTACGTGTTAGGCTTGATTTAATGAAATCAGTGTAAGTTTTAAACCGGTAAATTGGCCTTTTAACGACGAATTGGATGGTCACACCCACCCAATTGAACTCCCGGAAGGTATTAGAGACCATGGTAAACATTTCGGCAATTATTATTTCAGGGCGAAAAAAAATCAAAATATTCCAAAATTAAAGGCTAAAATCCATGTTTTTTTGAGAAATTTTGGAGATTTTGAGGCCCGGTGTTGAAAAGCCTTGAAAATTAAAAGGATTTATCTCGGGGTCATATAATGTCGTTTGGAATCATATATAATCATCAAATGTTGTCTTAAATGTTCGTGTTAGGCTTAAAATTGGTGCAAGTTTGAAGGTAAATTGACCGTTTAAAGGCAAATTTGATGGTTCCACCCACCCAATTGGCCTCCTGGAGTGTATTAGGGACCATGATAAATATTTCGGCAATTTTTGTTCTGGGCGATAAAAAGGCAAAAAAATTCAAAAATTAAAGGCTAATATCCACCTTTTTGGGAAATTTTAGAGTGTTTGGGGCCCGGTGTCTAAAAGTCTTGAAATTCAAGTTAATACATCTCTAAGTCATATAATGTCGTTTGGAACCATTTGTAATCATTATTTGTTGTCAAAAATGTTCGTTGTAGGCTTGAGTTAATGAAATCGCTGCAAGTTGTAAATCGGTAAATTGGCAGTTTAAAGGCAAATTGGATGGTTCCACCCATCAAATTGGACTCCCGGAGGGTATTAGGTATTATGGTAAACATTTCGGCAATTTTTATATTCGGGCGAAAAAAAGTCCAAAAAATTCCAAAATTGAAGGCTTATATCCTTGCTTTTTAAGAAATTTTGGAGGGTTCGGGGCCACGTGTCGAAATGCCTTGAGATTTTAGAGAATACTTCTCGGAGTCATATAATGTCATTTAGAAACATATATGATCATTATATTTTGTCATAAATGTTTGTGGTAGGCTTGAGTTAATGAAATCAGTGCGAGTTGTAAATCGGTAAATTAGCCGTTTAAAGGCAAATTTGATGCTTCCGACCACTCAATTGGACTCACGGAAGGTATTAGGGTCCATGGTAAACATTTCGAAAGTTTTTATTCTTGGGCGAAAAAAGTTAAAAAAAATTCCAAAATTGAAGTATAATATCCACGCTTTTTGAGATATTTTGGTGGGGCCTTGTGTCGAAAAGCTTAGAAATTTTAGGGAATATATTTCGGGGTCATATAATGTCGTTTGGAACCATATATGATCATTTTTTTATGTCATAAATGTTCGTTGTAGGCTTTAGTTAATGAAATCAGTGTAAGTTGTAAACCGGTAACTCGGCTGTTTAAAAACAAATTGGTTGGTTGCACCTAGCTAGGTGGACTCCCACAGGGTATTTCCAGGAGAAGAAAATTCTAAAAATTCCAAAATTGAAGTCATTATCCACGCATTTTGCGAAATTTTGGAGGCTTGGTTGTTCGGAGTCGAAAATTGTTGAAATTATAGGGGATAAATCTGGGGGTCATATAGTGACGTTTGGAACCATATATGACCATTATATGTTGTCATAAATTTTCGTGGTAGGCTTGAGTTAATGAAATCAGTGTAAGTTGTAAACCGGTAAATTGGCCGTTTGAAAACAAATTGGATGGTTCCACCCACCCAATTGGACTCCTGAAAGGTATTAGGGACTATGGTAAAATTTTTGGCAATTTTTAAATTTGGGCGAAAAAAATCAAAAAATTCAAAAATTGAAGGCTAATATCCACGCTTCTTAAGAAATTTTGATTGTTTCGGGGCCCGGTGTCGAAAAGCATTGAGATTTTAGGGGATACATCTCGGGGTCATATAATGTTGTTTGGAACCATATACGATCATTATATGTTGTCATAAATGCTTGTGGTAGGCTTGAGTTAATGAAATCGGTGCAAGTTGTAAACCGGTAAATTGGTCATTTAAAGGCAAATGGGATGGTTCCACCCAACCAATTGGACTCCCGGAGGGTATTAGGGACAATGGTAAACATTTCGGCAATTTTTATTTTCGGGTGAAAAAAAGTCAAAAAATTCCAAAAATTAAGACTAATATCCACGCCTTTTGAGAAATTTTGGAGGTCTCAGGTAGAGCTGTCAATTCTGGTAAACGGGTCGAATTTAGATTATTAAGAGTGGGTCGAGTCGGGTCGGGTCAATTCGGATTAATTCCATAACCTATGCGGGTCGAGTTTGGGTTGGGTCATGCTTGTGTCGGGTCACGTCGGGTCATACTTCTTAGTGGGTTTAGGTCGGGTTAATAATAGGTCGGGTCACATTTGGGTCGGGTGAACAATAGGTCGGGTTCAATTCGAATTTTCACGCATTAAAACGGATTAGGGTAATTATCGGGTTCGAGTCGGGTCCGGTTCAAGTCAATAATTTGAGGGTAAGAATCCGGTCGGGTCATTCTCGGGTTTGAGTCGGGTTCGATTCAAATCAATAATATGCGGGTTATAATCTGGTCGAGTCATTTTCAAGTCGGGTCATTCTCGGGTTCAAATCGGGTTCGGTTCAAGTCAATAATTTGCGGGTTATAGTTAGGTTGGGTCATTTCAAGTCGGGTCTTTCTCGGATTCAAGTTGGGTTATGTTCAAGTCAATAATTTGCAGGTTTCAATCAGTTTAGGTCATTTTTATGTCAGGTCATATTCGGGTTCAACTAACTATAAATAGATAATTATCATTTTTATCAAGCTAATTATTTCCTTTGAGTGTAATATATGTGACGATATACTAGGGAACTATAGTCTATAATTTAGGAAAATAATTATCTTCTTTGACCTTCATTCTTAAATTTGAGGATGATGCTCATTTCTTTTGTTGCGTGGACGATTTGGTCTCCCTAGACAAAATGCTTTGATCAACAATAATAAGGTGGTCTAAATTGTATTTAAGGTGATTTGAAACCGGGTCAAAAACAATTTTGGTTGAATTTAGATCGGGTCAATAACAAGTCGTGTTGATTTCGAGTCGGGTTAGTAACAGATCGGGTTGAATTTTTTGGTCGGGTTAGTTTTAGGTTTGGTAAAATTCGGGTCGGGTCAATAACAAGTCGGGGTTAATTTGGGTCGGGTTGATAACAAGTCGGATTGATTTCGAGTCGGGTTTGTAACAGGTTGGGTTAAATTAGGGTCGGGTTGAACTCTGGTCAGGTTAGTAACAAGTCGGGTTAAATTCGGGTTTTGACGGGTTAAAATGGGTTTGGGTCGATTTCGGTTCAAGTCGGGTTTGATTCAAGTCAATAATTTACGGGTTACATTCGGGTCGACATCTCTAGGTCAATTCATGTTCGGGTTCGAGTCTCACGTATTCGAGTCAACTCGGGTCTAGGGTTAGTTTCAGGTCGGGTCAAGTCAGGTTTGAGTCACCATTTTTTCGAGTTCAGATGGTTTGGTTAATTATCGTGTTTGAATCGGTATTTCGGGTTGTGTCAACTTTTGACAGCTCTACTTCTATGTCTAGTATGAGTGGAAGGTTTGAACTATTTTTCATTTAGAAAAATTTGTCAAGAATAAGTCAACCTTTGTCCGGTTCGCTCAAAATAAGCCAACCTTTCAATTAACCCGAAATAATCCAACCTTTATAGGGTATCCACTTTATAGGTTATTAATTGGTTTTTAATGTTAATTGTGACACGTGTCAAAATGTGGTTCGTTATTTTTCTAATAATAATTAATTAGGAATTATTATATGATTAATTATTAAAAAAATCTATTAATTATAAAAAAAAAAAAAAAAAAAAACCAACCCAACCCCCCCTGCCCAGGCCACCGGTGGCCGGCGATCACAAATTTCCCCGGCGCTGACACCGACGGCCTCTCCCCCCACCCACGACGCTCCCACCCAACCCCTTCCCCTTTCCCCATTCCTTTCCCCACCCCGACACGGCACCACTCCCCTTCACCCCCTCACGGAAACGACCCCCTCCCCCGTCTCCGTGCCGAAGTCGACCCCTCCCTCCCCTTCCCCACCGTCAGTCCACCCCCCAAACCCTTAAACCCACCCTAACAAAATCAGAATCGGGGTTTAAGTGTTTTGGGGTGTCGATTGACGGCGGGGAAGAGGAGGGAGGGGTCGACTCCGGCAGGGGGTCGGGGTGGGAAAGGGGAACGGGAAGAAGTGGGGGTTGGGTGGGGGGCATCGTGGGCGGCGGTCTGGCAGGGAAGGCGGGTTGGGATTTTTTTCCTTTTTTTTTTTTGAAATTTATAATTATTAGATTTTTTATAATTAATCATATGATAATTCCTAATCAACTATTATTAGAAAAATGACGAATCACATTCTAACACGTGTCACAATTAACCTTAATAACCGGTTACAACAAGTTTTGACTCATTTAAAGTGGACACCCTATAAAGGTTGGATTATTCCGAGTTAATCGAAAGGTTGACTTATTTTAAGCGAACCGGGCAAAGGTTGGCTTATTCTTGACAAATTTTCCTTGCATTTTTGGAAAAAAAAAAAAAAAAAAAAAGGTGTTTAATCTTAAGATAAAATTAGCATCTAGATAATTACTAAACAAATCTATGCTTTCAAGTTGTTGTCAAAAGTTTATAGGTCAGGGAAAAGTGGAGTAACTTTGTTTACCTCACTGATATTGCAGGTGGTGGGCTCCCTCAAAGTTTGATCCAGTAAAGTCACCTATGCTCTTTTTTGAGAAAGGAATGCCTATACTGCCTCCAGTATCTCCTGATGTCGGTCTGGATATGGTCCTGAAACAAATGGTACTGAGTTATTTTATTTTCCTATGCTTCCGCCTGTTAAATTTAGTGTATGATGGGAACTAGAAAGTTTTCTATGCCTATGGAACCAATAGAAACATCAAAATGGCTTCTCTTGATGTTAGGTTGCTCTTTTCTGGTTTTCTCCTAGAAATGGAGGAGAGAGTTGAGACATTGCTGAAGGATGCTTATATTTGTGCATCACATGTTCTTGTCTTTAATCTTATGAGGTCGGTTCAGCAGCTTGTAATTACATTTAGCAAGTTAGGCTCGCAACCTCTGTCTATCTTTGCTTTTCTTGAAGCTTCATTACCTCTCTCGATTGTGTTGTTTATTATACCTATACATAACAATCAGTCCACCACCCTTTGAGTAAGGCACCACATGTTTGTTAGATCCTTTGTTGGATTTCATCAAAAATCTTCTTATCCTTAGAAGATTGAGTGAGGCAAAAGTTAAACATTGATTATAAATAGATGCATTGGTCATTTTCCCTGGCTCACACCATTCTGGAACAATTTCCGTAGTAGGCCTCTTTCATGGCATACCCATCACCAATAAGCAACCAGAGATCCATGTCTTTTTGTCTATCTCTGTCCTTGTTATGCTGATGTTCTTTCTCAAGTTCACGAGTTTTTTGTTTCTTGATTTCAGATATCATATGTGGAGAGCAAAATGCGACCTGGTGCAATAAGAATATTCCGCACACAATCCCCCAGACATTTTGAGGGAGGCGACTGGGACCATGGTGGTTCTTGCCCGCGCTCAAAGCCTTTGTTATCACAAGAAGTAGGTCATTTTATCAGTTGCTGCTGATTTTGACATGTGAAAGTCTTTACTATGTATATTTTTCCTTCAACAGAAAATTTGTTACCAAAACCTGACTTAATGTTTGACTTGCCCAGGTTGAAGAACTTTTCAACGTGGAAAATAACGGAACAAATGTTGAGACACGCCTTGTCAACCATCACTTGTACAAGACCCTTAAAGGATCCAGTTTCTTTGTTTTGAACATAACCCATATGAGTGAATATAGAGCAGATGCCCATCCCTCAAAAGCTGGTGGAAAGAGGCATGATGATTGCATGCATTGGTGTTTACCTGGCCTTACAGATACATGGAACGATTTATTTGCTGCATACTTGAATTTTGTAAAAGATCATAGCTAGTTCATTCTATTTATTGGTAGTTTTGTTGATATATATTGTTCATTATCAATCTCTAGGCCCAATCACCCCCTCATTAGCCACTGAGGCACTGAGTCTTTATATCCCACTGAGTCTGGTTAGAGGGGGATAACCTAAAATTCCCTGTCTGTTTTGGCCATTAAGCTACTTTGGGTTCAAGCTATAAGAAGGTATTCGAAGCCTTGATGCAGGATGACTCCACTTGTGCAATCTAATTATCTTAGTTAAGTAAAGCCTACAGCAGATCCTGAAAACTGCTTGAACTTGTACATTTTTGCCAACAAGATCTTAAATATTTCTCTGGTAGAGAATTAACAAGGTTCAATTGCTCTCTATTAGCCACACATAGAGCTGTCAATTTGGGTAAACGGGCCGGGTTTAGGTCGGGTAAGAGTGGGTTGGGTCAACAATTCATATTAAAGCCATAACCTATGCGGGTCGGTTTGGGTTGGGTCATACTTCTTAACGGGTTTGGGTCTGGTTTAGGCCGGGTTAATAACAGGTCGAGTTACATTCGAGTCGGGTGAACAATAGGTCGGGTTTAATTTGGGTTTTCACGGGTTAAAACGGGTAGGGTAATTCTCGTGTTCGGTTCAAGTCAATAATTTACGGGTTAGAATCAGGTTGGGTCATTCTCGAGTTTGAGTCAGGTTCGGTTTAAGTCAATAATTTGCGGATTATAATCAGGTCGGGTCATTCTCGGGTTCAAGTCGGGTTCGGTTCAAGTCAATAATTTGCGGGTTACAATCAGGTTGAGTAATTCTCGGATTCAAGTCAGGTTATGTTCCAGCCAATAATTTGCAGGATACAATCACGTCGGGTCATTTCCAAGTTAGGTCATATTTGGGTTCAACTAACTATAAATAGATTATTATCATTTTTATCAAGCTAATTATTTCCTTTAATTTGACTATAATATATATGACAATATACTAGAAAACTATGCCTTCAAAAAAATATATATATACTAGGAAACTATTGTCTATAATTTAGGAAAACAATTATCTCCTTTGACCATACAACAAATATTTACTATATTTAACTCTTAAATTTGAGGATGATGCTCCTTTCTTTTGCTGGCCTATACCGACTTCGTCTACCCAGACAAAATGCTTTGATCAACAATAATAAGGTGGTCTAAATTGCATTTAAGGTAATTTGAAATCAGGTTAGAAACAATTTGGGTTGAATTTAGGTCGGGTCAATAACAAGTCGTGTTAATTTCGAGTCGGGTTAGTAACCGATCGGGTTGAATTTTTGGGTCGGGTAAGTAACAGGTCTGGTAAAATTTGGGTCGAGTCAATAACAAGTTGGATTGAATTTGGGTCAGGTCAATAACAAGTCGGTTGATTTCGGGTCAGGTTTGTAACAGGTTGGGTTAAATTCGGGTCGGGTTAGGAACGGGTCGGGCTGAATTCATGTCAGGTTAGTAACAAGTCGGGTTAAATTCGGGTTTTAACGGGTTAAAACGGGTTAGGGTCAATTTCGGTTCAAGTCAGGTTCAGTGCAACTTAATTAAATTGGCCGTTGTAAATCGGCAAATAGGTGCAAGTTGTAAACCGATAAATTGGCTGTTCAACATCAAATTGGATGGTTCCACACACCCAATCGGACTCCGGTAGGGTATTAAGGACAATGGTAAACATTTCGGCAATTTTTATTTTCGGGCAAAAAAAAAGTCAAAAAATTCCAAAATTGAAGGCTAATATCCACGCTTTTTGAGAAGTTTTTGAGGTTTTGAGGCCCGGTGTCGAAAAGTCTTGAAATTATTTTGGATACATCTCGGGGTCATATAATGCCGTTTGGAATTATATATGATCGTTATTTATTGTCATAAATGTTTGTGGTATGCTTGAATTAATGAAATCGCAGCAAGTTGTAAACCAGTAAATTGGTCGTTTAACAACAAATTGGATGGTTCCACACACCCGATTGGAATCCAGTAGGATATTAAGGACCATAGTAAACATTTTGGCAATTTTTATTTTCGGGCAAAAAAAAAGTCAAAAAATCCAAAATTGAAAGCTAATATCCCTACGCTTTTTGAGAAATTTTGGAGTTTTTTTGGGCCCGGTGTCGAAAAGTCTTGAAATTCTATGGGATACATCTCGGGGTCATATAATGCTGTTTGGAACCATATATGATCATTATTTATTGTCATAAATGTTCGTAGTAGGCTTGAATTAATGAAATCGGTGCAACTTGTAAACCAATAAATTGGTCGTTTAACAGCAAATTGGATGGTTCCACACACCCAATTGGACTTCCAGAATGTATTAGGGACCATAGTAAAAATTTCGACAATTTTTATTTGCAGGCGAAAAAAGTCAAAAAATTCCAAAATTGAAGACTAATATCCACGTATTTTTTAAAATTTTGGAGGTTTGGGGGCCAGTGTAGAAAAGTCTTGATATTTTAGGGGATACATATGGGGGTCATATAATGCCGTTTGGAACCATATATGACCATTATATGTTGTCATAAATGTTCAAAGTATGCCTGAGTTAATGAAATCCGTGCAAGTTGTAAACCGGTTAGTTGGTCGTTTAAAGGCAAATTGGATGGTTCCACAAACCCAATTGGACTCCTGGATGATATTAGAAACCATGGTAAATACTTCGGCTATTTTTATTTCCGGGCGAAAAAAGTCAAAAAATTCCAACATTAAAGACACAGTGTCAGGACCCAGTGTCAAAAAGTCTTGAAATTGTATAGGATACATCTCGGGGTCATATAATGCTGTTTGAAACCACATATGGTCATTATTTGTTGTCGTAAATGTTCGTGGTATGCTTGAGTTAATGAAATCCGTTCAAGTTGTAAACCGGTAAATTGGTCGTTTAAAGGCAAATTGGTTGGTTCCACCTACCCAATTGGACTCCCAGAGGGTATTAGGAACCATTGTAAACAATTCGGCAATTTTTATTTCCGATCGAAAAAAGTCAAAAAATTCAAAAATTGAAGGCTAATATCCACGCTTTTTGAGAAATTTTGGAGTTTTCGGGGTCCGGTGTCTAAAAGTCTTGAAATTCTAGGGAATACATCTCGTGGTCATATAATGTTGCTTGGCTCAAAGATGTATCCCCTAAAATCTCAAGTCTTCTCAACACCGGGCTCCGAAACTTCAAAAATTTGTCAAAAAGCGTGGTTATTAGCCTTCAATTTAGGATTTTTTTGGCCTTTAATCCACTGGAAATAAAAATTGACGAAATGTTTACCATGGTCCCTAATACCCTCCGGGAGTCCAATTGGGTGGGTGGAATCATCCAATTTGCGTTTAAACGGCCAATTTACCGGTTTACAACTTGCACCGATTTCATTCACTCAAGCCTACCACAACACATTTATGACAACATATAATGATCATTTATGGTTCATGATCATTTATGGTTCTAAACGGGATTATATGACACCGAGATGCATCTCTAAAATCTTATTTCTTTTTGACACCGGGACCCGAAACCTTCTAAATTTCTAAAAAAAGCATGAATATTATCCTTCAGTTTTGGAATTTTTTGACTTTTTTCGAATGGAAATAAAAATTGCCGAAATGTTAACCAAGGTCCCTAATACCCCCTCCGGGAGTCCAATTGGGTGGGTGAAACCATCCAATTTTCTTTTAAATGACCAATTTACCGGTTTACAAATCGCACTGATTTCATTAACTCAAGCCTACCACAAACATTTATGACAACAAATAATGATCATATATGGGTCCAAATGACATTATATGACCACGAGATGTATTCCCCAAAATCTCAACACTTTTCGACACCAGGTCCCGAAACCTCCAAAATTTCACAAAAGCGTGGATATTAGCACCCAATTTTGGAAATTTTTGCCTTTTTTTCGCCCAAAAATAAAAATTGCTGAAATTTTTACCATGGTCCTTAATACCCTCCGATAGTCCAATTGGGTGGGTGGAACCATTGCATCCAATTTGCCTTTAAACGGTCAATTCATTAACTTGCACCAATTTCATTAACTCAAGCCTACCCGAACATTTATGACAACAAATAATGATCATATATGGTTCCAAATGTCATTATATGACCCTGAGATGTATTCCCTAGAATCTTAAAGCTTTTCGATACCGAACCCCGAAATCTCCTAAATTTCTTAAAAAGGATGGATATTAGCCTTTATTTTTGGAATTTTTAGACTTTTTTCGCCTTGAAATAATAATTGCCAAAAAAATTTACCATGATCCCTAATACCTTTCGGGAATCCAATTGGGTGGGTGGAACCATCCAATTTGCCTTTAAACGGCTTATATACCGATTTATAACTTAAACTGAATTCATTAAATCAAACCTACCACGAACATTTATGACAACATATAATGACATTATATGGTTCCAAATGTCATTGTTTGACCCCTATTTGAATTCCCTAAAATCTCAAGGTTTTTCGACACCGTACCCCGAAACCTCCAAAATTTCTCAAAAAGCGTGGATATAAGCCTTCAATTTTGGAATTTTTTTACTATTTTTCGCCAAGAAATAAAAATTGCCGAAATTTTTACCATGGTCCCTAATACCCTCCGGGAATCAAATTGGGTGGGTTGAAATATCTAATTTGCCTTTAAACGTCAATTTACCGGTTTAAAACTTGCACGGATTTCATTAGCTCAAGCCTAATACGAACATTTATGACAACAAATAATGATCATATATGGTTCCAAACGGCATTAAATGACCCAGAGATGTATTCCCTAGAATGTCAAGGCTTTTCGATACCGTGCCCCGAAACCTCCAAAATTTCTCAAAAAGCGTGGATATATATTAGCCTTTATTTTTTGGAATTTTTAGACTTTTTTCGCCCGAAAATAAAAATTGCCGAAATGTTTACCATGGTCCCTAATACCCTTCGGTATTCCAATTTGGTGGGTGGAACCATCCAGTTTGCCTTTAAACGGTCTATTTACCGGTTTATAACTTGCACCGATTTCATTAAATCAAGCGTACCACGAATATGTATGACAACATATAATGATCATATATGGTTCTAAATGTCATTATATGACCCCGATATGTATTCCCTAAAATCTCAAGTCTTTTCGATACCGTGCTCTGAAACCTCCAAAATTTCTCAAAAAGCGTGGATATAAGCCTTTAATTTAAGAATTTTTTGACTTTTTTTGGCCTATAAATTAAAATTGCCGAAATTTTTACCATGATCCAATATACCCTCCGGTAGTCCAATTGGGTGGGTTGAACTATCCAATTTGCATTTAAACGGCCAAATTACCGCTTTACAACTTGCACGGATTTCATTAACTTAAGCATACTACGAACATTTATGACAACATATAAAGATCATATGTGGTTCCAAACGGAATTATATGACCCCGAGATGTATCCCCTAAAATATCAAGACTCTTCTATACTGGGCCTTTAATTTTGGAATATTTTGACTTTTTTTCGCCCGAAAATAAAAATTGGCGAAATGTTTCCCATGGTCCCTAATACCCTCCGAGAGTCCAATTAGGTGGAACCATCCAATTTGCCTTTAAACGACCAATTTACCGGTTTACAACTTGCACCGATTTTATTAATTCAAGCCTACCACGAAAATTTACGACAACAAATAATATCATATATGGTTCCAAACGGCATTATATGACCCCGAGATGTATCCTATAGAATTTCAAAACTTTTCGACACCAGAAAGGCCGAAACCTCCAAAGTTTCTCAAAGGTCTTCAATTTTGGAATTTTTTGACTTTTTTTTGCCCGGAAATAAAAATTGCTGAAATGTTTACCATGGTTTCTAATATCCTCCGAGAGTCCAATTGGGTTGGTAGAATCATCCAATTTTCCTTTAAACGGCCAATTAACCGTTTTACAACTTGTACAGATTTTATTAACTCAAACATACTTTGAACATTTATGAGAACATATAATGGTCATATATGGTTCCAAACGACATTATATGACCCCGAGATATATCCCGTAAAATATCAAGATTTTTCTACACTGGCCCCCAAACCTCCAAAATTTTTCAAAAAACGTGGATAATAATAGTCTTCAATTTCAGAATTTTTTGACTTTTTTCGCTCGGTAATAAAAATTATCGAAATGTTTACCATGGTCCCTAATACATTTCGGGAGCCCAATTGGGTGTGTGGAACCATCCAATTTGCTGTTAAACGGCCAATTTATCGGTTTTCAACTTGCACAGATTTCATTAATTCAAGCCTACCACAAACATTTATGACAACAAATAATGATCATATATGGTTCCAAACGGCATTTTATGACCCCGAGATGTATCCCATAGAATTTCAAGACTTTCGACATTGGTCCCCAAAACCTTCAAAATTTCTCAAAAAGCATGGATATTAGCCTTCAATTTTGGAATTTTTTGACTTTTTTTTGCCCGGAAATAAAAATTGACGAAATGTTTACCATGGTCCTTAATACCCTATGAGAGTCCAATTGGGTGTGTGGAACCATCCAATTTGCTGTTAAACAGTCATTTTACCGGTTTCCAACTTGCACCGATTTACTGGTTTACAACGGCCAATTTAATTAACTTTCACTGAACTCGACTTGAACCGAAATTGACCCTAACCCGTTTTAACCCGTCAAAACCCAAATTTAACCCGACTTGTTACTAACCTGACCTGAATTCAGCCCGACCCGTTCCTAACCCGACCCGAAATCAACCCGACTTGTTATTGACCTGACCCAAATTCAACCCGACTTGTTATTGACCCGACCCGAATTTTACCAGACCTATTACTTACCCGACCCACAAAATTCAACCCGATCTGTTACTAATTTGACTCGAAATTAACACGACTTGTTATTGACCCTACCTAAATTCAACCCAAATTGTTCCTGGCCTGATTTCAAATCACCTTAAATGCAATTTAGACCACCTTATTATTGTTGATCAAAGCATTTTGTTTAGGGAGACCAAGTCGGTCCGGACCAACAAAAGAAAGGAGCATCATCCTCAAATTTAAGAGTTAAATATAGTAAATATTTGTTGTATGGTCAAAGGAGATAATTATCTTCCTAAATTATTGACTATAGTTCCCTAGTATATTGTCATATATATTATAGTCAAATCAAAGAAAATAATTAGCTTGATAAAAATGATAATTATCTATTTATAGTTAGTTGAACCCAAATATGACCTGACTTGAAAATGACCCGACGTGATTGTAACCTACAAATTATTGACTTGAACATAACCCAACTTGAATCTGAGAATGACCCAACCTGATTATAACCCGCAAATTATTGAATTGAACCGAACCCGACTTGAACCCGAGAATGACCCGACTTGAAAATGACCCGACCTAATTATAATTTGCAAATTATTGACTTGAACCAAACTTGACTCAAACCCGAGAACGACCTGACTTGATTCTAACCCGCAAATTATTGACTTGAACCGAACCCGACTCGAATTCGAGAATTACCCTAACCCGTGAAAACCCGACCTATTGTTCACCCGACTCGAATGTAATATTAACCTGACCCAAACCCGATAAGAAGTATGACCCGACTCAAGCATGACCCAACCCAAACCCAACCCGCATAGATTATGGAATTAATCCGAATTGACCCGACCCGAGTTAACCCGACCCACTATTACCCGACCCGTTAACCTGAATTGACAGCTCTAGTTTCAATTATGAGAAAAAAATATTTACTCTCTTCATTCTTTATGCTTTGAATTACACGGTCTCCAATGCACATCTTTAACCACGTTTGTATTTCATATGATAAATTAAAAATACTAAAATATATTTAGAAAATACATTTCAAGTTGAATCTTGCAAAAACTCACATTATATGATTTTGATGTCTATAATAGTAATGTAAAAGTTTAAAAAGTTCACCATAAAAGTCTACACGTAAAGAATAAAAACAAGGATATTTTGGATTTTAACACCTTACAAAAGGCTGAAAATGTTTTTTAACACCCCCCAAAAAAAAACTTTTATTTTAACACCTCCCAAAAATATAAAAGTTGGAAGTTAACACCAGTTAACGATTTCCGTCACGGAAATTTAACGTGGGTCCCACAAATTGGCTTGAACTTCAATTTTCACCCAGCAAAACACGAAACTTCTTTCTTCATTGAATTCGCAGCAACATTCTGCATTGAATTCTTTCTGAACCTTCATTGATTTCGCTTTTGAACCAAAGGAGATCTTGGCTGAGAAGTGGAGTGTAGGGTGGTGTCAACGTTGGAGAAGATAAGCTCAGGAGGGTTTCTTCATCATCTTCTTCAACTACAAAAGTGCGAAAGCCGCTTGAAATTCACAGAAAATAAGGTAAAATTGCTCTCCTTTGATAGCAATTTCGTCAATTACTGGTGCTTCATTGCTGTAAACCTTGCAATAATTGGGTAATTAGGGTAAATTTTGGGACCACAGTAGGAAAGCCTTGATAAATCAATTTCTGTAACTGACTATGCGACTTAGGTTAATTGGATTTCGTAATTGAAAGTAGAGATTAATTAAGGTGGTTTATTGTTAATTAAACTAGCAAGTGTGGTTTGTTGATTAATTTATGTTACTGAGCACCTACATTGGCTTGTATATGTTTATTTTCAATTTTTTTATGTGTTTGTTTGTGTGGCTGTGATGGATTTGTTTATTCGTATTGTGCATGTATAGTTACATGGCTTTTAATATGTTTTATATGTTTTTCACTGGTGGGTAGATAATGGGTGACAAGGATAGTTTGGTTGACATCTGCCTTAGAGTGGGAGGTGCTTTTGTCCCTAAAAGAGTAACCAAAAACAGGCAGCTGCTGTGTTGGTGTGGTGGTTGGTGTTACTGGAAGAGGAAGGTTCAAGTATCTAAGTTGGATGTGCATTTGATTAGAACAGCTGCAATTCATGGTTTTGTTAATGGTGATATGGATGTGCCTATGCATTACAGCTGTTGGTATAGGCAGAAGGGGAAAACCTTTAACACTGGGAAAAGGGAACTAGTTAACAGTGAAGAGGTTAAGGGCCTTTTGGAGACAGTAAATGAAGAGGGGTATGTTGAGGTTTTTGTAACAACAGAAGCTCCTAGTCAGCCCATACAAGAGGCCCAACCCAATCCTGCAAAGACAAAAAAAAAGGATAAGAAGGTAGAAAGTTCAAATACATCGACTATTAGGAGGAGCCCTAGGTTTAAGAAGACAGAAACTGAACAAAGGGAGGAGAGTCCACCTAGGAAAGCCTCAGCTAATGCTAAAGTGTTGAGGTTTGATGAAGAAAAGGATGATGGATGTGAAGGATCTGGTTATTCAAGTTCAGATTTGAGTGATGAGGGACAAGATTGGGAACCTGGTGAAGAAGAATTTGAGGTGCAGCTGAAGGATGACCAGGTGTTGGTTGATTTGGACAAGGAGACCTGCACATGTTACCATTGGGAACTCACTGGCATTCCATGTGTTCATGCTTATGCCTGCATATTGGATATGAGGGGTGACATAGAGGCTGTTGTTGACCCATACTATACCATGGACACATACAGGTCTGCTTATGAACCAGCTGTCCAACCAATGCCTGGCCCAAAGCACTGGGAGAGAGTCAGAATGAGGGAACCACTACCCCCTTCTGTTAAGGTGCAACCTGGGAGACCAAAGAGCAAAAAAAGGAAGCTTGAGCCAGGAGAATGTTCTTCTTCAGGTGGTCAGGCAAGTACCAAGAGGAAGAAGCAATGCAGCAACTGTGGGGGATATAGGCATTATGCCAAGACTTGCAAAGTACCTGCTGCACCAGCTACAGAGCTGATAAAGTCAGCAGGCAGACCCCCACTGAACACTCCTTGGATGGTGGAGGAGAGGAAGAAGAAAGAGATTAGGGCTGCTAAAAAGGTAACACAAGCATTACACCAACTCCCCCTTTGTTTTATATATGTATGTGTCTTTTCCATTGACTTTTTATTTTTATATGCATGTCATAGAGTGCAATTGGGGCTGGACCAAACAGCATAGGAAACAAAAAGTTTCCTCAAGAGCAAGAAGGTTGTCTGCCATTCAGCAAGCGCCCACAGCCACAGTCTTCCTCAGCTAAGCATTCCTCAGCTCAGCCATCCTCTAGTCAGCCATCCTCAGCTCAGCCTTCCTCAAGTCAGCCTGCCTCAAGCCAACCAAAAAGAAAGACAAGGTCTTCCTCAAGTCAGCCTACAACAGCCACAGGTGTTGTAACAAGGGCCAGGCTGCAATCCCTCAACAACCTTACTCAGTGATGTACTCATGCTGGATATCAAACATTATGTCTGTTGAACAATTTCAAACTTTTATTATGTACTCATGACTGGTTATGTAACTTGCTAGTTTTTTAGTGGCTTCCCTTAACAAATTTGAACAATTAGATATTGAATTGTAATGGTTGCATGGCTTTGATTGCCATTGAAACATGTTGAAGTAAGGTTCTTTTGTCAACCTGTACTTGAACTATCTTAGTGTTTCACATATTTCCCATGTTTTAATGTTTCACATGTTTAAATAGGTTGATTAAAAGACAAGGCATAAATAGGAACTTAGACAAGGCATAAATAGGTTGATTAAAAGACATATTTATAACACTTCAAGTCATTACAAGAAATTATAACTACTTAATACAGCTTACTATTACACACCCCTAGCCATTAGGAAAATTACACCCATTGACAAACCTATACAAATGGCCATGCCCACCCAACCAAAACAGCTGATTGAAGACACCTTCCCTTCATTGCACTCCCTGTTCATTCTCTTCCTGTCAGCGTTCAAGGCCTTGCATCTCATCTTCAAATTATCAACTTCATTAAGTAGGCACCTCCTTTGGCCACTGATTTCATCAACTTCCCTTTTCAATTCATTAACTTCACCCTTTAGCAGCTTCTTATCCAACAACAGGTTGTTGATAACCCCTGTTTGCCAATCTGTTCCATCAGGTTGATCAACCCATTCGAAAGCTTTGCAACCCCTTGTTTCTGTTATTGGGTCATAAAACTTACATGATATGAACTTCCTGCCTGGATTCTCCCTTGTCCAGCTAGTGAGCTTGGCCATTGGCACACCACACTTACATTTTCTGGCCTCAGGAGGGGAAGAGCTAACAAACGACATAATCTGCATCAATTTTAGATCGACAGTCACATTTACAGATTTGTACACTGACGAATTAACATTGACAGCAACAAAATTCATTTTTAATTTCATAATACGAAAAGCCCCAAATTCAATTTCTGACGAACCCTAATTTCGCAATTGGGCATTTAGATGCGTACATAACATAATCCAACCATTAATCTGAGTACGAAACAATTGCAAATAATAATTGAAGAGAATTTAAACCATAATTACCAAACAACCGAACAATTGACCGCACTCACCTGTTTCAGCAGCTTCAATCTGTTCCTCTTCTCAAAAATCGTGGAAGAATCGTGAAAGAATTGTTTCAAGTATCGTGCAACAATGCAATGCGCTGCTGCTATTCAATAAGAACAACGATTTCGTTCATTGGGGGAGAATCGTGCAAGAATGGTTCTTATATATCGTGCAAGAATCGTGGAAGAATGGTTCTTATATACAGATCTTTTAAAAATATATCCGTTGGGGTGGGCCCCACTAACAGTTCTGTTAACGGAAGATGGATTTTGGTGTTAACTTCCAACTTTTATATTTTTGGGAGGTGTTAAAATAAAAGTTTTTTTTTGGGGGGTGTTAAAAAACATTTTCAGCCTTTTGTAAGGTGTTAAAATCCAAAATATCCTAAAAACAATTAGTTGTTAATTTCACTCCAAAATTGAATTCTTATACAAATTACAACACTTTTAAAAAGTGACGTTGTTCAAAGTTTGTATCTGAATGAAGTTTGTTTAAATGTGCAAAACAAATCCAGAAACAGAAAAGATTAAAAAAATATTGAGCAATAGATTTATATAAACAATATTATGAAATTGGCTCGGGTCAAAGACTACAGACTATATAACAGCTATTACTACATCAGTTTGCATCAATCAAATGTTAATTTACATTGATTACAAGTTTTAAATAGAATCCTACTCATCATCATCATCAAAATCCATCACTACCCTGAGCCGCCTTCTCTTTACAGAACTCTCAGGTGATGCACTAGGTGCCAGTTCATCCCCTGAATCTTCCAATTCACTATAATTAAGCACATTTTGGATAGTTTTAACATCTTCATCCAGCATAAGACCTCTCTTATCATTACTGGTGTCAGGAGTAGCTTCATTTTCTGGATTGCTGCCAGAGAACCCATGATTTGAGGTACCAATCCCAGATTCAGATAGGTCGTCGTACTTTTGCTGATTACCTCCCTCACCCCAATCACTGGACCTAACAGCTTGATGTGCTGAACTGCTATGAGGGATGTTAAGCCTTTTAACACCAACATTTACATCCACAGCTTCCCCAATTTCATCCCTGTAAGACAACTGTATCGTTACACAACTAAAAAAAACAATAATATGGAAGTTACTGCGAATTTGGAAGCATTCAGATTATCTCCTGGTAAACACCAAGTATCCAGCGCCCTAGAAACTCTTAGGACAAGTTTAATAGAAAAAACTGATGCCCAAGCATAGCACAAAAATCACTTGGACAATCTGACAACTAAACATTTTTTTTTTTTTTTTGAAAACATTGATAATAAATGAATATTTTGTCAGACACCAGCCAGCAGAACCCAAAGCTGGGGGATATGACCCTAAATTTCCACACTCTCTAAAGCAATGACTCAAAACATTATTAGTAAATCCGTACCTTTCTTCCAAACTTTGAGGAACTTGATTGCTGGAATCTTCTCCAGCGATATCCTCCTGGTTAGTTGAAGCACTGGCAAACTTGTCTTCTGGCTCTGCCTGAACCCTTTTCATTTTCCGTTTCCTAAATTCGAAGAGTTGACAAAGGTTAACAAGAAAATTGAAACAGAATTTATGCAAGGGGGATGAGAGCGAGTAATAACACCTACTTTAAAATAGAGCCAAGTACTTGTTCATCATCTGAAGTGGACCCTGGTGATTGAACATTATATTTCAAATTGCCCAACTCCTTTTCAGATGAAGCATCCACCCTGTTCTTACTCCTGAAAAAATGATTGATAAGTCATGATTCATGAGTAACTTCTTAATTTTCGAGCTACCTGAAATAAAAGGGTCTACATGCTGGAAAAAGTTTTTGACAATAGAGAATTCATGAAAGATTCAGCCCAACATTTCTGCTGATTTGTTAATACTATGAAAAAGAGAAAAATCGATTAAGCTCAATCACCATGATCCTCGATACAGAAATTTTGAGGTAGGTATCACGGAAACCTTACAAGCACAGAACTTTGTTAGCCAAGAACCAATCAGCGAGAATGATTAAAACTTTCCTACGCTCCTACCTCTTAAAAAAGGTCTAAAAAAACTCTCAAAACCCCCAACTTACATAAAATTTCAAAAGAAATACTCAATCTAAACAGCTAGGAATAAATACATAATTTTTGTGTAAATAATAGCAACCCTGTGATGAATTTAGTGTTACTCAAGAATCAATATAATCCTGATTCAAGAATGGTTTTTATGCAGGTTTGGCAGTTCTGACAAATCAGAGTTGACTGAGAGTAGAACAAGCACAGAAGACCCAAGATAGAAAAACTTCATTTGAGATTTAATCATTTACACTTTGTTTGGATAGGAAGAAATGGAAGGAAAAGAAGAGAAGAGAAATGGAGGGGGACAAAATCTCTTGTTTGGGTAAAAGATTGGGGGAAGGAAGGGGAAGGAGAGAGAGGGATCCATTTTCCCTCTCTCTATAATAACCATAATCTCTCCAGAATTGGAGAGATTTGGAGGGAAAATGGAGCTCACCTCCCCCTCCCTTTCTTTTCCCTTCCCTTCCTCCATTTTCCCTCCCCTTCTTTTCCTTCCTTCTTTGCTATCCAAACAAAGCGTTAGACTCCAAAAGCTCACAAGATATCTTTTTGTAAACCTAGCCTAGAGACAGGAGCTTTAGTCATTTAGACTCCAAAAGTACAAAAATTTGTTACATGAAAGTATTGGCACATAATGAGGATGACCCTTCAGCATGCAAACAAAAAATTTTAATGAGTGGATGCATAAAATAGAACATAAAAAATCTCCTACAAACGAGACAAACTAATAGGTTAGCAGATGAAAAATCCATTAGACCTGTTCCAATCTTGTTCAGAACAAAGGATTAAAAGGATGAAAATTCAGAATTACCAAAATATACTCATGGGTAGCAAGTCTACTAAAATAAAATTAAATTACATAGAAAAGACTTCTCTAGACCCAACGAACAAAAGAATCAAAGCCAGTTTATACAACTTTAAACGGGTATAAAACAGGGTATGAGAAAGCCATTATGAAGCTAGCCACACCCCTGACAGTCTGCTATTTCTGAAAGGAAAAAAAACAACCTCGAAGAAAACATGTGAATCGCAGTTCATGACAGAAAGAGTTAAGAATAATACTGTAGTACTATAAGTAAAATAAAGATAACCAGATATTATATAGATTAGCAGTAGCATAGAATAAACATAAAAATATGTTCAGCACCTCTATAAGCATCAGCTTAAGCATGAGATAGATTTAGAATGAATAACAGCACAATGCAGCAATAATCACCTTTTCCTAACAGCAGACAGAGTTAGATCGTCTATATCATCTTCTCCGTCTGTAGAAGCTTCATCCATCTTTTGTCTGTTTACTTCACCTTTCATTCGAGAAGTGCGTAAACCAAGTTTCTTGAGTTTACGAGAAACTTGAGCAGCAGTCACTGCTCCATCAGGGTCAAGTTCTTTTGCGATCATGTGGCTGCACCTCTTATGATCTTTGAAACTGCCCAAAACACATCAAAACTAAGAACTAGACAGATATCTAAGTTTTATATTTTCTTTTGGATAAAACGAAGATTTCTATGTAGAAATACTAAGAACTGAATAATACACTTGGTTTAGAAACTTTAGATCTATTTAATTTAAAGCACGAAAGAAACACTCACTGTTCAAATAGACTTCTAATTTTCAGCTCCTGCTTTTCATCCATGGCACGAACTCTCTTCCTAGCTTGCCTGAGAAGAGCCTCAATCAGTAACTTAGGTCAAAAACAGGAACCAACTTGTCCGCATTTTGCAGGTCAACTTTGTTTTGAGGATAATTATAGAACTATCAGAAAAAGTGAGAATATTACATTGGTTTCCCCAGATAAGAGGGCCCATCTGCATGAGTTAAGTCCTGAAGAGTGCTGTCTATTTCTGGTCTGCCTTCCTTGTCTTGATCATTATCATTAGAAAGATGAGCCATGCTGCTCTTTTTCGAAGGAAGTTGTAATCCTAGTTTTTTACATTTGCGGGAAACTTGAGCTGGAGAGACATTACCATTAGGATCAAGAGCTTCTGCGATAAGTTGAGTACAGTTTAAATTGTCCTTATACCTGTAATGCAAATCCAGACATGTGAGTACAAGTTGTTCATCAGTTAAATGGGTAGGCCCCATCTCATAAGAAACCATATGGTAACAATAGAGCATGCTGGGCATTGTGCTTATGATTTTAAACATAAAAGAATTTTTATAAATTACATGTTTCACTCTATTTTTAGACTTTTGGTTTTCAGTTTCAACATTGTGTTCATCATCAAATACAATCAGATCCAAATTCTGGTCCTCACCCTGCAATGAAGTTATCATTACTACAAGGAGTATCTCAATAAACTGACATGCCATGATGCCAACGATGAAGCTATTTTAACGCAATACACTGTTAGAAATTAACACGCCATCAAATTAAGCTATCCAATAAAATATCAGCTTTTACTTGGATTGATAAACCGTTGTTAATGGACAAATTAGCATATGAAACTTATCTATAGATTTATTAGGAGATAGTCTCATCGAAAGATCTTATTATGAGAAAAGATAAATTTCAGCTTGGTCACATGAGACAGAAGAACTTGCATCAAAGTAAACATACTTCTCATAAAGACTCCTTATCTCTTCCTCCAGCTTATCACTGAGAACCAGTCTTTTCTTCCTATTTACGTCCCCTTGAAAATCACTCTCCAATGAATTGTCTATTCTGCAATAAAAGGAAAATTTTATCAAGGAAAATGCAAAGCACAAAATGTAGGAAGACTATCATAGATAGGCATGATTATAGTTCTAAGGAATACATTGTTTTATCTTTAAGACCATAGCTGTGAATGACCTCTCCTGCAGCTTCATCAGAATCTTCATCCCTGTGGATAGAGAGAGTAAGTCAAAAAAGAAGAATTTCCACAAACAACTTGATGTTATGTGACTTGTTTGTCATTTTAATGCATTAACAACAGAGTGGTGATAGAATACTCAGCTGATACCGAACATAGATATCTTACTTCTCAAAATGAGGTTGATTGGGGATGCTAACATCATATTCGTCATCTCCAAGTGCATCTGCTAAGCTTTTACGAGAATATTCCTTGCGTTGTGATGGACCAGTATCATCACCATGACCCCAATTCTTAACTTCCTTCTTCATTTCACCAATTTCACGTTGGATAGATTCAACATTGATATAATGGCAATCTTTCCGTGTCTTCCAAAATAATACATCCACAAAGAGAAGGGGTTGATCCTTCATTTTTCTCAACATTCTCCTTATAAGACTAGTCAGAAACTGCGCAATGTTCTCATACTCTTTACGTGGGTTTTCCTTATGTTCATTTAGGATATCATAGAATATGACGAGGCAGGACAGCTGTCAATTAAAAAGAGGGGGGGGGGATTAGATACCTTCCTACTAATAATACCAACAATTGATGTACAAAGATATAAATTTCTATTGATAATTCCTTGTGATGATCACCTGATACAGCATAGGAGCAAGATCCAAATCATCTGAAATCCTCCTGAGCAAGCATAAAATGTAGTGGTTTGTTGCAGTAGAATTACTCTTGTAATTCTTCAACAAACAACAGAGGTTACTAATGATGGAACTATTTGCCAATGAGAATAGCAAGGAAGTCATCTTAAAATCGACTTCATTTGTTGCAGTAATTTGCTCATCTGCAGAGGAATCACAATCATCTGCTCCCGTGGCAACAAAGTTGTCATTAATTTCATTAGATTCTTTCTGATCACCCAGTGGCTCATTTATTGGATTTGATTCTCCATCACCTACTGGGTCTTGAATTAGATCAGATTCTGTGTGATCACCCACTGGGTCATGAATTTGATCAGATTCTGTGTGATCACCTACTGGGTCATGAATTTGATCAGATTCTGTGTGATCACCTACTGGGAGACTGCCATCAGAGTTTTGTCCCTCATCCCTAGATAACTTAGTCTCATCAACTTGACTGCAACCATTAATATTATCATTTTCTTTTCCGTCACAGTTTGTCTCATTCAACCTTTCATTATTACCATTTCCAGTGTCAGGAAAAAGTTCTTCGTTATTGGAGGGCTGGATTCCATTCAGAATTGTGGCATCATCACCAACAACTTTGCTTTCTGAAATTTTCTGATCCTTTTTCCTTCTTACCTTCCTAGATTTTTTGGCGACCTTCAAAACACAGTACAATAGATAAGGTCATCATAATAAATGTATAAAGAAAAACAACGAATAAGGCCAAAACAGAACAAAAATCAAGAGTATCACAATAGATAGAGGTGTAAGATACAAATTTGTTTCTAAAAGGAATAAAGCTTTTTTCCCTTAAAATGTTCTAGAGCTAAACAAAGATGAATAAAAAGATCAAGAAGAAAGGAGTGGGAAAGAGACAAATTGTAAGATCAAGTGACAACATGCAAATCAGAGCCGTAAGAAACTAAGAATAGCATGCCTGAAATTCTTCACAAGAGGAGCTATAAGTGACACTTTCATGCTCAAGTAAACCATCTTCATGGTCCTATTAGTACAAGAACAAATCATTGAAAATATTGGTGCTACAGGTGTCAACCTCTAACTTTATAGCTGAGAGAAAAGGCAAGATGCCTAGTAATCCTTTCACTCTAGGGCTGAGTAATGGAAATAAGAATTTCCCTCAAACAAACCAATATACACTGGTAACAAAACATTTAAGGTTCTGTAATTGAAATAATTGCTCATAAATAGGTATACCAAGCTCTGTCAAGCACAAGGTAGTACATGCTGGAACTCATCCAGGTTAAGCACATTAATCAAACATGCACATAAAAAAGAAGCAACTTGCAGGCTTAAAAATATTTGAAGATTAAAAAAGCTAGCAGGGTTTGTTGTAATTAATTACCCTTAATGTGCCATGTGCTTGCAGCTTCTCCATTAGCCTTATAACTACATGAATTATCTCCACCAAATCAGCAAGATCACTAACAAAAGATAGAAAAGCAGCAATTAATAACTATGTAACCAAAATTATTTATAAAAAAAAAATAATAATAATTACAAAAAATGTGGAAGTAGAAGATGTAATGCAGTCAGTAGATGCTAATTTGAATGCATATTGGGAAAAAACTAGAAATGATTACTTTTGAACTCCAAACTAAAGTTTATAGACCCAAGAACTGTGGATGGCAACACACCTTTCAGCTCAAGTACGGAAATGGGGGACAAAAAAAAAACGTTGTATGGATGTAATTACTTTTTCATCCCAGCAATAGATCCACACAAACAACTCATAAGGTCAATATGTATGCACTGTTACTTTTAAACAGGGAAAACTTGTTTTCCAAAAGATTCTCAACAAAAAAAATTTACGAAGAGACTTGGAGTGGTAAAAAAAAAAAGGGCAGCAATAGACACGTACTTGTAGTAAAAATAGAAACCACTTCACATGATCAGCCTTAAGACTTCACCATTGGTTGTAAAATGTAAATTTATAATAAAAGCTTTAAAGTTAAAACGACACAACAATGTACCTATAACAAAAGATGAAAATCACCTTTTAGGCTGTTTATGAGCATTAAATGATCGGAACATATTCAAAAGGAATTTGGTCAACCCTTGATCAGTTTGATCATAGAACAACTTGTAAAGTATGATACGAGCAGTTTGTGGTTCTCTGGATTTTTCAGGCATCATCTTGAGCACCAAATCCAACATCCGGATCTGTTTAAACAATAACACAGAAATACAACAGATTATGCAGGAGACCATTAATTGCAAAATGCAATTTCTCCATACTACAACTTCCATAATAACATTAAAAATAAAAACTCCAACATGCTAATACTGACACAAGTCAGATGACATGGCAGCATCGCACCTCTAAACACCAATTTTAAGTCTTACATATCAAAATTCAAGACAGAAACATCACAGTAAATGAAAGCATTCAAAAGTGCAAAGTTGTGAGAATGGTTAGTAAATCACTGAAAGGCATGAAAGGGATTGATGACGGTAGCTGAAATATAAAGTGACTACATGCCTTTTTTAACAAGAAATTCGTCCAACTATACAAAAAAATTTATAGAAGAAGCTTTTGAAGTACCAAGACTCAGCTTAACTGATTAGGGAAAATAGATCACCAAAACTATAATCCTCTTTCACTGATAGTATATACATAAAACATACATCTCCCTAATCAAATACAATAGCTCTTTAGCAGCGTAGCTACAAGTTTGGTACTAAAGCAAGATGAAGTGGCACTTGAGTGACTTGATACATTTCTAAATTCTACACATGTTATAGCACATCAGTACACAAGAGAAGGAAAAAAAAAAAAAGGCAATTCAGGTCAGCTTACTTTGACTTGAAGAGAAGAAATACAAAGGTAACATAAACGTAATATATAAGCAATTCACTATTTGTTTATCCACGTGGTTAAGTGTTTTTTCAAACAAGCATTTCAGTGGATCTCTTTCACGTAATTACAAAGAAACAAAACATTACCAATATAAACATACAAAAAAAATGCATTGTTCTTTGTGGTTTGAAGCAAAAAGAGAAGGTGGTTGCAGAATTTTGAATAAAAAAATTATACCATAGTTTTCATGAGAGATCCCGATATTGACAAAAATGCATTGTTCTTTGTTTCCTTCAAGCCTTCAAAAGCTAATTGCCACTTTGCTATTACCAATATAAACATTGAATCGTTCATGGTTGCTGCAATAGGCCCACATATATCACCTTTAAACCATGTGCTATCATCATCATCATCATTGAGAGAAGAATCATTGCTGACATCTGTATTTAGCTATTAGAAAAGGTATAGGTTAGCTAAAGGAACCCAGAGATGATGGAAATTTGATTACACAATCATGAAGCAATTGCACAACATTTCTGTTTCTAACTACAGCTTCAAAAAAAAGAAGGTATATCTTAACAAAACATTATATTTGAACGCATGTAATGATAGGGTGTATTCTGTATATCCTTCATGGAAAATGGTCTTGTCAAAATAATTGTTGACATCTGTTAAAGAACTGAACTGAGAATATCCTTCGATTCTTTAAAACACTTTTTTCTTTCTTATGCATGTATATCCAGTAAGCAACTTCTAGGCATCAAAAGGCACATTTGCCATCCATTCTTTTGAAATGGGAGTTCATGTGCATATTCCAAAAAAGTATCTCACCTTTGTCAGCTGGGATTTATGATACTGAAAAAATGTAACAAACTGAGCAAGGTGAAAGAACATTTGCACATCACTGGTTTGTATCGCATGGTGCTCCTTCTCAATATCATGGGCAATGGATTGCATCAGCACTGATGACAATGCAAATCAATTACCTGTTCAGATACACAAAAGGCGTAATCGTGAAAATATAAATGTATTTAAAATCAATACCATTGTATCCCCCAGTTAGAAACTGGTTTAGAAAGTCAAGAAGCCTCTCCAAAATGCTTCGTTTTGTGGTGGGAAGTCGAGTGTAATCTTTCACAATTTTTTTTTTGTGGACCACGGTGGACTTTCTCTGATTTCAGCAGTTTAGTATCACAAGATGCAGAAATAGGCATGCCCATGCACATTGTTTTAGAACCATCCTATTTGTTGGAAGAGGTTTATATTAGTAACCAACTTGAAACCATAACACTATGGGCATCAATTAACTGATGGTTCTTACCAAGGTAAGTCGTGTAAAGGCTCCACTAAACTTTGAGTGCCGACTAGCATGCAGTCTGGAATGTTTTCTCTTTTCTGTTTCCTCTTGCATAATACATTTAAGACTTTCAAGACAAGGTTTGGCTTCTCCATCAACCTAAGAATTTCAAAAAAAAAAAAAAAAAAAAAAAAAAAGGATTTATAAGAGTGATGGTGCAGAACTTGATCAAGTGAGCCATAAAAATCATGTATTTATCATTTACTCCATATGGGAGTATGGGACAATCTTGAGAAGATACATTGCATAAGAAACTCTTACAAATTAATATTTTAATGCTTAAGAAGTTTGAGTCCATAACTAGACGAGAATAAAGTCTCAAACTTGGAGCTTAAATGTCGTAAGAAGAGGCGAAGAAAGCCAACCTTTGATTCCTCCAGGCAGATTTTAGCAATCAACTCTGCATCTTGACCTGTAAATATGTGATGATATATTTCTAACAAGAGCAAGTTGTCATGCCGAAGATACCGACAAGAGCCACCAACATGCTGAGTTATAATGATAATCAAATCCATAACATTTTCTCTGAACAATAGGTCTAAGAAATCATCTCGCAAGGATAAATATAAACTTGCGGAACCTGACGCCTTTTGATGTGCTGAGATGTCTTGCACAGCTAAAATATTCCGGAATAGTGTCAAAACCAGTTGGATCAGCTTCCAATCATCCTCTGAGAACGCCTTACTGCTCAGCACAAAAGCAATAATGAGATCACGGCAATAACACAAAAACTGAAGGTAAGAAGCATGTTAGTAATAAACTAAAAATTACATAACTTTGACCCTTTATGTTGACATATCAATAAAAATTCCTCTATAGTTCCCACCAAAGTCAAGTCTAGAGTTTTGTATGTGTCCAACCAGCTCTATATAATCTAAACTTGATAGAAGGACATTTCAAAACGGCCTAAAGTCAACATGCATTTCTACAAACTGATAGAAGCAAACAAAAAATAGAAAAAAGGTAAACAAACAAGCCAGTAATATCAAGATGATAAGTTTATACGTTTAGCAAAGCAGGACAAGCCCACATGATCTACATAATGATATTAGGTTCTGACATTCACACAAATATGTGCTACTTATAGTGTACAGAATAAGCATAAATCAAACACAGTTCAAAGCCCTTCCAAGATTGAACAATCCCCTTATGGTTTGATGCAGCAATGTAATTAAACCTAGGCTATGGGGAGAGGAGAGTTAATTCACATGAGCTCGTGTAAAATTTCATTTCAAAACCAATTGAAAGTGAGATCCTTACTCTTGTTCACACATATACATATATAAGGGGTTCAAAACAAAGCAACTTCAAGAATAAAGCACTCAATTTCTGCATACCATTCTAAATTTTCAAGTGGCTTCTCCAACAACGAGACGATCACGGCAACCACATCGCTTATAGATATAGCAAACTTAATGCCCCAAAGGTATTCAAGCTGCTCATTAAAATCCTTTGAAGTAACCTCCAAAGGCATAGTAAGAAACACCAAAACTTTCACTGCAAACCCAGAATTCACCACCATTAGGCTCGATTCACAACATAATCATCTCAATTACAACATTTCTTTCATCTAAAATTAACCATATACCTGCATTTAAGACCAAATTGCGATCATCTTGACAATGCTCAATAATGGGTATCAAATTCTTTGAAACAATATCCCATTTACACACTTGTTTAAACACATCCCGAGTTGTCGGATCATCACGCCGCAAAAACCTCAACAAATCCTTCAAATTATCTGTCAAAAAAAAAAAAAATCAAATCATAACAATGCAACAAATAAAATCTGACAAAATCGGAAAAAACAAAAATTAGGGTTTTGTTCAATCAACAATTCATTACCTAAACAGTAATCATCTCTGGAGTAATAAACACTCCCCTCATTCTCCTCAATTGACCCAAGCCCACCACAAATTACTGACAACCCTTCTGTATTCATTGTTGAATAATTTCGGAGACCTACAAATTAGGGTTTAACCAAAAACAAAAAGTGGGTAGAAATCACTATTAAATGCTTGATTGGGAAATTTGGGGGCCGAACAAGTTGGATTACGAGTAAGCAGATGATCAAAATAAATCAGTGATTGCGAAGAAGAAGATAGATTGATGGGATGAAAGTAGGAGAGTTGGGAAATGGGGATTGCATAAGGGTCTGAAGTTGTTTAGGGGTTTTGTTGGCGGGAAGTGTTCTAAAAACCTCCCGCGCTTTGTCTCATTTTGCATTTCACGATTTTTTTCATAGGGTATATTTTTCGCCTCTTTATTACATGCCTGTGTTTCTGTTATTGGTGACCCAAAATGTTGAGTCTATTTCTAAAAATATAATAGATCTTGCTAACAAACATTGCGGGACGTTAGATACTTTTTATTAATAGGCATTAATAAAAAAAATATAAATAAAAAAAATAAACAATTACTATTTGATATTAATTTTTTCATATTTTTATGTCTACATTAGATAGTATCACTAATTAACATTTGAATGTTAGTAATATTTTTGAATTATATTTCGTAAGCTATACATATTTTTATTTTACATTAGATGTCGTTCCATTGTTAAACTCTTATATATGCGCTTCGGTCATACAAAATAGTTCTAAAGGTGTTAGTTTATTTTTTGATGATATTATTAACTTGTGTTATGATTTTGTTACTGTTCGTTGGTTTTTTGTTAAACGAGGGAGAAACAATGTAGCGCATCAATTAGCTTACTTTCAACCATGGGAAGTTAGGAAGTTGGGCAAAGAGTGTGGAATGATGGAATCTCGCCTAGGGTTTTAGCTTGTGCTTTCGATGATCGTTTAATTAATTACTCGTAATTTAATAGCCCTCTATGTGAAAAAAAATGGAAAATTTGCAAATTGCAGCCATTTAATTTATTTTTTTGTCAAATTGTAGTCCAAAAGTTCGTATAAATTGTAAATTACAGCCCGATTCAATTTTTTCATTGGTTTACATGTTGAAAAATCTTCGGTTAAGGTTTTAGGGGTCATTTGAGGCCTTAGGGACCCGAATTGAGCTCGGAATTAGCAAAAAATAACGTAACTGTCTCATATTTACAGTTTCCCACAAATCGATGCATTTTTGTTACGCAAAACGAGATACTCGCGTTATTTTTTTGCTAATTTCGAGCTCAATTCGTTCCCCTAATAACTAAAATGCCCCCCTAAAACCTTAATCAAAGATTTTCCAACTTGTAAACCGATGAAAAAGTTGAATCGGACTGCAATTTACAATTTATATGAACTTTTGGGCTGCAATTTGCAATTTTTTTTTAAAAAAATTTTAAAATAAGAAAAAAGAGACACTGAAGTCATGTAAAAGAGTCAAAACTATTTTTCGTGATTTTTTTAAAAAAATTTATATTTTGTTACAAGCAGAGCATAGCATGTATCAATAGACTAAGCAAACTTCAGCAAAACAGTTCAAAAGAACGGGATCTAAGTTATAATTTATCGTAAATCTTAGAAAATCTAAAATTAGAAAAGAAAACAAAAAAGGAGATCACCCAATTGCCCATTCTGGTCTTACCCACTACAAAAACCCACCCAAATTCCCTGTCATAAACCACACATCATACTGTTTTCTTCGATACAATCGAAGCGCAATCAATTCTCTACTTCTCTTGCTTGCTTTCATATCCAACACTGTCGCCAACTCTCCAACAACATTCTCACAATCTCACTTTCAACGCAAATCTTGCTAATTCTCTCTCCTACTCTTCAATGGCGGCCTCTTCTCAAGCTATCTTCCATGGCTCTGTTCACACCATGCTTTCTTGCTCTTCTTCTCCCAAATCTGACACTCTTAGTTCAGTCAAAATCCTCCCTTTTAACCTCCGCCGTCACCGGAGTGCCCTTTACCCCCGTGTCTGCCGCCGCACGGCCGTTCCTGTCTCTGCCAAGAGGTCTGCTTACCCTGAGCTTATTCCTGTCTCCCCTGAAGACGATACCCAGGTCACCATTTTTGCTATTTTATCTATTGTTATTGTTATTTTCTGGAATTATTCGATTCCCTTTATTTAATTTTTTGTGGATTTTAAAATGCAGGAAAAAGTTTGTGTCTTTATCTTTACATCTTTCTGTTTTGTAGGTTTGAGTAGTTTTTAAAATTGTTGTCTTTTAATAGTTAAATTCGCTTAATTGAGCTTTTTTTACAATTGGATTGCATTTCTGGACTAGTTTACTGCTTGGTTATTAGATGTTTATGTATAATTTGTCAGGAATTTGTTTAATTTTTATGATATGGTGTAACTTTTGAGGTATATTCCTGAATCTTGTCTAGTAAGCTAGCTTACATGTTGGTAAATGGTATGGTTAAATAATTAGATTTAGTGATCTTCTGTGTTAACAATATGCTTCATTTCACCTCAAGTACCCATGTCATATACTTGAAACTCCGTTGTGGGTATGATACACTGACACTTAGTTTTAAATTTGAACCAAATTTAGGTAGGAGAGCAATTTGAATACCTAAGTGGAGCCCATCTTATTGGGGAAGCAGCTGCTGGAAGGTGGTCTAAGCCTAAGCCAATCGTTGGGCGCAAAACCAAGATTGTTTGCACCATTGGTCCATCCACTGATACACGTGAAATGATATGGAAGCTTGCTGAAGCTGGGATGAATGTAGCTCGACTAAATATGTCCCATGGAGACCATACATCTCATCAGAAAGTCATTGATTTGGTCAAGGAATATAATGCTCAATCCAAGGACAATGTCATTGCGATCATGCTCGATACCAAGGTGAGCATAGCTTCTCATATACCGACTATTTTGTTGATATTGCTTGAATTTTTTCCTTCTTTTTATATGTAATATACTAATACATATGATCTTGTAGTGCACACCGCCTGATTGTTGAGTTAGCAAAAGATGCACATTGTGCTGAGTTTAAATTTTTATGGTAGGCATCCGTTTTTTGGGGGTAGTTGCTGTTTTGTTGCATTAATTCAGCTATCGCCAACCCTTGATCTTTTGTTATGTTGACATGTTCAAGTGTGTAATTAGATTTGCTAACTATTTTCCACCTTTTTGCTTAACTTGATATTTTGTATAGTTACTGTTAAACAGATTTGAGTACCTGTCCTATTCGTGCTTGATAATTTACCCGAAACCCAAGTAGATAAATTATTGAATTGGCTGTTTTGACCTATTTGAATAATTAAATGTACCAATCCAAACACTAGCCTGCTGATTTTCTGTCCAGAATGTGTTTTGCTGCCATTTAGGATCAGCTTTTGCAAGGTGTATAATTGTATATCCAGTGATGTGGTATACTGTTTATTAATATTCCGGTTTGAAATTCACATGTAAGAGCTTAGAGTTGCTGCAGTTTAAATCCCTCTCCCCTCTAGGGCCTGTTTTGGCCACTTTGTTTTTCCATATATGGACATTGAGGTAATCTATAGTCATAGGTTTGTTTGCTTGAATTGTATGCACTAACTTTGAAAAGAGAAGAGAGATAAAAAGCTCATGCGAGAAGAGACCAAAGGAATTATTAATTTTATCAAAGAAATTATATAAACAATTATGGGTTTTGTGCCCATGGAGAGGATAATATCACTTTGTAAAATATTGAATTGCAGGAGTATCAGTCAATATACTGTTCATATTAATCTAGAATACGGTCACAAGCAGGTTTCATAAGTAGCTATAAGGTGATGTTCTATGATACTTGTATATATAGTTGACTATATCAGCATATATGAGGCTGGATTTATACGTTTTTTTATTGATGGGAATAATTATGATGATGTTTGTCTTTTTTTTTTTTTTTTTTTTTCAGGGACCTGAGGTCAGGAGTGGTGATTTGCCACAACCAATTAACTTAGAAAGTGGTCAAGAATTCACTTTCACAATCAAAAGAGGAGTAGGCACAGCAGACTGTGTCAGTGTTAACTATGACGATTTTGTGAATGATGTAGAAAAAGGCGATATGCTCCTTGTTGATGGTATGAATTTACTTTAAGTCCTGTCCTAGTTGTTATCTGCACTCACTAGAATTAAGGACGGTTGACAATTATGATTTAAGTCCTATTTATTCATCATGCACTCCTGTTTTGCTGATTGCAATCTACTCACTGGCTAAAGAGGCAACATATATCTTCTTCTTTAAGATCCGCTGTATTTGTTGTATTGTCTCTAGTGTCTTTAGGCTAGTGATTTATATATTTGCTTACAGGATACTAGAAGTCATTTTTCTCATGAGAGAGAAACAAATGTGTATCTCATGACACACTCCTTGTATTGTGGCTTCTTGTGCATGTACATCTGTCTGTCTTATGAGTTCAGTCAGTGCTGCCTGTCTGTTATCAATTTGACCAGCTTCAATTTTGGGAGTGATGGATGTAAACATTCATGTACTGTAGATGTTCAAGGTCTCTCAGCGTTTTTCTTGACAGAAAAAAGATCATCTGTTCTTGTATTCTTTGAAGACCAAGTCTTTAATTTCTGTTTCTTGTGGCTGATATACAGCCTTTCTGATAGTTTTCTGGTGGTGTATGTTTGACATCATAAATGTTTATTTTCTTTTTATTACTGTAATATTGTATATTACATTTAATACCTGCTATTCTCACGTTCCTGGCTAATGACTTAAATTAAATCATTCTTAATGATTCTATAATGCTGGTTAGGTGGTATGATGTCCTTACTGGTGAAGTCAAAGACTGAAGATTCTGTGAAGTGTGAAGTTGTTGACGGTGGAGAGCTTAAGTCAAGGAGACACTTAAATGTCAGGGGAAAAAGTGCTACATTGCCATCTATTACTGGTTGGTGACATGATTTTCTGTTGATCTATTTTATCCTTCTATGTAGATCACATTTCCTTATATATATATAGTATGTGGCTAAATGCTAGAGCCTTCTAATTTTGTAGCTCTGTCATTTTATCTTTTTATCTTTTAATTATTTATTTATTATTTATTTTAAAGTAACTCTCTTTGTGGATGCTGCAGAAAAGGACTGGGATGACATCAAATTCGGGGTAGACAATGGAGTTGATTTCTATGCTGTCTCATTTGTCAAAGATGAAGTTGTTGTTCATGAATTGAAAAACTATCTGAAAAGTAAATACACAGGCTGAGTATAACTGCTAAAATGATGTTCTAAGTAAGCATATATTTTACTTTAGTTCCTAAACTAATTTTCTTACTGCTTTGGTTCTTAGGTTGTGGTGCTGATATCCATGTCATTGTAAAAATTGAGAGTGCAGACTCCATACCAAACTTGCATTCAATTATTACTGCTGCTGATGGGGTGAGCAACTGAGCAATCCATTATTATTAATCAGTAACTGTTCTTGAAAAATGATTAATCTTCTTCAGAACATATAAGATTGTGGTTTTCTGACAAGTGTCATGATGTAAGTTATGATGTCTCAATATAGAACACCTTCAAACTGTCTTAAAATCGGCTAATTAGATGTCCTTCATTGTTACTCCCAATGTGAGGCAGCAAACTGCAGTTGCAATAGTGGACTAAGGGTCAGTTGGCATAATACGGGTAAGGTTGTGTACATCTGACGAATGTTGCTGCAAATAATGGCCACTCAATTGCCAAAGCATCAGTATTGTGGACAGCGGCTTCATTATCATGTTAATTCTCCATTTAAATTACCACAGTTAACGACCACCCAACTGCCAAAGCATCAGTTGTGAACACCAACTTCATTAGCCTGTTAATTCTTCACTTAGATCACCAAGATAAATAATGTTTAGTTTTGGCTTGGATGTTATCTGTAATGCATTAAAGTTTATTAGATAGTTAAGGATAATAATTATCACGAGGACCATTGAGTGGGATTGTGAAAATGAGTAAGAACACTCAACAGTGCATAGAATATTTGAGTGGTGGAGGATGGCCACTAGTTACTAAACAATTTGTTTTAAATACTTTTTTGTAATCTGTCTGCTTCAAAATGCTGGATAACCTTACAATTTTCTGCTTTTATGCTATAGGCTATGGTGGCTAGAGGAGATCTAGGTGCTGAGCTTCCCATTGAGGAGGTTCCTCTTCTACAGGTAGTTTTTGTACATTTAATCTGTAAAGGCGTCTTTAAAGCTGTGGAAATTGAGCTACTGGGCTGAAATAAACTTCTAATTGCTAAATGCAGGAAGAGATAATCCGATTGTGCCGCAGCATGGGCAAAGCTGTGATTGTAGCTACAAACATGCTAGAAAGCATGATTGTTCACCCAACACCAACACGAGCTGAGGTATCTGATATTGCAATTGCCGTCAGAGAGGGTGCTGATTCTGTTATGCTTTCTGGTGAAACTGCTCATGGGAAGTACGTCTTTCCGTCTTAGATTAATTTCTTCTGATTGATTGCAATAGACCTTTTTAGCTTTCACATGCTCTTGAGAAATTTATAAATGCTTGGTGTTAAAGAAAATTACTGCCTGTCACTATTTTGCAGATTCCCCCTTAAAGCTGTCAAGGTTATGCACACTGTTTCATTGAGAACTGAAGCAACCTTGGATGGTGCTTCTGCTGTTGCTCAAACATCACATAGTCTTGGTCAAGTATTCAAGGTTGATTTCTTTTCTAAATTAAGTGGATGCACATTCGATCATTTATCGTGTTATTATAAAATGTCAAAGTATTTATTCAGGTTCAACATTTGATTATGTAATATGGTGTGTGTGCAGAACCATATGAGTGAAATGTTTGCATTTCATGCTACCATGATGTCTAATACTCTTGGGACCTCAATTGTAGTCTTCACCAGAACTGGTTTTATGGCCATCCTACTGAGCCATTATCGACCTTCTGGAACAATATTTGCATTCACAAATGAGTAAGTATCCTTTTTTCAATCTATATATCTGAAAATATACAGGTTACATAAATTGCAATGCAGATGGGAAGTTATTGGCAAAATAAATGTGACTTCTTGTTCACAGATAGATGCATGGTTTATCTTGGATCAATTTTTACCTGAAATATACAGAGTATTAGATTGTTGTACTTTAGGTTGGAGACATTTGATTTTACCATTCGATTATGTTCCTCTATTGTAATAGGCCAGATAACTCATTTTCTAGCTAGAATGTTGTGAGTAGCCATATAGGAAATTTATTATTATTATTATTCGACCCAGCACTGAATATCATGCTTTAGTTTGTTGTTACGATATGTTTTGTTGAGGCGTCTATGTTTTTGTCTTTATTGTTGAGGTGTAAACGTAAACGTAATCCAAGTTATCTGAACTTATACTATATAAATTAAGGAAACGTTATAATGTCTGCCTCTTTGAATTTTCTGCAGTAAGAGGGTACAACAAAGGCTTGCATTGTACCAAGGTGTATGTCCCCTACATATGAAGTTCTCCAATGACTCTGAGGAAACGTTCTCAAAGGCTTTAACTTTTCTGCAAGTAAGTTTTACACCTTGCCACTTTCTAGACATTGCTGATTGGTCACAATCTGTATGTTGTGATTTCTGTGCTGCGTAATTTAGGGAATACAAACTGTCTGTCAAACCTCCAATACACATTCCTTTGATAACCTCTCAATGATTTATAGGTGGTCCAAAATATATTAGCCACTTGTTAATTTACATGTTAAACTTTCAACTTACCCATACTACCTGTAATGATACCTTTATTAAAAATAAAAAGAAAAAAAAAAACCTACCATGTGGCGTAGTGATGTCAAAGACTTGCATAGAGATTGGAGGATGATAGTTATCGTCTTGTGGAATTTCGGCTGAATAATGGCCCACAATTTATTGTTGCATACTTCTTCTATTTTACATAACTTGTAAAGTTGCAATACTTCTCATTCTCCACTTGTCGATCATCACTAATATATCTTACCAGTATGTTATTATGTATAAAAAATAAAATTTTGATATAAAGAAAGTATAACGGTGTGTTTGGATTGGAGGAAATGGAGGGAAAGGAAGGGAAGAGAAATGGAGAGATGGAGTATCTTTCATTTGGATAGCAAATGAGGAAGGGAGGGAATTGGAGGGGAGAGAAATGGAATGATTAAATTGTAGGAAATTGATCCCTCTAACAATGGAGAGATTTGGAAGGAAAACTCACCATTCTTCCCTCCCCTCCTCTTCTCCTCCCTCCCCTTCTTTTCCTTCCCCTTTCTTTATCCAAACAAACTGTAAATCATGGCGAATTTGACAAATCCCTTCATGACTATATTTTTCCTTAACTATAAATTATCAGAGCTAGTCAGCTAGCCAAAGTGGATGGTGGAACAGTAACAACCTCAAAAATTGGAAGAACCATCATCCATATATTTTCTGAGTGCAGAATCCTGTTCTTCTGTCCTTTATTTGTATCCTTCCTTCAAAGATAAAGATATTCATATAAATATATGGCAATTAACCAATGAACAACTTGGCTATTATCTTACAGAATGCTTAGTCCATACTACTGAATCTCATTTTACTTGCATATTATGATTTTAACGCATGCCTAAGAACTGCCAAATTTGTGCATTGCTAATATGGAAACATCTATTTACAGAAGCAAGGTATGGTGAAGGAAGGGGATGAGATTGCTATTGTTCAAAGTGGAAAGCAGCCTATTTGGCGATCCCCATCGACCCATAATATTCAGGTGAGGAAAGTTTAGATCTAAGAAAAGAGGATGCATAAGCGATCATGGTTCCTATACAAGTTTGAGGGGCAGAAAATGAAGGGTCTGAAAATCTCGAGCTTGCAACATCCTCAGTATTCGTTATGTGGCACAGCTTTGTGATGCATACATAGGAACTAATGTTAGTGTTGTCCCTGTAGTGATCAGATTGCCCCAATGAATATGTGATGGGCAATGTAGTGTGAGATATTTGTAATGCAGGCATATCGTAGGTAGGGTTTAGCGTTAGTTCTGCCTTAGGGTGTGATTGGATAGCCAACCTAGTGTTTTCTTGGCCGTCAAACTACATTCTTTCACTATATGCTTGAAAACAGGAGCTAAGTATTGGCATGAGTGCAGTTTCCAGTTTGTTTGCTCTGTCTTGAAATGAATGTATTTTTCTCTGAAAACTGAAATTGCGCGCTGACAAGTAACTCTCCTTATCAATTCATAAGTAAAGGATGAGACCTGCTATATTAGGCATGCTTTGACTGTATATTTTGTCCAATAACCTCAACCGATCACATTAGCATCAAAACCAATTTACTCCGTATTTCGTAATATTGTATTCACGAGAAGATTTGCTGAATGATACTTTGTACTAACGGGCAACAGCTTAGAAATCTATATTCACAAAACATTTACAATCATGACAAACTAATGTTTACCCTTTCCCAAAAATAAAAATATAAAAAAAAGTTGAAACAAATTCAGTACTAACACAAACAATGTCTAACACCATTTGCTAGTGAAATGAGCATGCTAACACTAACCTTAGAAATTTGCTAATATTCAACTACCACACCCTAGTTTTTGAGGATTAAACTATGCCAGAACAATGAAAGAAAGCTACCACATGTCGTAAACATGTATTGAGAAAAAAACTTCCCCTGTTCACTATTCCATAATCACATATAGACAGACAGCGTTCGAGATTAGAATTGTCTCAGCATAGCCATAAGACCTCCACCATGCACCCTTCCTTCAAGGGATGCTGAATTTGAAGACTGACCATACTGATCCAACAAGGGCTTGTCATCAGGCAGATTGAAACTGTTCGAAGAAGTTAAGTTTGATTCTGTGCCAACATTGTTCATGCAGGCAAAAAAGTTCTCAGCAGCAATTTCTTCCATCTTCAGGCCCACTGTACCATCTCCATGGACTCGCTTGTCTTCAACTTGTGCACAATGGGCAGCGCAAAGACCAATTTTACCCCTTGCGAACTTATCACAAGGGCTATCGCCATCTCCACCAAAACCCGAACCTTGTTGGCCATACAAGCAGCGCTTACCTCCTCCATGTGCCTTGCAGAAATCAGTGCTTCCCTGTGCGCTCTTTTCACATCCTTCACTTTTGCACCTTTTTCCTCCACCATGGCGAACACAGAAGTTTGTACGTCCCCTTGCACTCTTAGTGCATTCAGGGAAGGCACATCTTTTGCCACCACCATGAGAAACACAATATAAGGTACCTCCATGTACACTCTTGGTGCAGACACCACCTCCTTGAAATGAACATCGCTTTCCCCCACCATGTCCTTTACAAAAAGGCGTGCTTCCCTCAGCTCCCTTGGTACACCCTAAAAAGGTGCACCTTTTTCCTCCTCCATGAGCCTTACAGAGTTTTGTACCTCCCTGAGCACCTTTAGTACATTCAGGAAATTGGCAACGGCGCCCACCTCCATGAGCAATACAGAGACCAGCAAGCCCCTCAGCACTCTTAGTGCAGTTTTCAATCTTGCACCTCTTTCCACCACCATGGCGGATGCAAAGGCCGGATTTTCCCCTTGCTGCACGATTGCAACCTCCTTGAAATCCACATCGCTTTCCACCTCCATGCGCGATGCAGAAATTAGTGCACCCTTCAGCACTTTTGGTGCACCCCAAGTGTTCACATCTTTGGCCACCACCATGAGCCTTGCAGAACGCAGTCCTGCCTTCTGCTCCTTTTTGACAACCAGTTCTCTGACACCTTCGCCCACCTCCATGGGAAATACAATGACCTGAAGCACCCCTTGCGCCTTTTTGACAGCCAGGAAACTGGCAAGTCTTAACTGAGGTCTTGCGCTGCTGTTTAACGCAAGAAGTGGCGCCATCTGTTCTAGGAAGTGATAAAGAGACCGAGACTGCTGAGACATTTGAGACAACTGAAATTGGGTTCACATTGAACCTATCTACAAGAGGTACAATAGGTCCTCGTTTCCATTTTGATGATGTTGATCCTTCATCCACAAGTTGCTCAAATTCAGATGTCACATTCTGAATAGGCGATGAAGTCAGGGTGACACTAGTGAGATCAGATTCTGCAGCTGCAGTAGACAAGCTTAACTCAAGGTCAACCATATATTGCTCCTTCTTAGGTGCTTCAAAACTGTTGCCAGAGTATTTCGAGTCCTTGCAAGCTATTTTATATCCCAGATCAATGTTGAGATCAAGGCAAATATCATTTGGACACTCCTTTCCAACATCTATTTGAGAAGTTAAGGCAGTCCTAGAAGCAGCATATTCGATCTTGCCATCTAGGGAACTACCCAATTCAAGGGCCAGAGAAATCTCATGCTTTATACTCACTTCATCACTTGCATTTGTTACTCTTTTGCTAGCTCCAGCATCATACAAATAAGAGGGTACAGCTAAAACGCTCTGACAATGTAGTCGCAAGGTAGTGTCCACTAAATGACTCGAGCCAGCATCAGTTCCATTTGAATCTTTGCATCTATCCAGTAAAGAATTCCACATGAAAGGCTTGTGGATGCCATCCATCATGCTTTATTTTGAAAGAATACTTATCATCTAACTGATATCTAAACAAAAAATTAAGAAGCCACTCCAACTAGTATAAACAAAGGAATGACAATATTATGTGCAATGCAGATTCATAGAGATGAAGACCTCCTCCACTGACAAATCCTGATGTATCCCTTCGGTCCATAACAACAACTCGAGCAACTATCTCAAAAGAATTTAAGATAATATCACCATAGACACACCGTTTTCCCAATTGCATCCAGGAAATATCCCATTCTGTCAAAAAGAAAATCAATCAAAATCCATGAAGCTAAGAACACAATATGAAACAGAACAAGTAGAAGTAATCGAAATTGAACACAAACGCAAAACTCGATTCCATGTAGTGTACAAACAAGAGCTAATAAATCAGTTTTAAACATGATTCTAAGACTATGGCAATCATATTAACAAGCAACTAAGATGACAACTATATTTTGATTGTCTCAACTCATTTGTCTCAGATCAAATTACTACCTCCATTACATATTATTTACAATGGTTAGACATTTTTCCTCTCTATTTTATGTCAAATCGTTGCAAATAATATGTAACAGAGGTAGTATATTATTGTACCTTATCTTCACTTCAACAAAAGTCATTTAAGAGTGTCAAAACTTATTTTGCCTAAAGTTATGTGAATTTTATTTCAGACACAAAAACCATGTGTGAATGTGCGTGGGTGAAATACATTACTCCCTCCGTTTTCAAATAAAAATGTCATTTTACTCAAAGCTCGTCCCTAATTAAAATTCTCATATCATTTTTATCTATTTATTCAACCAAATACCACTATCTTGTCTTTCATTTTTATATTCATTTTCAATCATCTAAATCCTACTAACAAATGAGTCTTTCACAAATTTATTTAGGGACAGAGAAAGTATTCAATCAACAACTCAAAATAAGCTTACTTTACACACCAATAAACTCAATTTAGAGACATGTACTTCAATTCCTTTGTTCTTTCATGGTAGCAACATGTATATTTTATAGTAATCAAACTTTACATACTTGATCGTATCATTTCATTAATGTAATTTATTTAAAAAAAAAATATTATTATTACGCGTATTGGAGTTAAATACATATTTTCAAATACTCCCTCTGTCTCATTTTATTTATCGTATTTGAACAAAAAAATGACATTTCTAGTCAAATAGGGTAAGTGAAGTAGTAGAGTACGCAACTAATGATCAAAATGGTTAAAGATTTGTATTGGAGATCGAGGTTACACACAAATACTCCCATAGTATTTTTTTTTTAAGAAAAAAAAAAAAAAAAAAAACTGTTATACTGTACAAGGATTAAATGACTCAACTTAGCCGTAGTTGTATGAAAACGCAAATAAAAAATCACTTCGAATTTATATCGACTCACACAATTAATTAACGCCCTTAAAACTGTTTGTCAATTTTTTTATTAAATAAAATAAAATTTGTCACTCAAATTCAGCAGAGGGGCAAAATCTAAAGATTGAAAAAGTAACTAGAGAAATTTCTGATGAACCAATAAAATCAGAAAATAAAAAGGAAAAAAATCACAAAATCACTGGAAAAAAAAATTGAAGAAATTAATGAAATAGTATAAAAATGAAATGAAAGGAGAAAAAGAAAGTACCTGAAAATTTGGAAAGGTGTACGGAAAAAAAATAGATGAAAGATTAAAAATTTAATAGCGGCGGACACGAATAGAGAGGAAGAGAGAAGTGAGAATGTTTTAAGAGAAGAAGAGAGATAAAGTGCGACGGCTCAAGAATCTAAAGCCGGGGTTTAATATAGGGGAATGGAATCTCAAGGGATCTTTCCTATTTTATGAAATCTATTTTTTATTTATTTATTTTATAGTATAAATCATTAATACACGTACACCACACATCTAAGGACCGACATTTTTATGTATTGATCTACTCACATTTTTGGGGTACTTGATAAGAATGAATGAATGATAATGTGGTTTTTTTTGTTTTTTAATTTTTTTTTTAAAAATAAAAAAATAATAAATTACATATATAAAATGATTTGAAAAAAAAATATACTTTGTATAATTTTTTTGGTTGTCAAATGTTAAGTTTTTTACTTAACGGGTTTGACTAATTAATTTATTAGACGGGTTAGCAATACAACCAAATTAAATGTGTTCAATCAACTCATTTGTATTGTTAAACCTATTCAAATATACAAATTACATTTAACAATGCCAAACTAAATTGATCATATATTTAACAAACACTTTTTGTCTTACTAGTTGACCATATAAAGCATATAAGCTAACCAATCAAAAGGCCAATTAATAAACGCCATAAACATTTTCATAGATTAGTGAAAATGTTTAACAAAAGAGAGGTTTATTAGGGTCCGTTCACATTTACTGAAATGAGCTGAATTGAACTGATTGGAGCTGAACTGAACTGAATTGAACTGATTGGAGTTGAAGTGAATTGAACTAAAGTGAACTAAGGCTGAGCTGAAATTTTATATTTTATGAAAGAGGAAAATTAGGAGTTGAACTGAACTAAACTGAACTGATTAGAGCTGAACTGAATTGAACTGAACTGAAATGAGCTTAGCTGAAATGAATATTTTATGAGAGAGGGAAATTAGGAGCTGAACTGAACTAAACTGAATTGAACTGATTGGAGCTGAACTAAACTAAATTGAACTGATTGTAGTTGAACTGAACTGAGCTGAGCTGAGCTGAAATGAATATTTTATGCAAGAGGGAAATTAGGAGCTTAATGGAATTGAAATGAACTAATTGAAGCTGAACTAAACTAAACTGATTGGAGCTGAATTGAATTGAACTGAACTAAAATTAAGTAAATGTGAACATGCCCTTAGTCATTTTATAGGGACATAAAAAATCTATATATGTTACCTCAAAACAAAATATAGAGTGAGTACTTAGTGAAATTCTTTACCTATAATAACATACTAAGTAGTAAATTGATATTAAATTATACTTTGTACTTTAAATGGTTTTATTATGATACAATATAATTTTTTGTTGATATTTACTCCATAGATAATATTATCTAAATACATTTTAATACGATTATCGTATTTTTAAATCATTCATCACTCAAATTATTAGACACAGAAAATTTCTCAAATCCTTCGACAAAATCGTGATTCATTCACAAATTTTGGAATTCGGGAGATGCGGAGAGTTTATCTGATATGGGATCTTTCCAAAGTTAAAACAGCACCAATGTCACGAAAATACGTAACTAACCAATTATTGTATACACGTCAGCAATGACGTTACGTGACACGTGGGTACAAGCCAAGAAGCGGCTCGCCACCGTCGAAGGTGCGCCCTACACAATTATTTATTTCCCTTTTTAAAAAAAAAATATAAAAGATAAATAAAAATTGTTTTGTGTATTTCTTAACGCAGCTTTAACTTTGAAAAGGATAGCATTGAAAGAGAGATTTTTTCTTCGGTGCATTTACAAAACTATAATTGGAAAATAAAATGTACGTGAAAATTTGTCCACGTTAATAATTGCTTCATTTTAAGTGCTTTCAAATTTTTAGCCGCCTTCCTGAAATCAATACAGAATTACAATCATCAATTGATCTATTAATTGTTAATCTAGTGGTGATTAGAGTTACATTTGATAGGAAAGATCGCGTGTTCGATCTTATATAATAATAATTGAGAGGAATTTGAAACCTAACCACTTAGAAATGAGTCACGAATCTGGACTAGCCCAAAAGAAGAAAAAAAAAATACAACCACTTTTTTCGGTGATCCTTTAATTTTGTTTGAGGTTATTTTAGTGGAACAATGAAACAATCATTTAAAGTAATATATGTTGAAGTTTAGCCTTTAATTTTCAAATAACACATACATGTAAAATATTTCGCTCTTTCTCATATTAATAAAAGAAAAAATAATTAATTAGTTAAAGACTTATAAAGGCAAATGAGCTTTCTCTTATCGTAATAAAAATTTCTTGAACTCGTAAAATCAGTTCCTCGTAAAAATCTCAATTTTTAATATAAGATATATCTAATACGGAGTTTATAATTGACATACATATCGTATAATGGAGAAACCTCGCATAGACATATTGATAAAAGAAGTATTATGAGTATTTCTAAAAAAAAAATTTAAAAATAATGGAGTAAACTATTGAAACACTTGGATATTTGACAAACGTATAAGCCTAAAATATACTTCGTATGTACTTATCAATCAAAAATTCAATTCTCAGTTGCGTAGATTAGCAATTGCATGGCGGTTGAGCTTTAAATAAGTCGCAATTATTTTCCTCTATGATGCAAATTCTTAATATTACTTAATTAAAACGAACAAAAAAACAATATTACAATTAATTGAAATATACAATAATTCCATTACTACTAGTGTAGCTTTTCCGCGTCATTTTTGCGTGATTACATGAAAATTTGAAATTATATGCTTATATTATCACTATTCATTTTTCTCTGTCTTTAATACCAGTAGTTTAGTTTGTTACATATATTAGTACATTTATATCAATAATTGAACTATTAAAGTACATGTCTAAAGATGCTCATTAAATCATTAATATATGACCAATTGACCATAAAATTATAGTAAAGCCTCCCCATGATACACATACACCTAGTAGGTGACCTAAATAATGACATTGCAGCATATCATACACCCGCAATATTATGTATATAAACATGCACACGCAGCCGCCATGTCCACAACCCCCTTTTAATTACTATGTATGAATTTACACAAGTATACAACACACAATTAGGGCAATAGTGGACGATAAGGGAATTTCCATCCTAAAAAATTGCAATTGGTAAGGATTGAAACCATGATCTTAAGGTAAAGTAAAAACCTGAGGCCTAACGATTACACCAATTAATACTTAGCTTGTTAAAAAATATATAAAAAATAAAAGTGATATGTATTTTCACTTCCACCAATTTAAAGCATATATAGCATATAAGTACTTGATAATTATAGTAGCATAGAATTCAAGGTATAAGGTATGGTTGTAGAAAGATAAAAATAAAATGTAATGTTATTGTTAGGTTAAGAAAACATCATACCAAATAAAACAAAAATATTCATTTTCGCAAAAAATCAAACACATTATATTAACTTATTACAAATTATATCCACGAGGACGAGTGATGAGAACGATACTAAATCATCTAGAATTAGGAGGAAAAATTTAACCACTTAAGCTATCTCTCAGTCTCAAATTTTTCATTTTTCATAATTTTGAGGGAAAGAGGATACCCCTATTCTCGTTCAATTGGAACAAAACTAATTTCAGACCTTCTAGGACAAGCCCATCACAAAAAATAACAAGGTACAAGGCCCACAATTTAATTTGCACACTTGCATAGTTTGCACATGCCAAAGTCAGAGCTTTAACCATAAAAAGAAGTCAAACTTACACAATTGAATTACATACAACATCACTCATTAATCTTACAAACTTAGATCAATTTATGATACGAAATACATAAAATAAATTAAGTGAATATTGTGGTTACACAATCAATTAATTATTCAAACATCCTTGACAATTTGTTTAGTGTAGCCACTTTGATCGTCCCAATATTTAGACCAAAACATAACACCTCCATATTTGGGTGATTTCTTGATTATAGGTAGAACTTGAGAAGTGAGCACATCTGGTGGTAGAAACCCACTTCCGGCTGCTTGATTGGCGGCCGGCAACCCCATGAACAACTTTTTTATGTATGTTTGTGAGCTCCAAAAGTTCCATGAATCAATAAGGTTGGTAGTGCTACCATTATATTGGCACGGTGGATTGTTGTAAAATTGAACCCATACGTAGTCAAATAGCCCTGTCTTTAAAGGAGTGCCTAAATATTTATCGGGAAATGGGCATTGAGGGGCGGCACCTAAGTACACCCTCTTATTTCCTCTTCCACGACCATTGTACCTATTTAAAAATCTTGCTAAGTCATCCCAATATAAGATGGATCCCGACTCAATATCAAAGTCGATACCATCTAGTGGTGCCTTTCCAAGAGGCCTAGACTTAGAATGGCCTCCTAGAAAGTTATTCCAAAGATACTTGGCAAAGTCTTTAGCATCATTCTTGGAGGAAAAAGAGTAGTTCCCTACACCACCTCCTAGGGAAAGAAGAACCTTAATGCCTCTAGCTTGGCAAAACTCGACTTCACTAGATAATCCAACACACCCTCCAGAAGCCGGGTCACAATGACCGGCTAGGTTAAGGGACGGGACTTGCCCCCCACCAAAAATGTTAAGAAAAGCTAAGTTAACATATTTATACCTCCCCGTGGCACACGTTTCATTTAAGCGCCCCTCAAACCCGTTCTGGCCCCAGTATATCGCTATACCACCGCGATTAGGTCTATAATGATTGCCATAATAGCGGGCTTGGGTTACGTACGAGAGCCCGAGGAAGGTGAGGAAGAGAGGAAGGAGATGGAGCTTAGAGGTGTACATTATGTGGCTAGGAGTTGATACACAAAATGTTATTATGGGATATGTGGTTATATAATGTGTAGTGATCAAGTGGTCATTATATATATAGAGTATGGTCAACGTTTGACAAACGTAGTGTGGTGGGCTGCAACATGTGTGTGGGGCCTTAATTAGCTGCCGGATGGTGCGCGTCGGCCTGCAAATGTATTGTTACTAAACACTTAGTATATTTAAATTAAATTTATTATCTACTATCCAGTTTTATATTATTTGTAACGATTAAACATTTTTCCTCTCTACTTGATACTTCGTATATAATTGTTGCAAATAATATGAAACAGAGGTATTAATAATAATAAGAAGTATACAATACAAATAATGCTTGGTTTACTAGTATGAATTTGAATTTCATTTGCCATACATATGTTCTTTCAAAAAAAAAAAAAGTACAAATAGTTTTGCATAATTTGTAGAATACTTAGTACTCCATCTTGGTGATGAGGATGATAGTGTTTGAATTTGTTTATCTTGAACAACAGAGGAAAAATTAAATAAAACAATGATGTTTTTTTTTTTATTTTTTTATTTTTTTTTTATTTTAATTTTTTCATTTGTATATTATCATTCAAAACTAATAATACATATAAATACCTATTGACTTATCATCGATCCTTGGAGAAATTGTGTGATATTTAAATATAATATAAATTGCTTCATATTAACGTAGTAGGAGTAATACGCAAAGAACAACATAACTTACATAAGATTAAGATGGTTGACTTAGTTTTAACATCTTATTAATGTTTTTATATTTTTATTTTACCTGATAGAAACATAACATTGAACAAATTCATGGACATGGTCATATGGATAAATGGATACGAATAACATAGGATTAGTGTGTATTATTAGAGAATCATTGCAATTTATGTGTATACATATTCCATTGTTTTTAAAGATCTTGTTTAATGTTTACGTGGTCAAAATTTGAAAACTCGAGTCATGTTTAAAGCTAGTTTTTACTTATAATATCGAAAAACAGATATCAATAGACATGAAATACACAAATTAAAATAAAAAATCTTACTTCGAGAATGAAGACAATACTCCGTACATAAGATAACTAAAAAAACACTAGAGAGCTAATAGAGAATGTGAATGAAAGTGACTAGCTTTTCTTCAACATAGACTCATATTTTAATCGTTGGCCATATTAGTTTTGACTATTGAATTAGCCAACTTGCGACTATATAGATAAAATTGATCATGTTTGCTGAATTAAATAATTAAACTTGTTTGAAAATTGAAGTGCAACTTTGTGGGAGGCATGCTTTGATTGAGTCAGCAAGACTAATTCAAACATATCCATACCCTAATTTAACTAATATGCATAGTCTACTGTGTAAGCTAGTAGATGAACAGAATATGAACCCAAAATATAAAGCATGATAAATGGAGGATATACATTCATCATATATTCCACCCACTTTGTTTGTTGCCACTCCTATTTGCAAATTGCAACGACCCACCATATATGTTACACTTCATTCATTTTATATTTACTTTATTTTTCATCATATATATTCATTTTAGCAAATTAAATCAAGTTAATTAAAAGTTGGACTATATTTATAACATGCATCCTCATGGGGTGGTAATTCGGGTAACAAGTTGAGTTGGGTTAGATTTCTAGTCGATTTCATATTATACTTAAAAATAGTGTACGTAGAACTTAATATTATTACAAGATATGATAGTTTGGTCAAATCAGGTTGGGTTCGAGTTATGTGGGTTTAGGTCATGTTTTCATCCGTAACTTCGGGATAGGTTATCAGGTCATATCAGGTAAGGGGAAATTACAATTTTAAAGGCATATAAAAGACGTCACTGTCAGATAATATAAAACTCCTTGATTAGAGTGATTTCCATTGATCAATATTTATAGGGTTACAATGAGAAACCTAATCATATTAGGTAACTATAAGATATGTACAAATATCAAAGATAATCTTATACAAAATATATCCTAAACCTAGGATGAGAATATTCTATGGATATTCTCTATCACACCCCCGCAGTCAGAGCGGGAGAAAATCGGATGCTCAGACTGGATCTGAATCACGCATCGAACGGTAAGGATAGTATAGTGACCCATGATCAAAAGAGAAGTAGTAGACGTGTGCTGGTGATGACGATGAGAAGCAACAACCACGACCTACGTATAGTAGAGATATGCGCTTTTAGGCCGAAGGAGAAGAGTCACGCATATACTTGGGCCAAGTTGCAGATCCAGAGAAGAATAAATTAAGGGATCAAACCATCATCGGGGAGAAGACACTACACTACTACGTGAAATCACAGTTGAAGAAAAACAAATAAAATTGCGCAAGAAAAGATTAAATCCCACCGCTTGAAATTAATCAATTCTCAAAAGAGAAACCAGGTAGCAAGAATTAATACTCCACAAAGATTCCAAGTGCTGCAACAACAAAATGAGGTAACTTGATAGCAAAAGAGATGTGCAAAAGTTGACCTTATTGTGATATACCACCACCAAAACAAAATCTATGTGATTATGTGTAAAAAAAAAAAAAAAAAAAAACCAATGAGGCAATGTAAGAATCATTGTTGGTCATGGGGAGGTGGAAATAGAGTGCGGCACATGGAGTAGGTTGGCAGATGTGGTTACTGCCAGTAGGGGGAGGCGGTAGTGTATGCGATTGCCAACAACGATGGAGGAGGCTTTCGCGATTGCTACTGTTGGTAGGAGGCGCAAGGTTACATAAAGATTCTAAAAAAAACTTTGAGAAAAGAAAAAAAAATCTATATGTGTGTTTGCGGAAGCATGAAAAACTTTGTATATCCCGCCGGTGGGTCCGTGACCTCTATGTCACGTTGCTCCGATACCATATTAAAGGACCAACTCAACTAAAAACTTAAACTGATGGTTGAGGTCCAGAAATATGTTTTATACTCTATCACTCCCCATCACATGAAAGGCCCTTTGGGCTTGAAATGTGGATGCAACACAGGCCCACCCATACCTGGTGATGGTTGAGGCCCAGGACCTAGTGCGAATTAATTCGCACCAGGTATGGGTGAGCCTGTGTTGCATCCACATTTCAAAAGCCCAAAGGGCCTTTCATGTGAGGGGGAGTGATAGAGTATATAACATATTTCTGGACCTCAACCATAAGCTTAAGCTTTTGGTTGAGATGGTCCTCTAACAGTCACAAAAAAATGTTTGACTCATCCTACATGCATTAACTACATACTATCTTTGAAAAAACAATACATAGATGGAATTCTAGCAAAATAACCGTTGAAGGCCACAACTTCTTCTTGGTCGATCTCTTGTTAGATTTCTAACAGTAAAAACGTACAAGTAGATAACACAAGTTGTTTTTGACTCATTATGTATCAAGAAAGGCTACTACTCATATAGCTCCAATCTTCAATAATACATAATACATTATCATAATAAATCGTACATTGACAGAGAATTCTTTTCTTAAAGAGATAAATTACATTCTTAAATAACGATTTCTGAATAGATAGCTACAAATGAGGCGGCTATTTTGTTCTTGGCTTAAGTGTTGCACATGTTGCATCTAGTTCTATCGAAGGAGCTTAGTAATTAAATTAGAGTTTAATTTATTTATGGGTTTTGCTATACATAGCCCTTAGGGTTATGCATAAGAATCAACAATTTCATATCATTAATTCTATTTTTCTTGTTCCAATGGAATCTTATATTACTATTAATCCAGAATTAATCCATCCCAAAAATGTAACTAATACTTTTCTAGTTTTCTTACCTACACAATTAATTGCCATGAAAATGCTTTTTCCAAAAATAAAAAAATAAAAAAATAAAAATAAAATAAAGTTCAATATCATCATACTCTCTCCAGTCCAATCTATCCTAAGACGGATTCAGCTGGTTGTTTGGGTGCCGAAGATATGCGAGATCGTATGTGGCACTTCTAGTAAAATACCTTTATTTTATTTGATATGTATGAATAAAATATTTTGAAACAATGAAGATTGGCTAGGCATGGAAATAGTACTCCATTAAAAGCTTGAAAAGGATGATAATAACTTAAGTTTATCTCCTAATAAACCAAATCAGGCGTATAAACAATTTTTTTTTTTTAAAATAAATATCTTAGCAGCACACTAATATATTGCAGTATTGTCCACTTAGCATTATCTAATAGATGGTTTGGTTGCTATATGTTGTTTCTTGAAAGAATGTGGGTAAAAGATTGACTTGCAGTATATATAATTTAAATTTTTTCTTTTTTACAGTATATATAATTTTCTATTGGTATGATGTTAGATTTGTTAGTGCTTAACTAATTAAATAAAATACAAAAGTTTAATCCTGAAAGGAAAATAAAAATAGCTTTAATGGGTTAATAAATGCATTTTGATAATAACTTATCCCATAAACAATATTACATTAAATTAATAATAACTTAAATTAATAATACTATAAGATTCCATTGGAACAAGAAAAATAGAGTTAATGATATGAAATTGTTGATTCTTATGCATAGCCCTTAGGGCTATGTATAGCAAAACCCTTTATTTATTATACCACTTGCTATATACTTCATATTGTAATAACAAGTGGAATTGAAAATAACAGGAGATTATGGCAGGAAATTTTGGGTTTGAGGTTTAATTCGTGTATATGCACTAAATTTTGATCACTGTGATTGTGAAGTAATCATGCAATAACTAAGGTTATTTACATAAGTAAAATAATATAAGTCTTATAGTAGTAATGGTGGTTACCAAGAAGAAATTCGAGAAGTGATTGTTGCATTCAATTGTGTCTAATCTTTTTCTATTAAATAACAATTTTATTAAAATAAAACATTTTGGCAATAGAATCGAAATTATTTTAACTCGATCCATACCCAAATCAATCCTAACGAGTCTTATTCGAAAATAGTTCGACCTAAATTAACCCAGTCCGAAACTAATTTAAATAACTCAATAGCCACCTCCGCAACCTAAGTTGATAAACGTTATTTTAATTTTAAAGAAAGACGTTTAATACATATACTGATATACGAAGTTGTATTATATATTTATATGTTTGACGAACGATGATAAGAATAACACAACAATTCGATCATATACTACTAATAATTGCAGGACTGTATCCAGTAGTATCATCCCAATACTTAGACCACAACATTATTCCTTCATATTTTGGTGACATCTTTATGATAGGAAGCACTTGTAATTTCAGTATATCCGCCGGAATATACCCATTTCCGGCCTCCCACGCCGCCGCCGGCAACCCCATAAAGATTCTCCTTATATATCCGGTCGAAGACCACATATTCCATGAATTTATAAGATTTGTAATATCTCCATTAAATTGGCATGACGGGTGTCCAAAAAATTGGACCCAAACATAATCAAACAACCTTGTCCTAAGTGCCATGTCCAAATATTTGTTAGGGTACGGACATAAAGGTGCAGCCGTTAGGTACACCTTTTTTCTTCCTAATAAATTATAACGCGCTACATATCTTGCCAGGTCATCCCAGTAAAGTGTTGACTTTGATCGGTCAACAGCAAAGTCGATACCATCAAACACAGCGTTACCAAGAGGCCTAAAACTCGAGGTACCACCCAAGAAGTTGTCCCAAAGGTAACATGCAAAATCCATCGCGTCTTTCTTAGAGGAGAAGCCATAGTTTCCTATCGCGCCTCCAAGAGAGAGCATGACCTTTATCCCTAGAGATTGGCAATAATCCACTTGTGGCCCTACGCCGGTGCACCCACCGGTAGATGGGTTGCAATGACCAGCTAGGTTTAGAGACGGGGTTTGACCGGACCCAAATATGTTGAGGAATGCAACATTAACAAACTTGTACCTGCCTGTTGCACACGTTTGATTTAGGGTTCCTTCGAAGCCGTTTTGGCCCCAATAGATAGAGATGCTACCAGCAGCATGAGATTTTGTGGATAGCAAGAGGATGAAAAAGGAGATTGTGGTAAGAAGAGAAATGCAATGAAGTTCTTTAAACATATTTGGTCAAGAATGTGTAGTTTAGATATTTTGTGCTTGGCTATCTAAGTTGATGCTCTTATATATTTATATTATACATGTATGTTTGTGCATCATTTGTTGACTCTGACTCATCATCATGAAAATTTGGTCTTGAAACTAATTAATTAATTAATATCGCGTGTGTAGTCTGAAATTTGAAAGCACTATAATATTTACCATCTTAATTGTGCGACTTTAAAATGAAAAAAGGTCAATTTATATGCAAAAATATCGATAAATCTATAGAATATTCCATAGTGTTATTTTCTCATTGTTTGAAATTTCAGATGATGATATAATCTGAAGACTTTAGAGAGTGGTTTGAGGACAATATTTCGAATTTGAGAGTTGTTTATTGAATAGATGTATTCTTGACGATTAGTTTATTTTCCTAACCAATATGCTGAATTATAGTGTTAAGAATTCAATTTGGAATTTTCTTGTTAAATTAACCTTCTAGGATATGTTTATCACTTTATCTCATTTCATATAGCTAAGCTAGCTAGTTGTCCACTTAGAAATTACTATTACCTCCATCTCTTTGATCATCTTTCTTAATACTCGTAATTTAATAATACTAATAAAAGTATAACAAAATACAATACAATATTTGTATGCTGCAATAAAGGAATATTTCAAAATAATACTCCTTATTGTAAATAATATGAAACGGAGATAGTATATAGGATAAAAGAAGTCTCAAGGGAAAGAGGGTGGGTTAGTTAAGAATTATTGCAATGCCAATAGACTCATGATGAACTCCATTACTAGATCCACCATTGACACTATCCTTAATGGCGGTACTATATCCGCCATCATAGAATCTAGACCAAAGCATAACCCCTCCAAATTTGGAAGACGTCCTAACATTTGGTAACACTTGACTTTTAAGAACATCAGGCGGTATATACCCACTACCAGCAGCAGCTGGTGCTGCAGGTAATCCGAGGAATACTTGGCCAGCATTCACGGTAGTCCATTCATTCCACGAGTTTACGAGGTTGCCTGTGTTGCCGTTAGTGTACTGGCAAGGTGGATTGTTGTAGAATTGCACCCGAACATAGTCAAACAAACCCGTGTTTATCGCGTTGTTAAGATGTGCATCAGGGAAAGGGCATTGTGGTGCTGCTGATAAGTAGACTTTCTTTAGAACGGTGCTGCATCTATTGAGTGTCCTTGCTAGGATATCGTAGTAATCTCCTGAGCCAAGTTCGATGTTGAAGTCTATGCCATCGAGCACTGCATTTTCGAAAGGGCGTGAGTTTGAGGTTCCTCCTAGGAAGTTGTCCCAAAGGTAGTTTGCTACCTGTGTTGTGTGTATTGACAATTTAAAAAAACGTACATACCTAATTGTAGATCTCAATACGACACAAAACTCATATTTGAAAACAAATATTAGTGTTTAGGGCAAATGGTTTATAAGTAATTTCGATTCTAATGGTGTTGTTCATAAGAAACTAAAACAAATTAATTTGATTTATAGTTATGTAGTTAGGTTTATAAAAAAAATTTGGAAAATTTCATTAATTCAAGTATTTTTTTTTATAGAAATTGAGCCAAAATTGCTAATCCGTGGTTTATACACACGGGTGTACAATGGTGTACAATGCTCATCATACACCCGGATAAATAAAAAAAAAGGCGGAAAGAACATCCTGTGTTTCATAAAGAACATACATGTATTTGACAAAGAACATAAAGATATAATAAAAACAACGAGATAAAAACTTAATAAAATTTTCTGAAAAATTACACATTATTAACGGAAAAAATTTAGAGGTGATAAAAAATCGAGTAGGGCCGGGCCATATCATAATTTCTCGTGCCCAAACCCGTAGAAAAGTAGCGGGTTTTGGGCTTTTTTCGAACCCGGTTCGAGTTTTAACTAAAAATGCATTTTTAGGTTTGCCCAAACCCACCCTATTTCGGGCTGGATCGGGTCGGGAAGCGAGTCATGCCGATGTTGATCAACTCTTAAAAAATCCTTACCAAAAATATCAATTCCCTAAAAAATAGTTTTCTATCTCTCCAAAAAAAAAATTCAACTTCCCATAATAATTTAGTTTTTTTTACTCTAATATTATTTTCAATTAAAAATAATTTAAGATTTCAATATCAAATTTCAAAATAACATATGTTAAAAGAACATAATTTATATTGTAAAGTACATATAGTTAATACCTAAATAACACACTAATCAAACTCAAAGAATATATGATAATAAAAGTAATTTAAATATGACATATGATAATAAAAATAGAATTTGGACGTCATTACGACCTTAAAGAACATACACGCCAAATTCAAAGAACATACTTTGTATTGTTAAACCCAAAAAAAAAATATGTTTATCAACATATGTTAAATAACATAAGTTATAATGTAAAGAACATATAATTTTACTCAAAGAACACACTGATCACACTCAAAGAACATATTAAAGGTATGTTCTTTGTCAAACATAGGTATGTTCTTTATCAAACATTATATGTTCAGTGGCAGACCTGGGCTTGTGCCTGGTGGGTCAAGTGACTCACCAGGGCCCAAAATTTTTTTTAAGTTATTTAAAAAAAAAAAAAAAAAAAAAACAAACTTTCTTTAGCTTCCCGAGTTACTGTCTTCCTCTGTTCCTCAAAGTTCAAACCCTAGCCTTCTTCTCTAGTTCTCTTCGCCTCTTCGCTTCATCTCCAGTTCTCCACCCAGCCACCGTTCTCTTCGCCTGCTCCGTCTCCGTGAAGTCGTGGACGGTGGACAATAACAGGAAAAGGGTAGTGAAGGACTGAGATTTTTATTGCTCGAAAGAAAAAGGAAAGAAAAACAGGAGGCCTGATATTAGAAAAAAGATTAAAACCAAAACCGACTCCAAATACTTGCAGGTTATAAAATTGCAGTTTAGATTACTGAATTGCAAACCTCTTTCCTCTCAAATTTTCCAGAAAACCCTAATCGAAGAGAAGCAATAGAAATTGAGAAAAAACTTTAAAGAAAAATGGATGACTCTATCCCTGTTCGTCTTTTTTGTTCTATTCCTCCTCTAACTGAGTTTCGGGATGCAGATCCATGGGATAGCACTAACCTCGATAAGTTTACGGACGATCTTCTAGCGAAGTGGGACGAGTAAGATTATAATTTTCCAGATTTTATCAAACTTAAGCTTTTCTTTGTCTATGCTATTATTTAGTTTTCACAATTATGATTATTATTATTTTAAATCTATATTGTTTGAATTCTAAGTTTTTGTTTTAGGGGTAATAATGATAATAATGATAATGCTGAAGTGCTGACTTGCTGAGTGCCTGAGTGATTATTTTAAATCAAATGTTGAATGATTGTTTAATTACTTATTTGGAGAATGATTTGTTTTTTGAATGTTAGCATGGAAGATATCATAAATCGATATCAAAACATGAAAATTCGTCGAGAACTATTGTAATAAGTTTGCATTACTATTTAATTATCTTTTGTAGTATTATATGAACATTTGGTTGTATTGTGTACTGTTTGAATATTTAGATGTATTTTTTAGTACTATTATTTGGTTGTTTGGTGAATTTTTTTTTTTACATATTTGATTATCGATTGTGACTCACCAGTCGGAAATTCCTGGGTCCGCCACTGTATATGTTCTTTCCGCCTTTTTTATTTACCCATGTGTATTATCTAATTTTCAAAAATTGCAACTATTGACTTATTATCACATTTCATATAATTATGTTTACACCACTAACAAGGCCCCACATTCATATGTCTTATTATCCATTATCCAATTCAAGATTGGACTGCACTGTTGGATCCTCGGGCTGTGAGGGAGCATTTGGTATAATGGTATTGGGCAATTTTATACCAACGAACATTATTAGAGTCATCAATGACTCAAATTATTGGAGACGGAATTTCCAAAACATGATAGAGATAATACCAAAGATACACCTTGATATTATCCATTACATTTACGGATTTACCTAACCTGGCTATTGATTGTAAATTTTATCTTATCTTTGTAATCTTCAATATTATAGCAAGCTGTCCACTATTTTTGCTAAAAGATACATTTTTAATCTTTCCTAAGTTAGAATAGTGCATATATTCAAAGTATAGTCTTGCTACATGGTTCTACTTGACATTCTACTCTGTACTATTACTTATTCTTCTCAATACAAACACACACATAAACAAAAATGGCCATTGATTGTAGTCATCATTTTGAAGGCTACTGTCCAAGGGCTAGAAGGTTCACATTACAACTCCTCGAGGGGCGGTTTTTCATGGCGTTTACAACCATCATAATCCTAACCTTCATTGGTACCTCCTATATATTTAGTCTATACTCAAGTGACATTAAAACAACACTCGGGTACGATCAAGCCACCCTTAATCTCCTTGGTTTCTTCAAAGACCTTGGTGCTTATGTTAGTGTTCATGCCGGTCTCATCATGGAGGTGGCCCCACCTTGGGTGGTCCTCTCAATTGGTGCCATGATTAACCTTTTTGGGTACATCATGATATGGCTCTCGGTCACTCATAAGATCGCCCGCCCCTCGGTTTGGTTAATGTGTCTATACATCACCATTGGTGCTAACTCCTTAGGGTTTGCTAACACTGGAGCTATAGTACCTTGTATCAAGAACTTCCCTGAGAATCGAGGCGTTGTGATTGGGATTTTGAAGTCGTATATTGGTTTAGGTGGGGCTGTTATGGCTCAATTGTATCATGCACTCTATGGTGATGATACAACGGCTGATGGGGTGATCTTACTCATTGCTTGGGTACCGGCACTCACTTTGTTGCTCTTTGCATTTTGCGTTCGAGTCCTTGAGTTCTCTAGACATAGAGAGATCAAGAGGGAGAAGATTTTTTTCAATGGCGCCCTTTACATCTCTTTAGCCCTCGCGGGGTTCATCATGGTTATGATCTTAGTGGAAAAACAAGTCCAGTTCTGTAAAACGGGTTATGGTGTGAGTTGTGTTGTAATCTTGCTTCTCCTCATACTACCTCTCTTCCTAGTCTTTAGAGAAGAGTTAGTATCGAAATGATGATATTGTTCCTTGCTACAACATGTGGCATAGGGGGGAACCTAGCAACAATAGACAATTTAGGCCAAATTGGGGCATCATTAGGGTACCCTAAAAAAATTACTAGCACATTTGTGTCATTAATTAGTATATGGCAATATTTAGGACGTGTATTAGGAGGACTAATTTCGGAGCACTTGTTAAAGTACAAATGGCCTAGGCCAGCAAGCCTTACCATCGTCCTCTTTACATCGTGCATTGCTCATCTTCTCATAGCCTTCGACGTGCCATATGGCCTCTATGTAGCGTCGATAATCATGGGATTTTGCTTTGGTGCCGAATGGACATACGTGTACTCTATCATATCCGAGCTCTTTGGGCTAAAACATTATGCTACATTGTACAATTATGGCTCACTAGCTGCCCCACTAGGCTCGTACATTTTTAACGTGAGAGTCGCGGGGCAATTGTATGACAAGGAGGGGCTGAGACAACTCGAGGCGTTAGGGCTAACGAGGAAGCTTGGGGAGGAGTTGATGTGCAATGGAGTCAAGTGTTATCAATTGGCCTTCATTATAATCGCGGCCGCCACGTTGTTTACCGCGCTTGTGTCTTTGATTCTTGTTGCTAGGACTAGGAAGTTTTACAAGGGTGATTTATACAAAAGGTACCAAAATGATGAGAATAATGTGACATTAAGAGTGTCTTCTGGTAGAAAGGAAGTAGAGATGAATTAGTTACTGGAATTATATTTGTTTACGTATTTTCAATTCTATACTTTTGGTTAATTTTAAGAGATCCAAAAATCTTCATTGGCCTCATATGATGAAAATTGAAAACCCCAAAACTAAAATTTTTTGTGACAAAATTTATAATGAGATGTGTGCTTCATTCTCTACCTCCTTGCTTTTACTCGATTTTAATTGTTTAGTTTGAATTTTGAAAAATAAATTCAATTTGAAGAAAACCCCAATTTGCTTAAAAGCCCTAACTTTAGGTTTTAAATTTAATAGGATGAAAAGTAGTCACTTTTACCTAAAAAATAATATGATTTTTTTGAATTTATACTAGAATTTCCATTCAACTAGTTGTTATTATAGGAGAATATGTGAACAATGTAAAAGTACTGAACACGAAAACACGTGAAGTAAAAGGATAGTAATGACCTGTCGTGCATCGGTTTGTGAAGAAAGGGAGTATTTACCAATACCACCACCCAAAGAGAGAAGTACTTTAATTCCGTGCCTTTGGCATTCCTTAATATCATCTCCTATGCTTTTGCAACTTCCAGGAATGCTTGGGTTGCAGTGGCCAGCTAAATTTAACTCAGGAGTCTGACCATTGCCAAATACATTTAGGAAAGCAATGTTAATAATCTCATAGTTTCCGGTGGCACAGGCGGCGGCTAAGGTGCCTTCATCACCATTCTGCCCCCAATAAATAGCTATCCCAGCACCATGGCAGAGATTCAAGAATTGGGATGCTAAGATGAATAATGTGAGTGTCAAGATTGCCATCTTAAAATCTTTAGAAGAAGTCTGTTGTTATTTTTTTTTTAGTTTGGTATATTTTGTACTAGTACAATATTGTAAGCTATTTACAGGTACACATTATAGAGGTCATGCATGCACGTCAGTCCAAATTTCTTTTTAGCATTAAAAATGAGCAACTTGAAGCCCTCTTTGATAGATGCTTCATTGTTACTAGCTTTCATATGATTATGATTAAGCTAATCTTAGTTATCTTATGAGTTATGATACATATTTGTGTTTTTTATGATTATTTTTTTAATATATAATCCGTAGTATGATCATGTTTTTCTAACCAAAAGGGAAAAGGCCAAAGGGACTAATCCCATATCACAATTCATTATACGACAACTCGATAATATTACATTTATTAAACTCATTGAAGCAAAATAATAAGCATATTAAATTTACATGTAACTAAGCTAAGCCATGCCTCATGCCCCATGCCACTACATGCCTTTAGCTTAGATACATGAGAATAGGCGAAACAACAAAATATAATTTAAACTTCATTACATAAAGACAAATGAATTGGACTTTTTAGATGATGTCCATGGAGACTGCAAATAGATGGACTTAAGGGTTGCCAATAATTGGGATGCCGCCGATTGAGATGTGAAGTCCGCTTCCACTTTTGCTGCTTCTAGATCCGCCATTCACACTATCCTTGATGGCGGTACTGTATCCATTGTCAAAGAACCTAGACCACAGCATTACCCCTCCATACTTGGGAGAATTCCTAATGTTTGGCAAAACCTGAGTTTTAAGATTATCAGGTGGAATATACCCACTGTTAGCAGCACCTGGAGCAGCAGGTACTCCTAGGAAAATTTGGCCAGCATTCACAGTACTCCATGTGTTCCAGGAGCTTATGAGTTGGCTGGCATCGCCGTGAGCATATTGACAAGGTGCATTGTTGTAGAATTGCACCCAAACATAGTCAAACAAACCTGTATCTATGGCGTCACTTAGATGAGCATCAGGGAAAGGGCATTGTGGTGCAGCTGATAAGTAGACCTTCCTTTGAGCAGTGCTACGTCTATTGAGTGCCCTTGCTAGAGCATCATAGTTCTCTCCCGAGCCAAGTTCAATATCAAAGTCTATGCCATCGAGCACTGCATTCCCAAAAGGGCGTGAGTCTGAGTTTCCTCCTAGGAAGTTGTCCCAAAGGTAGTCTGCTACCTGTGTGGTAAATAGAAAAACAGAACGAATTGATTAGCTTACAAAACAAAGCTCCTACAAGAACAAGACCATTGGCCTAATCAAAACTAGATAGTTCAGCTGGTAAAGTTTTCAGGAGATGAATTAAAAACTTTGCATGAGGCAGCCTTTTAATTTAAACCATCTTTTGAGCCCAGAGAATAGCATGACTAGCTAACTTTAGATCATCTTGCTCTATCACTTTAATTTTAAATATGGTGATTGAAATACTATGTATTTGGTACTTGGCTTAGCATCTAACATAACACTCATGATAGCAGTAATATAGTACACGGTAATTCAACAAGGCTGAAAAGATACAAAACAAGTTGACATACTCTTTCTTAAATGTGCACTGTATAATTGTATATATGCTAGGAATATAGGATAGATTTTCTTTACTAAAAGAACAGTACCTGTTGTGCATCAGCTGGCGAAGAAAGGGAGTAAGTACCAACACCACCACCCAAAGAGAGGAGCACTCTGATCCCCTGCCTTTGACAGGCTGCAATATCATTCCCAATCGAGCTGCAACTTCCAGGATTGCTTGGGTTGCAGTGGCCAGCTAAGTTTAGCTGAGGGGTTCGGCCGCTGCCAAACACAGTTAGGAAAGCAATGTTAATATACTTGTAGTTCCCAGTGGAACAGGCAGCAGCTAAGGTGCCCTCATCACCGTGTTGCCCCCAATACGTAGCAATTCCAGCACCATGACAGAGATTCATGAACTGGGATGTAAAAATGAATAATGCGAGTGTCAAGACAGACATCTTTGAAACTCTAGAGGACGTCTTTTTCTTTGTTTTTGCACACTATGCACACAAAAAATGTAACCTTTTTATAGGCACAACGAGGTCATGCATGTTAGTCTAACTATCCTTAGCCTCCCAGAATTAAGGATAATTATGCAGTAAGCATGCCCTACATTCTTATTTGTTTATCAATTTGTGTGTGTAGGTAGAGAGACATGTTAGGCAGTTGCTCCTTTCGAAGAGTTTAATGAAAGAAACAGGAATGATTGTTCTCAAATATCCGCAAGTCCAATACTTAATTTTATTTATATTCTAGAAATTTCATCAGACATTCAAACTTCAAATCAACCCCTCACATAAGTTCAAAGTTCTCAGCTCTCCAAATCCAGCCCAGCGCATCACATTATTAACTTTCATATATAGAAGACTTTAGACTTAATAGGCTAATAACTATATGACACCTACCTTAATGATGTTAACAGAATTATTTTAATGTATATTTTTTGCATAAATACATTCTAACTAATTAATGGTTCCTTATCCTATCTTTAAAAAATTTAAAGATTCCTCAATCAACAGCTAGAATTATTCAAAAAAATAAAAATAATATTAACAGCTAGAAATGAGGGTGCAGTACATGTGCATTAGATACTAAAATCACCCATTACCAATGAAAAGAACACATTCAAACTAGTAAAACCAGGACTGTAAATATATCACCAATTACTAATGGAACAAAAATTACCCATGTTTTTAATTAACTTCCTGAGCTAGTAACCTATTACATTATTTACATGGACATGAAGAACAAAGCGCCTAATCAACTTTACTAAGACAACAATATATAATACTAGACACTTAATTTGCAATTATATTTGGTATTACTTGGTATATAAAACTCCCTTCATCTTTAAATGTTGTTCTTACTTATTGCTTTTGTGTCACTAAAAAAGTCAAAGTAGAATGAAATTTAGAGACAAAGGAAGAACGTAGTAGAAAAACTTAAATGGTTGTCTTTTATCAAAATATAAAAGCTGGAAAAACTCTAGAATAACACAAAAGGAAGAATGAAGAATATTAAGGTGTACGGAGACCAATTTGTTATAATTGAGGTGGATATACATATTAGTCCAAAGCTTCATTTGATGGAATGAAGTAAGTTTGGAAATTACTCCACACTAGACAAGTATGTTATATATTGCCTTCATTCTAGGCAGATATATATTGTAGTAATGAATTTGGTAGAATGAAGATGAGATTCTCTATTCTCATACTTCTGCCAAATTATCAAGATTAAGTCATTAAAATTTTATAATTTTAAAATGGATAATAAGAGATACACTTCATGACAAGGTAAGACATAAAATGCTCCAAGCCACTCACCCTTACATCTTTTCCGTCAGCAAATGCTTTGGATCAGGTTATTAAGTTGGTGCTACATATAAGTCTCCATGTGCCAGCACAGCCGAAGCCCTATAGGCTTTAGCTGCTGTGTAACTATCCATGAAGGGTGCAGGTTGACGCTACAGGGCTATAGATATGCTCCTCTCCCATTCTTGAATGGCTGTGTGTTCCCTCCCAATTAATTCCAGTCCCAAACATCCCTGAAATGTAAAAACAGAGGGCGTTAAAGCCAAGACAGCATAAAATTTTCAGAACTTCGTGTGAAGTATAATGGAAAGTTGGAAACCTCATATTGAAAGAGAAATTAGATTTATGTAAAAGCTGAATGAGGAATTCAGTAAATTCAACATGTCATTAATGAACAAGACTCCATTCTCTGTACCCCAATGTTGATATTGCTCCTAACTTCCTAAGTTCCTCACAGCTGTAAATCCTGTAATCATCTGAGTTGTCCTGTTACCCTGCTCATTTCATTCAGCTATATTGATCTTCAGATGATGATTGAATATAAAATGACAATATCTTTAAAACTAGCCAACTTAAAATAAATACCTAACAGAAGAAAAGCATCACATATTCCAAGCCACACATCCTAGCTGCATGTACAGATTTCAAAAAGCTTCCAGTAGAATCAAGATGGATGCAGGGAGATCCACGCTACTTTGTATATATACCAATGAATAAAATGTTTTTACTGAAGCTGAAAGGTTGAACACAATTTCGTATGTAGTCACCAATAATCACCACAAGAACAACCCCCATTCTTGAAGGTATGAAACCTATTGGTATCTCTAACAATTATTTCCCGTTTAGTGACCTTGGATATGAGCTTGATTGCAACATGGCAATCTCCACAAATGCGAAGATTCTTAGTAATTCTGATAGGTGTTGGTGGTCTGCTATTTATAAGGGCAAACATTATCGCCAACTTTTCACTGTGAACGGTAAGATGGCCTTCTTTATCCTCCTCCTCTACATCATGAAGAGCAAAATCCATCTCTGGAACATAACCTTCCTCCTTCATTTTCCCCATTAACACATGCAGTTTATCATAAATTTCTTTAGACTGTGGATGTGATCTGTCCCCTGCTAGGAATGTATAAACCTGACCTTGATGCTCCACATTACTAATGCCTGGCGTTTTGTTCATGCCTTTGTCCTTCATCAGTGACCTGATTGTGCTAACTTCCTTCCACTTCCCTGCTTTAGCATAAATGTTAGATAGCAACACATAATATCCACCCTGTTCAGGTACCATTTTAAAAAGATTGTCAGCTGCTATTAGCCCAATTTTCATGTTGGAATGGACACGACAAGCACCTAATAGAGCTCCCCATACTCTTTCATTTGGGTCAACTTGCATCTCCTTAATAAAAGAGAAAGCCTCGTCCACTCTCCCTGCCCGTCCTAAGAGATCAACTACGCAACAATAATGCTCTAACCTAGGGGGTATATTGTACTCCTCAGTCATTAGTTTATAGTAATGCTGCCCTTCTTCCAACATCCCTGAATGACTGCAAGCTGACATAATAGCAACAAATGCAATGGAATCAGGAGTTAATCGCTCCTCTCTCATTCTTGAGAAGAGGGAAACAGCTTCGTGACCTTGTCCACTAACACCATAAGCAGAAATCATAGAAGTCCAAGAAACTACATCACGAATCTCCATCGTATCAAACACTTCCCTTGCTTCCTTTAAGCAACCGCACTTGGCATACATGTTGATTAATGCATTCTCCAAGGACAAATTTGGAAGAAGTTTTCTCCTTTCAACATGTTTGTGAATCTTCCTTCCTAATGAAAAAGCAGAAAGATCACCACAAGCAGGAAGAATACTCGTAAAGGTAACCCCATCTGCTTCAATTCCATTATCTTCCATTTGAGAGTAAAGATCAATGGCTTCTGCAGCCATGGAATTATTCACATACACAGCTATCATTACATTCCAAGATACCAAACTCTTCTTAGCCATCTTCTCAAACATTTTCTCGACAAAAACAACATTTTCAGAAGAAGTGTTAGTAACAGCTGGAAGCAAACTTGCCATAGTGCCAGCATCTGCATTCAACTCCACTGACTCCATTTCTCTACAAATTCTCAAGGCGTCATCAAAATGCCCTTTCTGTGCATACCCAGCAACCATTGAATTCCAAGAAACGACATCTCTTACAAGCATTTCATCAAGAACTTTCCTAGCATCAATCAAACAACCACACTTCCCATACATAGAAACTAATCCATTCCCAACAAACAAATTCAAGTTAAGCCCAACTTTAAACACAGCAGCATGAATTTGCCTACCAACCCACAAATTCTCAGACCCAGAACAAGCTTTCAAAGCACACGGGTAAGTATAATGATCAGGTCTAACTCCAACCATAGACATACTCTTAAACACCCTTAAAGCATCAAGGTACTGTTGGTGGGTCACATAGCTCCTGATCATAACATTGAAAAATATAACATTTCTTTCAGGACTTTCATCGAACAGATGGCGTGCAATGCCCAATAAACGAAAACCCGCATAAGCCCTGATCAATTTTAGCCGAATACAAGAACTTGAATGAAGATTATGGTGGGTTAGTATGTTGGCATGAAGTTTTTTCAATGTTTTGAGATCTGGGTATGAATCCAAAATTTGGGTACACAATTCCTCTGTAAGAATCACATTTTGGCGGGTAAATTCGAGTTCTTGAATTTGTGGGGAAAGGGTTTCTAGTTGATTGAACGTTGATAACTGGCGAATGAAACTATAGCGCCGAATAATCATCAAGTAGGAAGTATAATGTCACTCTTAAGACTTCTAACGCCAAAAATATGATGCTAGGTCCACGAAGAATAAAATGAAGTGATTTATTATATACTCCGCAGGCAACATAGCTCAAATACTCGTAAAGTCGTACTCCGTAATGTAATGTCAATTTAAAGGAATTCAAGGCCGATAAAGTCTTTTCCTTACCTACTTACAAAAAAACGTCGATTTGGTAACTTGGTTTTAAAAGGTAATGTGATAAATTGCCAATTTGATAATACATAGTATGACTGTACTACGAGTATTAAATGAAGCGAGTCGGATGACTATGAAAGATTATCCATTTTTTAGTCCGAAGTTGTAATGTGTATAGCTTGTTAATTTGTTATACATGGCAAATTTCTGCAGATAATTACTTTTTGTAATTAAGTGTATAAAAGACAACAGAGGGGATAAATAAAGTTAATATGAAGTGTACAGATTCTGCATTATGTTAGTGCCTCAGTTGAGCAACTGGTGCCATGCTGCGTTGTGGTTATCATGGCTGCCTACAAATAATCCAAGAGTTTAGTCTCTCCAATTTGTTAAGGCAAGATTGATAACATGGCTCTCGTTAAAATGTAGAACATAATAGAAACTCCCAGATCACAGCTTATATTAGCAAGACTAAACTGAGACACAGATATTGTTATGCAATTTCTGATACAGAAGTTGCTGAACTGCACCTGCTTCTTCCCTGCTGAACTGATACAGAAGTTGCTGTATACGTGTCTTGAAATTCTAGACAACATTAAACAACATGTTACAAAGGAATTACAGCGTACAAGGCTCCTAGTGCCTATACTGCTAAAAACACCTAGTTATACATTTACTGAAGGATATACTCTACAAGTCAATTGAAAATATTTTTGTACAAAGGCAAGTAGTCTTACAGGTGTGTCCTGTTGTATTTGTGCTTCACGCAAAGCTTCTGGTATACACAGGTATTTGTTTGTGTCTAAGTTGACTAATACAGTATTATTTTAGGCCAATGTAGCTTATGAATCAAAGCCCCCATTCATGATGCCACGACTCATCCTGAAACAAAGCCCTGTGAACGGAACTAGTTGAATTCCCCCCATGCTCCCTATACTCTTCAACATCACCAACACTACCATCCGAAGGGAATAAACATTTTTTTGCCCCACTTGTTGGGGTTTCGCAGACCCGATCATAGTTTTCTCTATGACGGTCTTTCCTCTTGGACCTACGAAAAGAATCTGATTTTGACCTGGACAATTTTGGTGGCTTAGGGGCCCACACTCTCTGCAAGTCAGGCATGGCTCTTCGTGAAAAAGAAGCAAACTTCAAAGCTCTTGTTCTCCTTTCTTGAGCTTCAACCAGTTTGCGATCATGATCTGTGCTACCGGTGTGAAGTGAATCATCAGTAGAATTGGGTTCACTTCCTACTTTCCATGATTGACTGCTATCCTCACTGTTGAGTAGTGGATTAGGGGATTCATCATCATCACCATCATCAAACAATAATAGATCCATCTGATCATAGATTTTATGTACAATACTCCCAAGGTTCTGCGAATACCTGGATATTCCACACAAATAATGTCATAAATTGTGGATCTAAACTTTGTTCCAACAAAACAAACCAAAAACAAATTAACATTGAGCTAATATGTTTGTCTTCAAAAAAATAAGTTGGAATTCAAAGGGCACATGTAAGCTAGAAAATGAAGTTTTGGAAAACCAGTACCTAAAATTTTAAACAATCCAGAATCAGTGCAACCAGCATGTCTCCTCAACTACTAATTGCAGATTTCTTGTCACAATTATGTCTTATAGAGTCATGAATTGACTCTGACATAAACAGGAACATGAAGGAGGATGTTCACTGAGGCTATACAATTAGTGAAAGGAATAGAATATAAAGTATATAAAAGAGTGATCTGGACCTACTTAAACAATACACTTGATGATGAAAAGGGGTTACCACTACTTGCATCAAATTGCACCGCAGGTTAAAGACAAATGACAGCATGAAAATTTGAAAAGTGGGAGACAGAGAAAATGAACCGAACCACTTGTCTAGTTGTCCTGATCGAAACAACAAAAGAAAAGGAGAATGGCTGCCCTGAAATTTCGGAAACAATTTTGGAGAGCTATGTGTGGAACAGAATCAGAACTTTCCTTAGCAGACACAAACCACTTCCTCTGACATCCTAGATTAACAAAATCAACATCCAAGACACGATCCCATCATACATAGAAACTTGGGAGGACTATATCTGCTTATCTTTATCCCCAACCACACTGATTTGAGCTAGTTGAAAGGATGTTTACTTAAACATACGAAAAAAGGTCATTTTCTGGGAAAAATAAAGACATTCTCCAAAACAGTCATCTGAAAGATGGAAGTAATACAGAATAACTAGATGATATAGAGGTTGAAATGTGGAGAAACTAATGCACTTTGATACACTACACCATGCAATCTAGAAGTTGCTTGGAATGTGATGATTAGAGTGGAAACCATTTTGTAAAATAATTGGTTTTCAATGAACATCCATACTAGAAAATAAAAGTTGGAAACTACACTTCCAAGTCCGCAGAAATATTGAAAATGTTGATTTGGTATTATGAAAATGTGCTTTCATCTAATTAAATTATTAAAAAAAAAAAAAAAAAAAAACAACAACAACAAAAAAAAAACATTTCAGTCTATATCAGAGTGACTAGATGCCAACCACAATACTATAAATAAATGTCATGGTTATACAAGCATTGCTGATTGCACTAGAAGTGTATATACCTGCTTTTGATGGTCCTGCCCACATAATCACTAAAGTCAAAGTCTCCAAAAAATCCATCCTCCATGTTACACTGAATAAACTCTAAAAGACAGCAGATCTGCTTAACAAATTTGTTCTTGGTAGAATCCCGTATACCAGCAACAATCTCTGATTGAAGTATCTCCATGCGAAACAAAATCTGCAGCTCATACCTAGACAATGCTTAAGGAACTACCATGACAAATCAATCAATATGTCGCAACCAGTAATAAAGCAATAGTAAAATCATGACAAACATTTATTATTAGCCAAACAAAGTTAATGGAAGAAAAGGATACTGTCTAATTCTATCTTCAGATGAGGTATTTGATGAATGTGCATCTGTTGCTTTAGAGGATAGATCACTATCTTTGTGCTTTCCTGCTATGTCTTTTGGATTGATTAGTAAGAGTTTGATGAGCTCACCAGCTACTAGTCCTCCATAACTGCTACCATCTGATTTTTCAAGGGAGGCTTGACTTTCTTCTTTTGTATTTGGTTCTAGTTTCCGCCTAAGCCAATAAATACATGAAGAAACTACCCGCTGCGCAAAAGCCACTAAGTCAACTCCTGATGCAATACCATTTTGAATTCTCTGAGATAAATTACTAAAGAAAGCTTCAGCAGCTTCTTGCGAAGCTCCAGTTTGTTTTATTTGAGGTCCCACAACAGCGTGTTCTTTAGCCAGAGAAGGAAGTGGTTGCTGACTTTCTTGATGCAACTGGCACAATCTCTCCTCTGTTTTCTCCATAATTTTAGGTGTGTCTGACTTGCATGGAAGTGATGAGCTACTTTTTGCGGCCTGTTTTATCCAACACTGCAAAAACTTTAACTTCTTTGAAGTATCACATTCCTTGGAAAAGTAAGCTCCCTCAAGTTCCATCTCACAGGGTCGAGCAGCTGCTTTGCAGAAAGAGCCCCAGGAGAGATCCTTGTACCTGTGGGGATGCATTCTGTGCTTTCTTCTACTCTCACTTTTACATACCCCACTCACAGAATCCATACTCATGTCAATTCCAACAGTTTTTTCTCCTTTCTCTGAGCTACCGTGTCCAAGGTTTAGCTCACTTACACCATTTTGAGCTCCACATAAGTCAGTACAATCTTTCAGAATAAAAAGAAAAGCCGAATTAATAGTAAAAGGTTTGAGAACCCCTTGGTTATGATGCCCTTGGCATTTGACAAATGCAATGATGCCCAGTAACCTTTCCTATATAGAAAGCTTAAAAGAATCTGCCAGAGAGGTGGTGATTTTCTCTTGGTAAACCTACCTGTTCCTTCCGAAAGCAGTTCAAGAACTCTGTCAGCAAAAAACTCAGTAGATGACTTCTCGTTCTTTTTCTTTGAATCTGTTGATAACTCATCAACTAGTACCACATCAGAAATTTGCTCATCCATATTTACACTCTCTCCATTTCTACAGAGAGATTTTACATCAATCTTCACCACCCCATCACCAAAACTCTCCCAAATTCCACAGGATTGTTGAGAAAGCTCTCCAGCTTTTTCAGACCCCTCAGAGATTGAAAGACCGTGAAGCCTACGCCCACGTAACATTTTAAGATCAAGCAGTTGGAGATCACAATACTTGCATTCCATAGGTTTCCCACTCACATCCAATATCTCAAGATTCAATTGCCCACAAACTTTCTTACATTTATCATTTAATTTAGGGAAAGTAGCTGAAACACCAATCATCGGATAAATTAAGCCAAACGAAACAAGAGCAGAACCCAAGACAATTGAATCACTAGAACATAAACCCCAACCTAAACTCTTAACACCATTTTGAAAAAACCCCACTAATCTGCTATATTCATCAAGTTTATCTTTTTTGACATCGTTTCCGCCATCATTATCAAAGTTCAAGTCTACCCAGCTGAAATGAATATCCCTACTAGCAAAAGCATCTCTCACATGCCCAAAAACCCCTCTAAATTTATCACAAAAAACATCACAATCATTCACAACATCATCAACACCCATAAAATCAATCAAATCCTTATTTGATCTACAAACAGGTGAGAACAATACAACCAAATTCGACCTAACAGTCCCTAACAAATCAGAATCATTACAACAATCAGACAAATCCCAACCATAATCATGAATTACCTGCGCAATCGAGCTCGATAAATGCGAAGACCTAGAACCCGAACCAGAAATCGAAGCATCCACCAAATTACAAGCCAATTCAAGGGTTTGAGAAAGCAAATTTAGGGTTTCATCTGGTCGATTGAAGGAGAGAGAATTAGGGTTATACAATGAAATTGGGATATTGGGAAGAGAAGACGACGATTTGAGAGGAGAAAGAGAGGAGAAGAAGAGCTTGAAGGAGGAGAGAGAAAGTGAAAGAGGGGGAAAAGAGAGGAGAACTTTGGCAGAAGTAAGGATTAAAGTGAGGTAAGAATTAGGGTTTTGGAGGTAAAGAAGAGGGTTGAGATCGATCAAGAGGACGATTCTTTGGGTTTTAGAGTAGTTGATTGGATTAATGCCGGCCATTTTCGGCCGGAAATTAGCCGGAGTTTGAAGGTTTTAGGGATTGAAAATTGAAATGGCGGAGAATTGGGGATGAAATTGGGGATTTTGGAGGAGAGAGAAAGAGGGGATGAAGAAGAAAGGGAGGAGGGAAATGAAAGTTGAAATTTGAGGGTTTAGGCGGGAAATCAATGAATAAGATGCCAAAATTGTTGAATATATACTGTCACGTACTCACGTGGAAAAGGCACAAGTTGTGATTGATGATTTGAAATAATGGTCCAATAAAATAATCCAATTTGAACCAATGAGGTTATGAGGGTGGTATTTTAAGGCCCTCTTCTTTTGAGATGTTTGGTTCTGAAATTTGCTCTGGTTACTAAGTCTTGATCTACTGACTCAATTTGCTCGGTTGATACCTGCTCTGCCATACTGAAATTTATTCTAACTGTCAAAAACCTTAAAAGAAACAGGGCCTAATTTGGTCAAAATTTCATTATTTACAAAATAGTCATTTTAAGGAACTAATTCCTATAACATTGTACGAGTAACTATGACCATTTTTTTTTCGAGAAAAGTAACCCTAGCCACATATAAAAATTTATGTTTACAAAATACATATCTTTATTTTGTATAATAAATTTAGGTCAATGGTTAGGGAAAAAAAACTTGATTAAATCTCATTCTCTATTGATTTCTTAATATTAGGAAGAGATTGGTTACACTAAATTTTTTTTAGTTTGATATTTTTAAGTTGCAAAAATCAAACAAGATATTATGTTTTAGTTACCAATTTATACAACTTTAATCAACTACTCGTAATCTATTTAGAGCTTGTTTTCTTCAGAATAATTTCAATTCAATTCAGTTCAGTTTAACTCCAATCATTTCAGTTCAATTCCTAATTTTCTCCTCTCATTAACAATTCATTTCAGTTTAGTTCAGGTCAATTCAGTTCAGTAAATCAAAACAATTTTTGTAAAGAACACACATTTCAAAAAACCGTGTAGAGATAGAGTTATTGTACTAAAAACAAATGAATTAAACAAGACTTGTTCTCAATACTTTTAAATGATTAATTTAATTAATTTGAAGTTTCTAACCAATTAAATTAGTTAGCATTCTCATACTATTTGAATCAATGTAAATTTTCTCCAACAACTTTCAACAAAACTTGTGAGTTTGCAAATTGCAGCCATTTAAAGTTCGTATTTTGCAAATTGCAACCATTTAAATTTTTTTTTGCAAATTGCAGCTCAAAAGTTCATATAAATTGTAAATTGCAGTCCGATTCAACTTTTTCATCGGTTTACAAGTTGAAAAATCTTCGATTAAGGTTTTAGGGGTCATTTTAGGCCATAGGGGTCCGAATTGAGCTCGGAATTAGCAAAAAAATAACGCAAGTATCTCGTTTTGCGTAATAAAAGTGTATCGATTTGTGGGAAACTGTAATATGAGACACTTACGTTATTTTTTTGCTAATTCCGAGCTCAATTCCGTTCCCTAAGGTCTAAAATGACCCCTAAAACCTTTACCAAAGATTTTTCAACCTGTAAACCGATGAAAAAATTGAATCAGGCTGCAATTTACAATTTATGCGAACTTTTGGGCTACAATTTGCAAAAAAAAATTTAAATGGTTGCAATTTGCAAAATACGAATTTTAAATGACTGCAATTTGCAAATTTTCCAAACTTGTGACTATACATCTTTACATCATACATGGAGTACGGAATATCTGGCCAAGAATTATTATTATTTAAAAAAAAAAAAAAAAAGTGACATATAATATGGATCACGGAGATTCTCATGTTTAATGCAATGCACCTATGCTGCTATGCACGACATCAGTCTTTGATAGAATATGTAAACAATCAATTAATCACACGAATATCTGGGTATGATTTTATGTAATCCCATAAAATCCGGAAGATTATGTTATTTATGTACCTGTTATCATGTTTTAGTAGATAGTACTTGATTCATATAATTTCTGTTGATGAACTAACCTGGTAACCTTTTTTTTTTTTTTTTTTTTTTTTGAACTCTTAGTCTTCATTTCAACTCAAGTACCCATGAACGAGTCTGACATTTTGATACTTGCTCATATGCGACATTAATACTAGCTGAGTTTGGGCACGTAACAATGTACTGCTTATTTTTAATGTATTGTTAATGACGTACTGACAAATGATTATGGGATTTTCTTGCAGGCCAGGTAAGTTCTTTTAATCGTCAAAGTTTGATGCTAATCAAATTAAGTACTTCTGTCATATCTTAAGCAATCTGATGCTAATTAAATAAGTGCATAATTCACTGATCATATGTATAAAAAGATGGTAGTACTTCTGAGTTATTCTGTCAACTCTCTCAAAACCAAAGGTAATCTGTAATCATCCTCTTTTTTTTTTTTTCTTTTCATGATAATCTTGTGTTCTTGTTCATGCTTTGATTAAAAGATTATAGCTTTATATGTGCTGATTCTGTTTATATGTTAATGCAGAGAAAAGATTGCTGAAGCATACTCAATGCAGAATCTGTGGACTGTATTTTGTGGGCAATCTGATTGCGAAAGAAACAGTTCCGAGCTTTGTAATCCTCAGTTTGAGTTAGTTACTCATCCTTCTTCATGTGTCAACCATGCTTCTCTTGTTTGTTTTAATGTACTGCTTATAGCAGTCCTCTTGTATAACTTCATTTGTAAACTTCTTTCTAAGAAACTCGAGCTACCAGCTCGTAATAGGCAACAGTTCTCTGCTGTCCTGCAGATACTGTCAGCTGTTTTTAATGGCTGTCTTGGACTTGTTTATATCGGTTTTGGCATTTGGGTTTTGGAGAAAAAGTCGAAAACTGATCATTCTATTTCACCAATTCATGGGTGGATTGTAGTTTATAGCAGTAAATTTGGTTTAGCTGCCCAAGTTACTCCGTTTTCCAACAGTGGGTTGTTCAGTAAAATGTCATTCTGTTGGTTGAACCCTTTGATGAAATTGGGTAGGAAGAAGATTCTCGAGGAAGATGACTTACCCAAATTACAAGACATAGACATGGCAGGATCTTGTTACTTGCAGTTTATGGAAAAGATGAATAAACATAAGCAGGCTAAATCACCATCAGAATCCACAATGTTTTGGTCAATTGTTGCATGCTACTGGAGGGAGATGCTGATATCAGGGTTCTTCGCGCTTCTGAAGATACTTGCTATGTCAGCTGGACCTCTTTTCCTTGATTTCTTCATCCTGTTTGCTGAGGGTAAAGAAGCATTCAGACACGAAGGTTATGTATTGGCGATTTCACTCTTCCTTACTAAGATCTTGGAATCTTTGTCACAGAGGCAATGGTTCTTTCAAAGCAAATTGACCGGTCTCAAAGTGAGGTCCATGCTCACAGCAGCTATATACAGGAAGCAACTACGCTTATCAAATGTTGCTAGGAGGATGCACTCTGGTGGTAAGATAATGAATTATGTAACTATTGATGCTTATAGGATTGGAGAATTCCCTTTTTAGTTACACCAGATTTGGACAACAGGCCTCCAAATTTGCTTGGCATTAGTTATCCTGATCCATTCGGTCAAACTTGCAACCATTGCATCATTAGTAGTGATTATTTTAACCGTGATTTGCAACATTCCCCTAGCCAAATTACAGCATAAGTTTCAAAGCAAGTTGATGGTTGCTCAAGACGAGAGGCTAAAGGCTAGCTCGGAGGCTCTTGTGAACATGAAGGTGCTAAAAATGTATGCTTGGGAGAGTCACTTCAAAAACGTAGTAGAGTCGTTGAGGAAAGTGGAAAATAGATATTTATCAGCAGAGTTGACACAAAAAGCATTCAATACTTTTCTATTCTGGATATCTCCTATAATGGTGTCTTCAGTTACATTTGGTGCATGTTATTTCCTCCGAATCCCTCTACATGCCAGTAGTATTTTCACATTTGTCGCAACCTTGCGACTAGTGCAAGAGCCCATCAGAGTTATCCCTGATATCATAAGTGTAGTGATTAATGCAAGACTTTCGTTTACTCGAATTGTCAAGTTTTTAGCAGAGCCAGAGATTCAGAATGACAATGTCAGGAAGATTAATATGACCAGCACGAGCCATGCCATACTAATAAAGTCAGCTAATTTTTCATGGGAGATGAATTCATCTAAGAGGACACTCAGAAACATAAATCTAGACGTCCGTTCAGGTGAAAAGGTGGCTATATGTGGAGAGGTTGGCTCCGGAAAATCAACATTGCTAGCAGCTATTCTTGGAGAAGTACCATACATAGATGGAAATGTAAGCTCCTTCAGCAACCCTTAAATCATTGCATCATTTTATATATGTAGTATAGGATTGTTTGTTTCTTTTTTTTCTTCTTTCAGATCACCTGGATTTAGGCCTATTGATAGTACAGCAGGTCAGCAGGTGATTTATTGGAAAATTTTACTAAATATTTCTCCTTATAAAGGTAGAAGTTTTTGGTAGGATCGCTTATGTTTCCCAGACAGCTTGGATTCAAACAGGGACAATACGCGATAATATTCTTTTTGGAACTGACATGGATGACTTCAGATACCAGATAACTCTTGGCAGGTGTTCATTGGTAAAAGACCTTGAACTTCTTCCTTATGGTGACTTGACCGAAATAAGGGAAAGAGGAATTAATCTAAGTGGGGGTCAGAAGCAACGGATTCAACTTGCTCGTGCATTGTACCAAGATGCTGACATATATCTTTTGGATGATCCATTCAGTGCTGTTGACGCACACACTGCAACTAATCTCTTCAATGTAACTTCTTGATCTTTACCTTTCAACTTTCTTCGTTTCCTTAATATATGTATTCATGTAACATCTGAACTTTTTATGCTGCGATAGGATTATATTATGGAAGCTCTTTCTGAAAAGACCGTCTTGCTTGTGACACACCAAGTTGATTTTCTTCCTGCATTTCATTGCTGTTTGGTGAGTTCTTCAGTTGTATGATGCTTGTGGAGCATTCGATCTTATGATGCATGCTTCAAGAATCCCTTACCTTAAGAGAAATTCGGTTCCTGTAATTTTTTAAAAAAAAAAAAAAACAAAGGCTGTAACAGAAAAATACTGATGCTTTGTGAAGATTAAATGATGAAACACCTATGTCCTCGTGCCATGGCTTTGCATCCAACACTATGGACCTTCATAGTTATCTACTATATTTGTGTATATATTTCCTATTAATAACAGGTAGTTGTACTGTTTGCAGCTGATGTCAGACGGGGAAGTTCTTCGTGCAGGCTCGTATCATGAGTTATTAGAATCAAGTCAGGAATTTATGAACCTTGTAAATGCGCACAAAGAGACTGCTGGTACTGAAACACTTGCTGAAGTCAGCTCATCTGAAAGACACAATTGTTCTGCAAAAGAGATTAAAAGACCGAACATTGAGAAGAATGAGAACCACAGTCAAGCATTAAAAGGGGGTCAGTTGATCAAGCAAGAAGAAAGAGAAGTTGGAGATACTGGTTTCAAGCCATATGCTATATACTTGAATCAGAGCAAAGGCTGGCTGTACTTTTCTATTGTTGCTCTTGCTCATCTCGCCTTTTTGACCGGCCAGATATCACAGAATGCATGGATGGCCTATGGTGTAGATAAACCACATATCAGCAAATCAAAATTGATTGTGGTTTACATCATCATTGGATTCTGCATGACACTATTTTTACTCATTAGATCAGCTGCAGTGGTTACATTAGGGATGGAATCATCAAAGTCATTATTTTCAAAGCTAACAAACTCTTTATTTCGAGCTCCAGTTTCTTTCTATGACTCTACACCTCTTGGAAGGATACTAAGTCGTGTAAGTGCATATAAAGCTCTTACAAGTTACACAACAATAATCCAAATTGAACTAACATTTCACATATGCTACTTTCCCCTGTTTCTATAAACCCTGCAGATTTCATCTGATTTGTGTATCATCGATGTTGATATCCCAGTCGCCTTCCAGTTAGCTTTTGGAACTACTGCCACGGTATATGCTACTTTAGGAGTTTTAACCTTCATTACTTGGCAGGTCTTGTTTGTCACTGCACCAGTGATTTACATGGTTATACGATTACAAGATATTCCATCATAGAACTTTCCCTTCAACAAAATACATGCTGTCATTTTATAGCTTACACAAGCGTGATTGTCATACATTGATTTCTGATGAAAAGAGTTACCTAACTAGTCTCTGAAACATATTGGCAGCGTTACTAATTTGCTACTGCAAAAGAGTTGATGAGACTGAATGGTACAACCAAGTCCATGGTGGCAAACCATTTAGCTGAAACTGCAGCTGGAGTTGTGACAATTAGAGCTTTTAAGGAGGAAGACCGTTTCTTTGCTAAAAATCTTGAGCTTATTGATATAAATGCTAGTCCGTTCTTCCACAATTTTGCAGCTAGAGAATGGCTGATTCAAAGGATTGAAACTCTCAGTGCCACTGTTCTTGCAACTGCAGCACTGTGTATGATTTTGCTTCCTCGCGGCACTTTTAGCCCAGGTGAGATCAGAGTCTGTTACAGAAACATTGATTTTTGCTTCAATTAACAAAGACAAGATGGACAAACTGACTTTCTTATATACCAAAAATAATGCAGGGTTCATTGGAATGGCACTATCATATGGCCTCACATTAAATGTAGGTATGGTTATCTCAAATCAATGTCAATGCATTTTGGCTAACCATATTATTTCCGTGGAGAGGCTTAATCAATACATGGATATACAAAGCGAAGCTCCAGAAATAATCAAGGATAATCGACCTCCACAAAATTGGCCACTGGTTGGTAAAGTGGAGATATGCAATTTGCAGGTGAATCTCTAAGTATCTATTTTAATTTGGCAGTTTGCAAAGATGGGGAGACACTAAAAATTTCCATGGTCAATGCAGATAAGATATAGGCCAGACACACCACTGGTTCTTCAAGGAATCAGTTGCACATT